GTTTGTACAAAGTTGCTATAGCATATAAATTTTTGTTCGTATTTGTATAAAGTTTCTATAGTGTATGAATTTTTATTCGTATTTATTTGTTTCTAAGAAATATTTTTTGTTTGCATCTTATATCTTATTTGTAAAGAAGTTTCTATAGCATATCAATTTTTATTCGCATTTATTTATTTTCAAGAAATATATTTTGATTGTATTTTATATCTTATTTGTATAAAGTTTCTATAGCATATAATTTTTTTTTCGTATTTGTATGTAAGAAATATATTTTGTTTGTATTTTATATCTTTTTGTATTAAATTTCTATAGCAAATGAATTTTTATTCTTATCCATTTGTTGCTATGAAATACATTTTGATTGTATTTTATATCTTATTTGTATCAAGTTTTTATAGCATATGAATTTTTATTCTTATCTATTTGTTTCTAAGAAATATATTTTGTTTGTATTTTGTATCTTATTTGTATAAAGTTTCTATAGCATATCAATTTTTATTCGTATTTATTTATTTTCAAGAAATATATTTTGATTGTATTTTATATCTTATTTGTATAAAGTTTCCATAGCATATAAATTTTTTTCGTATTTGTATGTAAGAAATATATTTTGTTTGTTTTTTGTATCTTATTTGTATAAAGTTTCTATAGCATATGAATTTTTATTCGTATTTAATTGTTTCTAAGAAATATACTTTGTTTGTATTTTATATCTTATTTGTATAAAGTTTCTATAGCATATAAATTTTTTTCGTATTTGTATGTAAGAAATATATTTTGTTTGTATTTTATATCTTATTTGTATAAAGTTTCTATAGCATATACATTTTTTTCGTATTTGTATGTAAGAAATATATTTTGTTTGTATTTTATATCTTATTTGTATAAAGTTTCTATAGCATATACATTTTTTTCGTATTTGTATGTAAGAAATATATTTTGTTTGTATTTTGTATCTTATTTGTACAAAGTTTCTATAGCATGTGAATTTTTGTTCGTATTTGTTTCTATTATATTTTGTTTGTATTTTATATCTTATTTGAATAAAGTTTCTATAGCATATGAAATTTTATTTGTATTTATTTTTTTCTAAAAAATATGTTCAATGGCATAAGTTTCTATGGCATATGAATTTTTGTTCGTATTTGTTTCTAAGAAATACATTTTGTTTGTATTTTATAACTTATTTTTATAAAGTTTGTATAGCATATGAATTTTTATTCTTAACTATTTGATTCTATGAAATATATTTTGTTTGTATTTCAAATCTGATTTATATAAAGTTTCTATAGCATATGATTTTTTGTTCGTATTGGTTCATAAGAGAAATATTGTGTTTTTTTAAACAATTGTGATATTTTTAAGATAAACATTCCAAATATCTATACTCCAAAGCTCATTATTACACATTTTCTACAAGATAAAAAAATGTACATTCGACTTTATTAATGCACGTTATTGTGGACATCTGTAATTTGCTTGAAGAATTTTTTGCAAAACTTCTGACGTTCCTGAACTGAACCAGTTTCAGTTCAGCTTTGAAGTTTTGTCAAAAGTAGTACAGTAGTACAGATGTTTCTCAAAAAAAAACAAAAAGTTCAGCAATGCGGATCGAAACTGACACCCCGAATATCGACTGTGAGTTTTGCCGTGTTTCTACGGGTTCGTTTTCCTACGGTGCAGTTAGCCGCACTCGCTAGTTCCTACGAAAACCCAGTTATTAAAAATAACGAGACAGAGAGAGAGGTTATTGTACCCGGGGCGGAGAACTAGTACAACGCCTTGTCGTTCGGCGCGCAGGTCACGACACGTCCTGTACCGGCGTTCTTCGCGTATTCAGATCGGGCAACGTTCTCTCCGCCAATGGAGAAAGCGAGACAAAAAGCGTCGAAAGCCGTCGCATTTTAATATTTGGAGTAGTTTCCGAATAACTTTCCATCTGTCACGCGGAAATCGCATTTATTTAGTGACAACGGCAATGTTTATGGGACGATATCGACTGCGCGTCACCACGTGACTACCCAGGTCGCTACCCGCGCCGCTGTCGCTGCCGTCGAGACGCGGAACCCGTAACATAGATGGCGACACATTGCAAAATTATAATTATTCAAATTAATAAAACATTATTTAGTTTTTATAAAACTTCTGGAGACCTTCTGCGTCGGTTTTGGCTGAGTCGAACTTGCTAACGTTTCGTCAATCGTCCCGTTGGCTTCTTCAGTGTTTGAGTGAAACTGGCTCGCATTTTACTCCGTATGATCTGTTCATAGATATAAGAAAGTGACCAATTGCTTTTGAGTGAGGTTATCCCAGGGTGGTCATTAACATACAATGCAACAAGATTATTACCTAAAGTTTCGGCATTTAAATTCAGGTAAAATTTTGGTCCGATACCTATCTGTGTTTAATATTCCTTGGTTTGGCATACTACTTAGTTTAAGTTTATTAGTAACCATTCTTATTTCGAGTGTAACGCAGCGTGTGTTGAATCGTGTGCGAATTATGCGAAATATGTGCGAGTCTAGTGTATCTCAGGAGATGCTCCCGCCCAAATGTAGAAAAGATAGATAAGTAATTTAAGTAGGTAATAAAAATAATTTGTAATTTTATTTTAGATTTAAACATAAATAAATAAATATTGTTTAGTTTCTTTCCTAACAAAACCCCAAATAGTTCAACTCTGAGCAAAGTACGGACCTGTTCGGCCATATTTCATTCTTACAGCTTTCGGGTCTTTCCTTAATTCATATCAGTTAGTTACTTTCCTAGATCTATGAACAGACTGTACCTTGATATGTAGCACAATATTTTAGAATACCAACGTGCTAATTCATCAAAATGTGTACCTTCCAGTCACATAATTAAAAAAAAAAAAGCGTCAAACCAAATACGAAGCTCGTTGCGAGAGAGAGAGAGAGAGAGAGAGAGAGAGTGAATTTCTGTACCTGTGGCCGGTAGAGCGGTCGATAAATATGGGCAGCGTTGCCAGATCGCGAACGGGTGTCGTCGCCAGCGCTAACTGCGATGCGGTGACTGTGACGACGTTCGTTTTCCTTGTCGCACGCGTTTACGGTAACGCCGGATAACGGCAACGTACGGTATTATGCAAACGGATATGCAAATTATTTTTGGACGTTCTGAGATAGCCCGCAGAGGGCGTAATCGCCATGGGGTATTTTCAAATGCCGTTTTCGGCAAAATTTCCTTATATTAGTGAACGCGTATTAGCGAACTACGAACTGAAAGAAAAGAAAATAACATACGGCAGTTTTACATTAAAATAACAGATCCGATTGAATCTGGATGTGGAGAAAACAATTCAAGAGATAGTTCAAAGACTTGAAGCACACCGTCATGTTTGTGATAATAAATAGCAAGAAACGAATACGGGTAGGTAATAGTAATTGGTGTTTTTTTTTTCGATGTATAGAACTTTAAGTTGGCATTACTGTTCAAGATGGCGACCGATTTAACAGCTGTCGTGTGATTTATTCCCAGTTTGGTTTGGCAATTCGTCATGAATAGACTCCCGCCTGAACAGCGCTTGCAAATAGTGCAATTTTATTTCGAAAATAATGGTTCTGTGCGGAATACGTATCGCGCACTGCGTCCATTTTATCGTCGACAAAATCGTTCATCAGAGAAGTTAATTCTAAAAATCCATTGTTGGAATTTTTCCACTTCTGTGGAAAACTTTTGATATAAACAGTAAACTGTGTCGAGAGACAGTTTAAGGTTTCGTCTATAATACAGGGGCCGCAAGATATTTGAAAAAATATAATTGCAATTACCGAAGTGTGCCGTAACTTAGAAGTTCGACAAGATGTAAAGGACACTTTATACAGGGTGCATTCACAATCAAGTTACATCGATTTTGCGAAAGTTCTACACTGGTCCGCAGGAGCACGATAGAAAAACAATGCGTCCCTCTAGGACGAGAATCCGCGAAGCGCCTCCTCCTTAAAATAAAAAGCTGATTCGCGCTATTTGCTACGAACTTGCCCCGCCCAGCGACGATTTTTCGAAAGCGATCCTGTTTTTAATGCGCTAATCAGCCCTCATTTTTGGTATTGTAATTCGCTTTTGATTTCCGGTAGAAACAGCGATGTTCTATTCTGGGTTGCACACGTTACACTCCCGTTCGTGTAATGCTTAGGTCTTTAGGGTGGTTGTCGGTGTCTCAGAATATTGAGTTCTCTAATGTTTTGGCGATATATAAAATAAAAAATAAATTACTTCCGTCCTACTTACAACATTATTTAATTCCTAGGTCGTACAAACATTCTAATAATGTTAGGGGTAAAAACGACTTTGATATTCAGTTCGTTAAAACTCTACAAATACCAAAAAGCCTTCAATTGTTGAATGCTCCGCCGACAGTTCTGGTTTAAGAAAATTGTTGGTTTTTGAAATATATTCTGGGAGATCGACAGCTATGACTGTCCCTTTATGTGCACGTGTAAATATTATGTTATTTTCGTAAGCTTTGTTTTTGATAGATTTCACTATTGACATTTGAGAAATTTCTTGGTGTTTGTTGTTATCTACTTTTGTTTATGTTTGTTTAAATTAAAATCGTTAATGTCCTTAATTGTCCTTAAAGTTGAAACCTTTTCCCAGAAATTCAAATTCACTTTTAGAAAATGTTGCGTCTGTTAAGTTTATGAACCTGTTGTAAAATTGGTGGTCGGTATACTTTGTAATAACTTACTTCCTGTTAGATATTTTTTTATTAAAAATTAATTTCGTTGTATTTTTTGTGTCAGCCCGACCCTCCAATTATTCCTTCTTTTGCCATATTTAGACATACAAAAAGAACTTTACTTTACGCCGAAAACGCGAAAAGTTAAAAAAAGACACACAAAGATTAAGATTTGGGGCGATCTCAATTTGATAATCGGTACTTTGAACATTCGACGCTTTGCGATAAAATAAGAACTTGGAAACTTGGCAACAGCGCTCGCGCGCGCGCTTGGCTCGATAAAAGCGACACTCACCACGTGAACGCTACTTTGGATCGAGTCCTGTTTCTTGTCTTTCGTTTTGGACACGCGCTTGGCCTTCGCGTCGAGGTAGCGCTGCTTCAGCTGCAGCGTGTCCTGCAGATTCTGCTCGCACAGTCCCGTGAAGGACTGATCGAAACGAGGCATGCAGTCGCTCTGACGACGCCGGTACGACTCGATGCGTCTGCGCAGCCTGCGACAGAAACGCCAAAAATTACTTTTTCCACGTTGCCACACCCAACTTCCGCGTCGGCGGTTGAGGAAGAAGAAGAAGATTCGCGGATAACGCACTCTTAACTTCAATTTTATTTAGTTTTTTTCATATTTTAAATGTTTTTTTGTTTAATATGTTTTTATTGTTTAATAGTACTTTTTGCAGAATATATATGTATTATTTCTTCACTTCACTTGCACTAAAAACAAATAGGCTCATTAATTTCTCAAAGAAACTTCTGCGTCGGTTTTTGCTGAGTCGAACTAGCCTGACGTTTCGCCACTCATCCTGTTGGCTTCTTGAAACTTGATTGAAACTGGCTCGCAAAAATACTTAAAAAATCGAAACCTTCTAAATTTAATACTGCAATCCCGACCTTGTAATCCTAAAAGCAGATAAAGGAAATGCTACGGTGGTCGTGGAAAGGTTCAAGATATTCTCACAGATGGATCATATCGTCAACCTAAAAAAGATAAGATAAGGCTTCTTCTCTATCAGACTCCGTGAAAAAATCCGTCACCCCCCATGACTCTAAAATCCCTCGTCTCCACGGACTCCGAAAAATCCACAAACCAGGTTTACCCTTTCGGCCTATTGTCAGCACCATTGATTCTCCAACATATTATCTAGCAAATACCTGGCTTCCTTATTAAAACCCCTTACAGGGAAAACAGGCCATATCAAAAGTTCTAAAGAAATATAACGTCGAAACCAGATTTACCACTTGTCCAAGAATCTCCCAACATCTTCGATCCGTCAAGACAAAATTTCATTTAAGATGCCAGGAGTTTACAGCATTCCATGCATATGCGGCAAAGAATACATTGGAGAGACCGGACGAAAAATATCAACTAGACGCAAAGAACATGAAAGAGTCTTAAGACTAAGACAAATAAACTCATCAGCAGCACAATCACTAAACCGAACATAAAAAATTTTATTCGATAAAACTAACATTCTTGCATTTAATCGACCAACCGAGAGTCTATAGCAGAGAATCTGTAAGCAACCTGACAACCTTAACCGCGACTCAGGTCTCTACCTGTCACCAATATGGGAATCAGTCATCCGATACGGTGTTTATGCCCCTGATCTAGCTCCGCCTCCCTCGAACAATATAAAAGCAGGTAGAATAAAATGCGAGCCAGTTTCAGTCAAGCCCTGAAGAAGCCAAGAGGACGGTTGGCGAAATTTTAGCTAGTTCGAGACAACAACGGAAGCCGGAGGAATTCAGAAGTTTTATAAAAAGTATTACTATAGCCTGTGGACGTTTCTTTGCAAAATTAATTTTTACCAAATTTTTAACACTGCAACTTAAAGTAGCAGTAACATTATCAAACAAAAAAGTATTTTATTCTGATTTTAAATAAAAACATCGTATGTTATCGGCAACATATTTTAGTTTTTTAATTTGTAAAATATTTTTTTTTGCGTTATAAAAAAAATAACATTTTAGGCTGAGTTTAAATAAAAACATCGTATGTTATCGGCAACACGTTTTAGTTTTTGGATTTGTACGATATTTTTTTCCGTTACAGAAAAAATAGTGTTTTAGGCTGATTTTAAGTAAATATATTGTATGTTATCAGCAACATATTTTAGTTTTTGTATTTATAAGATATTTTTTTCCGTCAAAAAAAAAAATATTTTATGCTGAGCTTAAATAAAAATATCCTGTGTTATCGCCAACGCATTTTAGTTTTTGGATTTGTAAGACATTTTTTCCGTTACAAAAAAAAGTATTTTCGGTTGATTTTAAATAAAAAGAACGTATGTTCTCGGCAAAGGATTTCAGTTTTTGTCGAGAAACAACTTTAAGAACTTTAAGTTTTGAACTTTTAATTTTCATGCAATGCCCGATTCACTAGTTAGTAGCAAACGATGACAAGGGCCGCATTTCTTTTTCCAATTCCGGTATAACTTTTATTTCTCCGCCAAACCGAGCAAGGCTTAAACGTTTCAACCAAATAACGACTGCTACGAATAAACACCGTTCAAAAACAACGAAAACGGTTAAACAAAACCCTAAGTTGGTCGAACTGTGACACAGAATAACGAGTAATATTTGGTTGCCTAATTACGCGTGTTTCGTCTCGGGTTTGAATCGAACGCATTATCGACAAGTAGGCGCTGCGCTGTCAAACGGAAGGAAAAAGTCGCCAAAAATTGTCGCGAGAGCTATTAGAAGAGTGTTGCCGCGTATAAGTGAACGGCGGCGCGGATTTTCGCGAAAGTCGGGCGAACCGCTTACGAAATCCATTGTATTGAGTTTCGCAAAGGTAATTGCAAAAGTGTCGGTACCTTTCGACCACGGCCTGCTTCGGGGTCACCTCCTGGTGGAGCTGCGGCAGTATCGGGGGCTGAGGGACGACGGGGGGGAGCGTCCCGCCGCCGTCTAGACAACCCCCGGGCCCAGTGTTGGCTCGATCCAGTGTGTCGATCTGCGAGCGTCTTTCACATGGCCCGTGGCACTTTAAACGAGACGCCGCCCCGTACGCCCGGACATAACCTCGAAGGGCGCGCTTCGGGAGTCATCCGCGCCCCACCCGGACACCCCGCACTGGTCTCCTATTCCCACCCCGATGAGATGCACGCCTAAACCGCCGCTATCTGGATGTCCATGTGCATTTTTACGGGAAACATCGAAAGACCCATTTAATAATGTCCGCCGAAAACAAAACACATTCGGGCCGTTCGCCAGTAGTCGAGCCACACCGATCGGCAGGTTAAAACTGCGGCACCGTTGCTCTCTCACTGCGTGCGCGACGATTAACACGACTTCCGCACAATATCATCCCGATACGGTCGACAACTCCCGCAATCTTTCGCGGACGGACCGTGTTTCAACGCGAATACAGAAGACGCACGTCTATCGCATCGTCGCGGGCCGCGGCCATTTTCTTTAGCGTGCCAGTGCAGCCACCTGCCGCACGCTGAATATCAGGAAGGGTAAAGGAGTCTCGTGCGCGGACGTGCAGATATGAGATTTTATCTCGTCCCGTGCGAAAAATTGGTTCCGCAGGTTCTTAGACGCGCGCGGGCGGCTAATCGGTGTCTTTTCGTCAGTCGTTTCGTACTTTTACATAAACGATTCCGCAGCGCCATCTAGCGACCGATGGTGGTACTTTTTGCGCCGTCGGTGTAATCGAAATCACGAAATCAGCTGGGCGAATTTAATGTATTGATTTCTTTTGTTACGTGTTGACCCACCTGTGCCGGGAACAGAGGAGAACGAAAGAAATTGGAGATGGGTTGTTTATTATACGCACGCGCGCTCGTTTCAAATGTCGTTTTCAACCAATGAGAACCAGCGGAGTTCGACAACCAACATGGCCGCCGACGTTTGGTAATTTCGCAAAATATTTCCTTAAACGTCCCGAAAAGGCGAGTCCAGTGCAGGTTGATGATCAAAATGGCGACAGAATCGTTTTTAAACCAGTATATATTACAATGTATAAATTACAATTCCGTGAAAAGGAAAAAACCGTAACACTATAATACAAGTGGCGCAGTGAGTTTTAAACATTTGCGAGGGAGGTTAAGAACTCCTCCATATAGGGATTGGGCGCGTGTTTTTTGAGCTCTTCCCTCGCCTCCGCCTCTAAATTTTTCAACGTCAGCCGCGTGTACTCGAAACTGCCGAACTTGTCCAGCAACTTCACGCAGTACTTTTTCACTTCGACGTCTTTGGTCCTTTGCCTTAGAATATCTAAGCGGTGATTAAGGAGGTACGTTGATTATACATCATCGATTAGGAGCACCAAAAGGTGGAAAAAGGATACTCATAATCTGGGTGTCCTCCGGATGGTTGTTGATTGCGTGTATGAGGGGAAAACTAAACTTTCCTTCGGTTAGATCTTCGCAGTAACTTTTGTGGAGCATGTACTAGGACATATAACGGTTTAACATTTTTTTCGCACCCGTTTCGTATACTTACATCTTCGGAATTTAGGTTTATGTAATCGTCTCGTATCTGGAAAAAGAGCCCCAAAATTCCCGTAATTTTGTTAAAATCTTCGGTATTGTCGCTGAAAAGTTGCATTAGTCTTATGGCTAGCATGAAAAGGCCTCCCGTTTCTGAAATGAGCGAGTTAGACAATACAATAAGGGGGCGAGCCTAAAAAAACGGACTTCTAATAACCATCTGACGGTAGTCCTCTTCAGTGGGGCAAGTGTAATTGTCCCTCCAATATATTTCCATGCCCTGGCCCCTGTACAGCTCCAAAATTTGCTCTATAACTATGGTGATCGCCTGGTAAGCAAAGAAAACCACATCGATGGAGGTTGGGAAAAAACGAAACAAAAATTTTACATACTTGGGGATGTTTCAATAGAAGCGCCCTTTCCAGAGCAATAAAGGACACGTAGTTTGCCGAATTTATGGTGGCGGGCACCCCATAGATGGAATGGGCTACCGGAATTCCCCTTCTCAGGATAGAATTGTCTTGAATATCGTCCAACCTGCACAGGCGAGTTGGCGATAGATAATCGGTTGGTTTAATTAACACTCACAACAGACTAGCGTTGTGGAGTATTTGAACGATGTCGGCGATCTGTAGCAAGTGCTCCTCCGATATTTTCAGCCAGTGATTGAACGCCTTGGCCAATTTTAACCTCAAATTTTTGCCGGGCACTTGGAGGATGTACCGAAAAGGCTCCAATAATTTCTAAACACAAACAAAATACGCAACGTTTATCGTGACGAACTTGTTATTTTCACCTCGTCCTGTTCCTTCTCGTTGGCCTGGCTGTAAGGCAACGTAAAATTCGACTCCGAACGGTTCATCTTACCGATCAGCAGAACACACTTCAATTGTAAGTATAAAAAGTGCGATTCACTAAATGATTGAGGTTATTAAATGCATTCTATTATCGCATTGTAAACAACGTTATCGATAATACAATGGACAGGGATAAAACTCAAGCGAGGTTGCAGGCAACCGAATATGTCTAATAATGAAAAAAAAAAAACACAACGGTTTCGCGCATCCGCCAAATATAGTAATTCTTAAAGCGGCCAGAAATAAATAACACATTTATAAATTTGGCCATTGTATTTTGTTCACCCAAAGTTTTCAACCCGCCTTAGGCGAATAGAATGCCTTAAAATTAATGTTTTACTCATAAGTTAATTCTTCTTCTTTACTTCCACTGACCAAGCTTGCAAGGACCATCCGGCCAGTGCCTGAATCTGATCTCCGTGACATACCAATCACTTTATCTCTGTAAAACCTAACCTCGTTAATGTTAATGTATTTGTTTATGTTTTTATAGAGTGAAAGTGCGGCGAGAGATGAGGACATCGAACAAAACCGCCGGACATATCGAAAAGTACCGCCAATTGGTGCAGAAATACATCGGTCTGGTAAAACTTGAAATTGCGGGTTTTAGAGTTAGAGTTAAAGGTTTCCAAATCGTAGCATGTGTACGGGGCGGCGCTCTTTTGGGCGGACAAAGTGGTCGCCCTCACCGACAGCCCGAAAGACGTATACTATTTGGCCCAGTGCATGTACTTGCAGAAGCAGTACCACCGGGCTGCCCATCTATTGCAATCGAAACAACTGGATCAGGTGAACCTTTGGGATTTTTGTTATCGCTAGGGAGTCCACGGTTTCATATTTTAGGGATACATTCTGTGCGCATACATGGCCGCCAAGTGTCTCTTCGAGGCCAACGAATACGATAAGGCTTTGAAAGTGATAAACTTGAATGAATCGGGGACAATCTGTCCCGTAACGTCGGAGTTGGATTTCGTATTTTTTGAAGAGCTACCCAAAGCGGTAAGAGCCTTATAATACAATTGTAAACGTAACAACGGTGTTCTGTAAGAGCCCCACTGCGGTCAGATTAGCTGCAATAACCTCAAATTGAATTTTATAAATATTTCACACAAAAAGTGCAATCTAGTGGGCGTTGATATAGCAACTACTGTTTCGACAGAGATACGTCAAAGCAAATAATATTACAATAATTTTTGCTTTGGCTTGTGCGAGAGAAGTCGGTAATTGTATGACTGTGGTCTAGTGTTGCCGGCTCTATTGTTTATGGCTTTCTGCATTTTAGTTGTTTAGAAATCAGCAATCAGCATCTTTTAATTTAAATATGACAAAAGTGATTATTAAAGGGCATCCTTTTTAATGTGTCAATAGTTTTTTATTCGCCCGTTATAATAATAATGTATAGAAGTATTTATTGAAACCAAAAGATGTTGTTTTTATAGGATTTGAAGCTTGATTCACCACCTTGTAGTGGTCGTGAATTTAGATTTTTGTAATGTATTTTTAATTTAATCTTAATCCTCTATGGAATGTTAAAAATAAAGACAATGGAAGTTCGACATCCTTTTAGTATTTCTACATCAAGGACTTGTAAACGCGCCTCCCTAACAGTATTTAAGGGACGTAAAGGGCCATTAAAATAGCACAAAATTTACCCACACCCCGGCTCCAAGGAAATTTTCTTTCTCTGACTGTTGTGAAAGCGCTTTCGGTGATCGCGCGACTCGTTTCAGCAAACGCTCTCGTCCTTCCTGCTGCTCAAGGGCAAGATCCTCGAGGCGATGGACAACCGCGGTCTCGCGGCCAAATGCTACAAGCAAGCCCTCAACTATGACGTTTATTGTTTCGAGGCTCTCAACTCGCTCGTAAAATATCAGATGCTGACCGCGGCGGAAGAACGCGAACTGTTACGATCGATACCGATCGCGGATCAGTGCGCGAACGCCGACGAGATCGACGTCGTCAGGACGCTGTACGAGGCGCGGCTGAAGAAGTACGACTCGCCGCAGGCGAAACCCCGCCCCTCGGTCGACGAGGTCCGACTGGTGTGTTCGACGCCGGGAGACGCGAGGTCGTTCCCGGCCACGCCCACCTCGATCGTCGGCACGCCGCTGATGGGCGGGGACAAGAGGATGCGGGTGGACGGCGAGCGCTGTCCCCTGCTCGCGAAACTGGCGGACAGCATCGACATGCGGGTGGCCGAAGCGGAGACCCTCTATTACAACTGCGACTATAGGAAGTGCGCCGAATTGACCGAGCAGATCCTCAAACGGGATCCCTACCATGACGAGTGTCTGCCTGTACACATCTCCAACCTCGTGGAGCTCAAGCTCAGCAACAGTAAGTGTAGGAGAGGCGGGCAGAAAAAGAGAGGGAGATTGGAAAAGGGCTAGAGAGGTAATGGGAGGGAGGGAATTGGAGGCAGAAGAAGAAACGTGAAGGGGGAAAGAGTGTGGAAGAGAGCGAGAGGCGTTAGGGGGAGAGGGCGAGAGGCGATAGGGGGAGAGGGCGAGAGGCGTGTGACGTGAGAGACAGAGAGTGACGTGAGAATGAGAGTGTGTGACGTGAGAATGAGAGTGTGTGACGTGAGAATGAGAGTGTGTGACGTGAGAATGAGAGTTTGTGACGTGAGAATGAGAGTGTGTGACGTGAAAATGAGAGTGTGTGACGTGAGAATGAGAGTGTGTGACGTGAGAATGAGAGTGTGTGACGTGAGAATGAGAGTGTGTGACGTGAGAATGAGAGTTTGTGACGTGAGAATGAGAGTGTGTGACGTGAAAATGAGAGTGTGTGACGTGAGAATGAGAGTGTGTGACGTGAGAATGAGAGTGTGTGACGTGAGAATGAGAGTGTGTGACGTGGGAATGACAGTGTGTGACGTGGGAATGACAGTGTGTGACGTGAGAATGAGAGTGTGTGACGTGGGAATGAGAGTGTGTGACGTGGGAATGAGAGTGTGTGACGTGAGAGAGAGAGATAGAGATAGGTATGAGAGAGAGAGGGAGAGACAGACGTGAGAGAGAATGTGTGACAAGAGAAAAAGTGTGACAAGAAAGAAAAGGGAGATCCTGAACTCATAGCGAACACGTTAAAGAAGGGAGAGTTTGAGAAACGGAGAAGGGAGGGCCACCGACTTCATTTTAGACGTAGATTTAACGTAAAAGGGATGTTATACGTAAGGCACGTAACGTTTTCAGAATTGTTCTCGCTGGGTCACAAGCTCGTCGACCTGTACCCGAACCTGGCCATATCGTGGTTCGCGGTGGGCTGCTACTATTACACGATAGGTGAGTGAAGACGTTTGTCGGACTCGCGAGTTTCATGAATGTTTTTTTTTCGGATTATTTTCACGATTTCCGCGCTTGCGGTAAGATTATTCTACGGCAACGTCGATTTATTTCGTCCGAAGCTTTGTTTTCGCTCCAAATAGTTATTTATAGAGGGTTAACTGTCTCGTCTAAAGGCAAAAGGGACTGCGCCCGACGTTACCTCGCCAAAGCGACCCACCTCGACCGTCTATTCGGTCCCGCTTGGTTAGCTTACGGTCACTCGTTCGCCGTCGACAACGAGCACGACCAAGCGATGGCCGCCTACTTCAAGGCGTCGCAGTTGATGAGCGGGTGTCACCTGCCGCTCCTCTACATCGGCCTCGAATGCGGCCTGACGAACAACGTGCGTCTCGCCGAGAAGTTTTTCCAACAGGCACAGACCATCGCGCCCGACGACCCCTTCATCATGCACGAGAAGGGCGTGATCTGTTACCACAACCAGGAGTAAGTGCCCGTCCATAACTTATTTATTACCTGCAAATGTGCATTTATTTAAAACTAAACTATTGGTGGAGAGAATTAAAAAAAATCAGGTGGGTAGTCGGTTTGCCTTACGAATAAAACGTATTAAATTAACCTGTCACTTGTTCGATGGATAAAATTCTACGCACAGAATGGTGGAGAGAATTAATCCTGCGTGCCCGTTTAACGAAAACGCAACCATTTAAACCTGCACTAAAACTTACTGGTTCATCTTAACTTATAAACTGGTGGAGAGACTTAAGAAAAAGAAACACATTAAGAAATTAAGCAATCACTTTTTTGATGGCTAAAAACTCTACGCACAGAATGGTGGAGAGAATTAATCCTGCGTATCCATCTAATCAAAATATAATCAATGAAACCGGCACTAAAGAATTACTGCTTCGCATTACTTATACAATGGTGGAGGGAATTAAAAAAATAATAACCAACCTTAACTGCCGACCGAGTCGGTTTGCCTTACACGAAAAATGTGGTTTTTCGGGTAGATAAAACGCTACGCGCAGAATGGTGGAGAAAATTAATCCTGCGTGCCCGTTTAACGAAAACGCAACCATTCAAACCTGCACTAAAACTTACTGGTTCAGCTTAACGTATAAAATGGTGGAGATACTTAAAAAAAAGAAACACCTTAAGAAATTAAGCAATCACTTTTTTGATGGCTAAAAACTCTACGCACAGAATGGTGGAGAGAATTAATCCTGCGTATCCATCTAATCAAAATATAATCAATGAAACCGGCACTAAAGAATTACTGCTTCGCATTACTTATACAATGGTGGAGAGAATTAAAAAAATAATAACCAACCTTAACTGGCGACCGAGTCGGTTTGCCTTACACGTAAAATGTGGTTTTTCGGGTAGATAAAACGCTACGCGCAGAATGGTGGAGAGAATTAATCCTGCGTGTCTGTTTAATGAATAAATATAAACAATGATATCCATCTAATGAAAATATAATCGATGAAACCGGCACTATGCGATGCTGGAGAGAATAAAAAAATATAGAGCTTAACTAATAAACCCCTTACATATAAACCGTGTTAAAATGGTGGAGACAATTAACCCGCTTCGAACTAATAGCTATTGCCGGTAGATAACACTCACGCCCATGAAGGTGGAGAGAATTAATCCCGCTCCTTCGTTTAATTAAAATACAACCGATGAAACCTGCACTAAATAATTACTGTTTCTGCTACTTATACAATGGCGGAGAGGTTTAAAAAAATAAAAAAAACAGACTTTAACTGACGAATAGTCGATTTGCCTTCGGTTCAAACTACGAAATTAACCAATCAGTTTTTCGATCTATAAAACTACGCATATTATGGTGGAGAAAATTAAGCCTGCGTGTCTATTTAATGGAAATATATCCGGCAGTAAAGAATTATTGAATGGGTGTAGAGTATTTAAACAGATTGTCTGTTTACTTTACGCATGTTATGTTAAAATGGTGGAGAGAATTAAACTACTAATAGAAATGATAGGTTAGCCTTTGTCTGTAGATAAAAATACTCACACCAATGAAACCGGCCCTAAAGGATTACTCGCACTTATGAAATAGTGGAGAAAATTAAATAAATATAGAGCTTACGTGATCAAAATTTGATATACGTTAAAATGGTGGAAATATATCTAATGAAATCGATACTAAAGAATTACTGCTTCGGTTTACTTATAGAATGGTGAACAGAATTGAAAAAAATAATAATAAACTCAGCTTAACTGACAAATAGTCGGTTTGTCTTACAAATAAATTATGTTAAAATTGTGGACAGAATTAATCCGCTTCGAACTGAGAAAAATGGCAAGAGCGCCTTGTTGGCGGATAAAAAGCGTTGCGCTCAGAATGGTGGAGAGACTTAATACTGCTTGTCCGTTTAATGAAAATGTAATTAATGAAATCGGTACTATAGAATTACTACTTCGTCTTATAGAATGGCGGAGAGAATTAGAAAATAATAGAAAAAAACACAGCTTAAAGGACAATAGTCGGTGTGCCGTACTTATAAAATACGTTAAAATGGTGGACAGAATTAATCATCCGCTTTGCAGTGAGAAAAACGGAAGGTGGATAAAGCTCTGCGCCCAGAATGGTGGAGGGGCTTAATGCCGCTTTCCCGTTTGGTAAAAATGTAAGTAATCAAACCCGTATTAAAGAATTACTGCTTCGCCTTATTTATGGAATGCTGGAGAGAAATAAAAAGAAATGAAAACGGAGCTTAACTGACAAATTGGTACTGCCTTACATATAAAATGTCTTCAAATGGTGAAAAGCAGCTCGGTCTGATACACGTGACGGATTAAGATTTGTCAGTGGATAAAACTTATGCTTAATAACGTAATTAAAACTGAAAAAGCGGCTCGAAATGATAAAAAGCAATGCTTCACTTTTGTCGGCGGTGAAAATTCTTTGCATAGAATGGTGGAGGGAATTAATTAACACGCTTTCGCTTCCTTGTAAGTCCCACCCGTTTAGGTTTCGTGTCAAATGAAACCACGCCCCTTTTGCTTCCTAAGCAACTAGAGGCGAGTTTATTTCACAAAAACAATGGTGGAGAGTATTAACGCCATTAGGTCGGATAGGAAACGGTAGACGGTATTAATTTTTTCAACATCACACGAGTGTTTTTTTTATAACTATTCCGGTCGCGTCCGCAGCTATGAGGGGGCGGAGCTGAATTTCCGCCAGGCCCTGGAACGCATCGAGACGATCCGGAAGGGGCCGATCCCCGCGATCTGGGCGCCGCTGCTCAACAATCTCGGTCACACGTGTCGACGACTAAAAAAGTTCGACGAAGCGCTGACGTTCCACCACAAGGTACGATGCGCGTGCGCGGTACCTTTCCGGGGGGGCCCCCGGTCTTTACGTAATTCGCGTTGCAGGCGCTGCTGCTGAATCCGGAGGCGGCAGGGACCTTCGCCGCCATCGCTTACGTCCACGTGCTGATCGCAGAGTACGACCACGCGATCGATTGGTTCCACAAGGCGCTCGGCTTCAAACGCGACGACGCGTTCAGCACCACCATGTTGAATTACGTCATCGAGCATTGGTGCGACGACAAGCTGCCATACAACGGTGAGATAATTATACAAAATAAGGAAAGGGTGTCCCGATAGGTTGGAAACCGTTGGAGATAGAAGAAAAGACTAATTATTTTCATACGTAAAGTTTGTCGAATAAACCTATGTCCTAATGTCAAAACTTACGAATATCCAGGTGAAAGTAATTTAAAAAATATAGGCACATGAGAAATTAGATGGTGTAATTAGTTTTGTAGATGGCGCCAGCTGCACAATGTTTTTTTTTTTTGCAAAAATAATTTAATTTTCAGGTATTATCTGCCTTTTAAGGCTTTTTCGAGGTACAGTACAACTTAGATTATCCGGGCCAGCCGGTACCGAGCCTTCGCCAGATAATGGAAAACACGTATAATCCAAAGACCTTTCTTTATGTTTTAAAATTTATTTAGATAAATACATGTGACAAACAAAGAGAACAAACGAAATACAAGGTCCAGCAATCACTTTAAAAAATCACTGATTTTTGTTTGTTTTCGTTTTTTTCTTAACTGAAGTACATGAACGTCATCAATTCCGAGCTGTTCTTCAAAATATTGAATAAGTACACTTACTGCATCCCTTGCTTCTCGATGACTTGTCTTGATTTCGCAATAATTATTCCCATCATTATCGCTACTTTTTTCAGAACTTTCTTCAGAAGTCTTGTTTTCGTCATTTACGATCTGATACCCTGCTTCATTGACTAGCATTCTCTTCACACTTAGGAAGACCAGGTTCTCGGTAATTAGATTATTAGGGTAAGGAATTCTGAGAAGAGACTGTATTAATTACAAGTTGGTCTACATTCCTTACTTTGTTCCCTGACGTGCCCTTCTATCTTTTGGTATAGAGTGAGAAATCCGTTATACAGAGTGGATCAATACATAGCTTTGTATGGAGACCTAACAGTACAACACGGGAGTTTTCACTGTACTTTCGTGGAATTAATTTTTTCTCCACCGCCAACGAGTTCCGAGACGCCCTGTATATTCTCGAGCGAACGAATCCGACAAACTCGCTGCCGTCTAACGTTTATCGATATTATTAAATATCACGTAAGCGTCCAGAATGCGAAGCAACTAAGGAAAGGTCACTCGAGAATATGTCGTAGGCTCACAGACATGGCCATCGCGATGCCACGCCCCTTATTTTTGCAGACTGCCCCGCGGGTATACCGAGGTACGAGCCGAGGCCGCGCAACGCGTCGAAAAGCACCGCCTCCGACGTGAACGTCTCCGTCGACATGAGCCTGGAGGCGGCAGACTCCGGCAGGCAGCAGCTGGACCCCGAGAACGAAAATCAAAACGACAGCACCGACATGAGTATCGATTACTAAGTGAAAATTCGGCTTCAAATGTTCCATTAAAAAAAAAAAAAAAAACAGAAATTTATTTTTATACCATTTATTAAACACATCGAAACGGATTAGTTGACGCGCTCCCTCTGAGAGGGGGCGCCACTACATCGTAAACATTCTTAACAAGTAGCGTGCGATAAATATCCCTGCTCCCCGACGCGTTAAGTACGAAAGATAGGGGAGGGGCGGGGCTTACTAAAGGTCGCGTCGCGACGCCGATCACTCCTCCTTCGCCTGGTTGGAAGCGTCGAGTATTACTTCGAACGAGAACGGCTGGAACGCGTACCCGGTCCCCGAGTAGAACTTGCTGCAGAACTCCACCCTGTAACGACGAGGTGGTGAGCGAGAGGGGTGGTTACGCTCCGCCCACCGCGTAACTCACCAATGCAAACGGAGCGTGTGGAGGAACGCCGAGAGGCCCTCCATGAGGACGAGGATCGAGACAGTCAGGCTGGCCCACACGGCGAATATAATGTAGACGGCGATGCCGCCGGTCCAGCCCTCGGCCACCAGCCCTTTGTTGAGTACCATGTTCCACAACACCTCCGAAAGCTCTGAAATATCAGAAGCGGCACTATTTTTATTTAGTGACTCTATAGAGAAACCATGGGGCTAGATCTAATGGTAAAGCTTGGCAAGGTGCCTTGTGTTCAATCCAAGAGCAACCATCAAAAGATGGTGGTCGGCCAAAGTCCTGCGAAGAAATTCCTCGTAAGTCCGTCCATATAGCAGACCTGCCAAACTACAAAAGAAAGGTCGGTAGGTCTACTGCCTGCTTCGAATGCGTTCAAGCCTAATAAATGTGGAAGAGAACACTGATAATCTAGATGAAACTATGGTGGCATTTGCAACAGACCCCAATAGACCAATTGGTAATCCTCTAAAATTTGAATCTCCGATTGCTATTCTGAATTAACATTCTCCTTCTTCTTGTGCCTATCTGATCTGACTCGCAGCTGAAGTCTGTCGCATACTACAACCAAAAGTGTTGGAGTGAACTTGAAAAGTTTGAAACTACGCCAGGTAGACGCCACCCCTGGACAAAAGGAACACTTCAAGGGAATGCTCGAAATGATCAGGGACATAATGAGAAGTCGAAAGATGCAATGGAAAAAGAAAATCTTCAAAAAGATTTTCCCTCCATAAAATTTGGAGAGACCTTCGAGAGCGCACCCAGTTGCTGGAAATGGTGCCGAACCATAGCAATCTGGAGCTGCCGTTAAACTTAACGCCCAAATGCAATTACGTCGAACCTGCCTAGCATAGGACATCCAAAAAAGAAACTTTACCGAAGGGCCACCGTTAGATACTCAAAGCTAGAGAAAAGTTTTATGGAGCGCACTACGTCGAACTTGCCAAGAAGGGTACAGAAAAAGACTGGGGAGAGAATACCACTGGGTCCAAATGTTAGGGAGACGTGGATACCGTGGGCGCAGTGGGCTTAACGGAAATTAAAATGAAAACCAAAGCATCAGGATACTGAAATCTAAAGGTTTACACTCTGGAACTTGAGATTCTGAAGGAGCTACAGCTACTTCATACGAGGGCTGTACTTCAACGACCTAAACCTAGATAGATAAAATAGAAAGCTGCACTTACGCGCGTGCGCCAATGACAAGGCCCACAATCGAAGATAAGAGGCCGTGTGAGACACCGAACCGAGCACATACTCGATCGTGTGGATACCCTGGTGGATGATTATCTCACCCATGGGCTCTTCGTCGTGGGCACCGTGAGATGGCGCCTGCTGTTGCCCACCCGTATTGTTGTGCATCGGCTGTTCCGCGTCGCCGTTCTCCGTCGCCGTCGTCGTCGTAATCGGCTGGTGCTGCACCGAATACGCGCTCGCTTTTTTCCGTCCGCGCATAATCATTATCGGTTTCGCGAGTAACATCCACGGTATGCAGACGAACGCGCAAAACAATAAGAACGTCTGGATGCCCGACTGACCCGCGTACATGTTGGCCGTCTTGCATTTGTCCTCGAAAGGGGTGTTCTTCATCAGCACCATGTTAATGAACGTGATGAGGATAGAGGGTGCGCACCGGGTACTATACTCCAGGTCCCTCACTGCGTTTTCAAGATAAAATCAAAATTTTAGCTCTAACGGTTCGAAAGCTATCGCCTTACGGAGAACAGACGATCGTCTGTTCTCTGTAGAAGGCAATTGTCTATTCTCTGTTCTCCGTGGAACGGCTATCTATTAGGAATTTAGCACGGGGATTGAGTTTGAACAGAGAACAGACAACTGCCCGTTTTTTGTTATTCATTAGAACCTTAGGACCTGTTGCAATTGGGTGGTACAGAAGTCATTTCGAAAATTCGAAAACTGTTTCGAAAATCGCTTGTAAACCGGAAAGGACTGCGAACTCTTATTCTGGATGATTTGGTAAAATAATTCTTGGCCATTAACTTTATGCCATGATGTTTTTATGAAGTACAAAGTCTCTAAACTTTTATTTTGGTCACTTTTGAAACCACCCATCGCAGGCATTTTTATAGCCCAAGTTTGTCGTAATTTCTTTAGCTTTCACTTTCACCGACGATCCTGATATTGAAATATTCGGACTTTCAACTTACACAAACCATTCGAAGCAAGTTTTGCCTATATCAAAAACCTTCATTCTTCGCCAAATCACGACTGAAACCCTTTCTTCGTCTAATGAATTAACAACTTTCATCATTTCCTTTTTTCCTTCCTTGGTGTCATTTTAAACAATGAGAAATCGCTATAGACTTCCGTTCGACTCAAACGCGGGACGTGCGGGACATTTGAACTACCGCGAGTTTATTTTAAACACGAACATTAAACCCGTTAAAAATAATTTAAATACGGGATTACTAGCAAAAAAAAAAGCTACTCACTGTCTGACGAGGCGAAATACATGAACCACTTGATGAACATCAGCACCACCATGTAGAAGAAGAGCAGGGTGAGGAAGAGTATCTGCGGTATGAATTCGCAGATGATGCTCAGACGGTTCTTGAAGTACACGTTGTTGAAGAAGCTGATCGCTACGCCGAACAGCATGTGCAGGATACCGATTATGATCGACATTTTCATTTTGAACGAGTTCTGGAAGATGATCTTGTTCTTGGACAACTGCCACACGGGATCGAGCCCCAACGGGTACGGGTAGCCGACGTAGTCCTCGGTCGCAGGGTCGAGCATGTGGTCCGAGGCTATAGCCTCCACGTCGCCGCGGCTCAGATTGTAAACCCGCCAGCTCGAGCCGAAGATGTTTAGCGATTTCGCGAACACGTCGTTGTAAATCAGACCCGTGTACATCGAGAACAGGCCCATCAGGCAGATGATGTACCGACCGCCGAAGAATATGTTCCAGATCTACAAAATCCAGAGAAAGGTATAAAAAAATAAACAAAACCGAAGAAGTACGGACATTAAAAGCAAAACACATACACAACAAGGGGAAAAAAGCCATGGAGGAGCGGTTTAAATTATCGGAAACAGGCGCAGGGTTCTATAAAGGCGGAGCGCTGCTCTCTCCGATCGGTCAGTCGCGAAGAGAAACCGGAACTCGCAAATATAAAATATAAAATAACCGTAACTTCGGAACAATATAAGAAGCGTAAATTCAAAAGAACTAACCAAAACAAATAAGACCGAGCGAAATATGAAAAGCAAGAAACCGGAAAACATTAAAAACAGAATAATTGTAAATGCGACACCTCCAAAGGAAACCTAAAAAACAAAAGACAGAAAAATATACAAAGTGATTTAAAATAAAATAAAAATAAAAATGCGATGCGAAATATTAGAATAATTCCGAAACATGGTCGTAAAGACACAACATTGAAAATTAGTTCTCAGTGCAAGACGAGAAGCTTGCTGTGTTTCTTTTATATAAAAAGGATGTCGGCGATTGCTGGACAAACATGTCTGGACAGGAGAATTGCTCAGAAATTTTCAACAGACTTACTAAGCTACCAAAGAAAGGTCTGCCGACAAGCCACTGCAGGCTTAAGAGGCATTTACGCCTAATGGCAGTGGAAGAAAACCCAAAGTGCAGATTGTACTATCCTAATCTGAAGGCTCGTCGGGAGTGGGTTTTCACCTGCTGGGACTAACCAAACCAGAAGCAATGAACGACACCAAGAGGCCACTATCGTGGATATGTGGAATCCAATCAAAGAATTGAACCTGGATAAAGCTGTATAGCTATGGAGAGAATCATATGGATGTTTTAGATCCTTTGGATCTTGGATTCAACACCATTGAACACCAGCAGGACTTCAATAACATCAGGACGACAATCAAGTTCACGATGGAGCAGGAAATCAACGGGCAACCGCCATACGTTCTAGTCAAACAAGGCAGCAAACAGATCACAGAAAGCCGGCACACGCGTCAAACCATTCCCAAGGAGTGATTAGGTCAATTTTTGAAAGGGTCCGCAGCACAACACAAGCGTACCAAGAAGAACTCAAATACATCGAGAAAGATCTGAACAACCAGAAACACTTTGGTCAAAAGGTTCGAACAGCTATCGAAAAAAAAAGCAAACCCTCAACTTCTCATATGTCAGGCAAGATAAAAACCAAACCAAACCCTAGAGATCTAAGGAAACCTTTTTTTTGCGATGAATGCACGGAGAGGTGAAACAACAAAGCTCACTCGTGGGAAAATCAATAGTGATTCTTCTGATCAGGAGCAACAATAATTCATAGAAAGCAACGGTACGAGGTACATGTTAACTTAAGACATAATTTAAACTAAAGGCAAAGGAACCCCAAACAGTTTCGGTAGAATACTTTGAAAGCGCCAAGCGACCGACCTCGTTGTCCGACTTTTTCGCGGCCAGCGGTTTCTCTTTCAGTATCATCCAAGCGCCGAAGGTGGCCATCAGGAAGCCGTGACCGAGGTCGCCGAACATGATGGCGAACAAAAACGGGAACGTGATGATCGTGTAGGGGGTCGGATTCATCTCGCGGTACGACGCTATGCCGTACGAGTCGTACAGCGTTTGGAACGCGGACGTGAACTTGTTGGTGTGGTTGTAGGTGGGCGGATCTTCCAACGTGTCCATCCGGTTGAGGATGGGCGGTACCGAGCTGCCGCTTCGTTCCTATAAACCCAAAAATTGCACCAGTTCTCTTTGTACGCCCTCCGAAACACTTACGGTGCCTCTTCTAAGTGCCAACTGGATGTTTTCGAGGTCCAGTACGGGTACCCAGCATTCGGCTATGAGACACTTCTGCGTCACGTCCAAGTTGAATAGGTTCAGGGTGTGGTAGATCGCTTTGATTTTGCGCACCTTCACGAACCAGTTTTTGATGTTCTTAGCGGCGGCGACCAACACCCTGTGGCGATGGTCCTGCGTTTGACCCAGCACCTGCGCACTCAGCGTTAGCATCGTTAATGACCACGTCAGGTCCGAACGAGACCAATAGTCACGCAACCAACGCCTACTTCTTGGTCAGCAAATCTAGGATCTCGTTCGGATATAACATTTTTTAAAAGAAACTTCTTCAGAGTTTAACTGAAACTACCGTCTAATTCCCATATTGGTGACAAGAGCTGAGTCGCGGTTAAGACGGTTCGGTTGCTTATAGATTTCTATAGACCCTTGGATTTTTCGTTGGTAGAAGAATTGATTAAGGAATGAGTTCATTTTTCTTTCATATTCTTTGAGCCTAGCTGATATTTTTTGTCTGGTCTCTCCGATGTTTGTATTCTTTGCCCAAATGGAATGTTCTCTTTGACGGATCGAAGATTGTTGAGAGATTTTTGGACAAGGGTAAATCTACTTTTGATGTTGTATCTCCTTAGAACTTTTGATATGTGGTCAGTGATGTTTAGAAAATAAGGAAGTGGTAGTGTGGGATTGCTTTCGAGCTCATTGCTATTTGAAAGTGTATTTTGTGATGAAAGGCTTAATATCTTTAATGTGGAAATTATTAGAGAGAAAAGCAGAGTTAATAACAGATTTAAGGTTGCGTAGGATCTTTTTTAAGTTGACGACATCATCCATCTGTAAGAATACCTTCAATCTTTTCCTAATATTCATTTATGTTCATGACCACCGTAGTATTCCTATATCTGCTTTTAGCATTACGATTTCGGGATTAGATTTTAGAGAAATGCGTTCATACTTTGGAATAAGTCGAATAACTTTAGGGGTCACCAATATGAGAATCAGTCATCGGAGACGATGTTCATGGTCCTCATTTAGCTCCGCCCCACAAACAATATATAAGCAGGTACAGAGTAAAATGCGAGGCAGTTTCTGTCAAGCTCTGAAGAAGCCAACAAGATGATTGACGAAACGTCAGCAAGTTCGACGCAGGAAGAATGTAGATGTTTCTAAATAGCATTGTCGTTAGTAGTTTCGCTCCACACTATCAGCACCTCACACCCCCCACTCCGAAAACAGCGAGCTAACCGTGTTCAAATCCTCTATCCTTGTCATCACGCCCATCGCCATTTCCCTGCGATCGGCGGGCGCCTCTGGGCACGGATACAGGGTGGCCCGGAAACCTTCGCATATCTTCTTGACCCGCGTCTTCAGCTGATCGCCTTGGAAGAATATGATGAAGACCGACTTGAACACCTGCACGCCCTGCGACGAAAATGCAAAACTCAGGAGCGACGTTTCATTTTATATTTAACGCGAGAGATTCCGTATCGTACAGGGTGCGCCAAACTTGACACTCTCAAAGTGAAACGTTAGTTTTGGTTCGAAACTAATACTTCATTCGATGTTTTAGTAAGTAATTTTGAACTGTAAAAAATTGGCGTCTTATAATCATTTACAGAGCTCATATGCCTGTAAAAGTTACATAGAAAAACAAATTCTTGTTAACAACACCGCAATCGTCTATTTTACTATTGTTTTTTTAAATAATTTTCCACAGGCTTCCGTAATACTATTTACAAAACAACGATCCTGTTGACTCTGAAGAAGCCAACAGGATGACGGCCGAAACGTCAGCGTTCTCGATACAGCCGGAATCTATAAGATTTTTTTTAAAAAGTACGTGGGACTGAAGGCCTTTGGGTACATTGACACTTCCGAAAAAAAGGCAGCGCGATGTCTCCTGTCTACGATTCAAATATCGAGCAACTGATAATCTTATAAATCCTCAGTCTTTTCCGAGGATAAAATATTGGCAAAAAAACGGTTTTTTTAGATTTAAATATAAATACAGACAAATAAATAAATATTATTTAGTATCTTTGCTAACAAAACCCCAAATAATTAAATTCTACGCAAAGTACCGACCTGTTCGGTCATATTTCATTCTTACAGCTTGCCCGGGTCTTTCCTTAATTCGTATCAGTTAGTCACTTTCTTATATCTATGGACAGACTTGAAATAACCTCTAACGTAATTGTTAATGTGACTGAGACAGCCCCCTACCCTACCAAGTCCGACGACGGTGGCCGATGAAATCGGTTAGTGCACCTACTTAAGGAGCCTACGTCCGACCGGACGGTCGCCGATGAAATTGGATATTACGCCTACTTTAGCGCTCTACTTGCCGCACTTACCGTCGACGGATCCTCCAGTGGCGTCTCGATCTCCGCCTGGCGTAGGAACACGTTGCCCCGGCACGCACGCCACAGCATCCTCTCGAAGGCGGGGATCCTCTCCCTGAGGATGACGCCGGCGACGAAACTGTTTACGGAATACAAGCACGCGTCAGTGAGCCTCCTCGCAGACACAGTTTAAAAACGTTATTGCTTCGATTAGTACAGTTGGAAAGCGACATATTTTTACGACACCCAAAAAGAGAGAGATAGAGAGTGAGTGAGAGAAAGAAAAAAAAAGGGGGGGAAACGTTGTTCTTACCAGCGCATACCGACCCAGTGTAGTGTATTCGAGAACGCGTTATGCACACACACACATACCCGCACACCCACACACCAGTCCAATCGCGAGAAAGACAGACAGCGAGAGAGAGAGAAAGAGAAACGGCGGGGAAAAAAAATAAGGAAGCACCGAAAAATAGTAACATTAATTACTGACCATGGGTAGTAGTCCTCCGGGTCCAGAGGTTTCTCCGGAAAACTGCTCGAAAGAATAACATTACGCAGTTTAATATAGACGAACACACTGTACAGTATAAGATGGCGCGCATGCCCCTACACGAAACTATCGACGAACGGCACTGCTCGAAGACGACGTTCGTCGGCGCGCGCGCGTGACGTACCACGGCTCACCGGAATTCATCCAAATTCTCAAGGACTGTAGAACGACATCATCGTTAAGAACATAAAAGGAGATAATTGACGAAGCTTCGCGAGCAACATATTGTTTAATGTCCTAAGATAATAATAAAAAATAAAAAAATGGAGAAATATCGTATGAAACTTACGCGGGAATTCTGAAAGGACGTAGAGAAGATGGTCGTTTAGTTACTTGCATTTGCAGCACTTTTGTCATTTACTTATTTATCCTCATGGGCTATTTACAAGGTTTAGGTGGTTTTTTTGCTCCAAGTGGGCCGGATGACGTCACCGCACGACGAACGTAGTCCACGCGGATAGTAATCAGTCGTACCCGGGGTTGCCTAACTACTACTGACTTCGGCGTCACCCGTCCGCGTCGCTTCGGGCCGAGAAAGGGGTGACTACGAAGTTGATGGTGACATGCGGTGTGAGTAAAGAGAGTAGGTAGAGGTTACACGTATACATACCCTAGTTGAACGGGACCGCTTTGCCTTGCGATACTGTCCTCACTAATGAGGGCCCGCGTCATAGACTCTGTGGGATTAGTGCACCCCTCGTGCTGCTTAACAACACAACACATTAGCAAACCCCCATCGCTAATATACTACGGATAGAAGCCCCAGGCGAGAAAGACGAAATGGGATTTTAACCATCGTCAGTTTGGATAAGAAGAGATTTACTTTAATTTTTTTTTTAAACAAATAACAGTATAATAAGATGATGCAGATGGAGATGGTGGAAACTGGTAAGAGATACAGCATCGCTTAAAGGGAGGAATAGGGGCGTAGTGCCAAAAAATAATCTACGTGAGGATAGAAGATACAGAGTGAAAGAGCAAAATGTCCATTTTTGAAAAACCACAATAGTAACAGAAGATCTTACGAACTTAAGTCACAGGAAAGCTGACATAGTGACAAAAATGGACATTTTCTGTTTTCCCCTTGTATCTACGCAACGGTATCGCCGATTTAAAATAAAACAAAGCTATACATACGCTACTTTTCTGCCATTTAAGCCACGCTGGATCTCTTAATCCTATTTTTTTAAATTTTTATTTAATATTTATTGTAAATCTTTTTTAAATTTTTTTATCTGTTTCCGAATATGCTTTTTTTTCGAAATTTAGGTCGACCAAGTGCCATTCAACACAAAATTGTACCCTAATCTGAATAAACTGGATCTGTATAGAATCTGTCCCAACAGAAAGAGGAACAGCTACATTTTATTAGATCTGAGTAAAAAAAAAAACGAAATGTTACCTATCACATGCATAAATTGTATGTGTTACATTAAGCATATTCACAATAACTGCCTCAATATAAAAACAGGTCCATTAAAAAATCAAAAACGTAACTAAACCTTATAACCTGTCATCTGCCAAATGAAGGGACACGACGCAAAAATCGAGTTTTTTGGTGACACAGCAGATTCGGCAATATAATTTATTAAAAAACCTTATCTTAAATTGAAAATATCTACCGACAACCGTCTTCATTTGGATAATCTTCAGATTTTAAACACAACATCCTTGGATCGCCAGATTTATTGTTGTTTGTTTTATATTTATATACATCATAAATAAATAAAAAATGTCATTTTTATATTTTCGCTAATTAGGTCGCCACTGCACTGGTAAAGTCGAGAACTCAAGAAAGAAATAACTAAATAACTATAAGGCATTTATTTATTAAACAAGAAATTTCTTTAAAAATTATTGAATGTTTTTATTTTCAGAGAAACCGTTGGCGTCGAAATATACTGTATAAACAAGTACAGGTTAGAGGATGAAGAATACAGAAGATTTGTAAATAGTACTACACTTTATTAAAAAAAAAAAAGTGTTAACGTATAAAACAAAAAAAAACGCGAACAGACTGTCACAGTTTAAAACCTCCGTTTCGTCTTTTGCGCGCACATAAACACATACACACACGCAGACAAGTCAACGGACTAAGCTTACAGTCTCGCAGAACGTAAGGGGAACATGCGCACGCAGTACTTACCGCGCGCCCTGGCGGCGGCGGGTCAAACCGTTTGAATGCCCGCTTGCCTTAAACAATTAACCAAGCGACGAGAGAGTGTCAGAGAGAAAGAGAAAGAGAGAGAGAGAGATCTATGCCGCGGAAGAGCATTCAAAGATTCGCCGGGCGCACAAGGTTGCGACTGTAAACTAGGTCACGTGACGTCACAAATATCCGCGACGAATGTACCGGTCGCAATCTTTGATGCTTTCGCAAACGCGGCGACGCGGGCGACACGGAAGGTAGGCAACAAGGGATACATGCGGCGTTACGTGTTAACGAGGGTTAATGGTGCGGGTGAAAAGGCGGCGGCATGATGGTCACAGCCTCCTAAAATTAAACCAAAACTTAAAGAACATAAAAAAAATGGGAAAAACCGTCCTATCCTACGTAGAATGATCTTCTGAATCCAAAAATGCAAAAAAAAAATATAGGCTGTGCCATTTAAAATCCGAAAGTTACTGCCGTTTGACTGCATATTGTCAAAACATTTGGATGTCCAGCCTATATTAACCCTTTCAAATTGCTATCTCAGGCCGTTTAAAAGTTATAGAGGGTTCCCACTTTCTTTTGATACACACCTAGTGGTTATTAGAAGCTTTTTAAGTTTTGGCGAAGGTGCCGGAAGATTGCCGCGTTGCCGCCGCCTCCAGCGAAACGCGCCAAACATACGGGGCCTTTTATTCGGGACGCCCCGTATATCTGACTCGAATATCTACGTCACATAAATAAGGGATTAGACTATACGACATTTCAAAGTTCCCACAACCTCTGGTCCGCTGACCCCAACGCGAAGAGAGAACCCTTAGCCCAGCTTGGTGGGGGGGATGCGTTCGAGTACCGCGCAGGCGGGCGAGGAGAAGGGCGGGGATTTCCAAAAAAATAATAACAAAGTGAAAATTTGAAACATCGTGTCGCTCTATCCCCTAACCCTATTTACTGTTCATGAAAAATAATAATAAAAAACAGATGGGTGGGGCGAAGTAGATAGAGGGGGGCGGGGAACTGAGTCGGGGGGCGCTTGCGCGATACTCGAAGGGCCTACGTACGCGGGATTTTTGGCTCAGTATACACGACGCGGAACATCCGGGTCAAAATGCGAGAATACATTTTTGGACGTTCTGTATAAAACGGGAAAGATTTTACAATTGGGTTAGTTCTTACCTGACTTAAGTGTTTCTTAAGTATTACAGAAATTTAAACTAGCATTGGATAACAGTTTTTGGAAAACCAAGTGTTTACTGGATATTTCACATATAATTTACAAGCAGAGTGAAATTTTTCTAAGTGTTTCAAACTAACATGGATACTAAATAAAACTAACCCCGTTCTGCAATCTGTTTGTAAACGTGCGTTAAATTCCCAGTAAATACGTTGTTTTTCAAAAAAAAAAAAACAGTTATTTTCTAAAAATATATGTGAAAGTCCCTAGTAAGCAAATTGTCTTCTAAAAATATAAGTGAAAGTCCTATTACCCAGGTTGATTCCTAAAAATTTATGCGAATGTCCTAGTAAGCGGTTTATTTTTAAAAATATACGTGAAGGTCCCTGGTAAGCAAATTGTTGCCTAAAAATATATGTTAAAGTCCTAAAAACAATTAGGGATTTTCACTTTCTTAGTCAAAAATGTTATTCTACTTGTAAACGCATCCGAAAGTGCTTTTACACGAGTTACTTTCTAAAAATATATGCGACCCTAGTAAGAAGTGTGTTTGCTCAAAATAGTAGTGAAAAACATATGTGAAAGTTCTAGAAAACATTTATTTTTGCAAATACATGTAAAACTCCTAGGAAAAAGTATGTTTATTAAAAAAAAATAGGCATTTTAACTTTCACTTTCTTAGTTACTTTGAAAAATGTTACTCCACTTGTAAACATATGTGGAAGTCACTAGTGCACAGGTTACTTTTAATTTCCTTTACTTTACTTTACTAGGTATGCAAGTTGTTTTCTAAAAATATAAGTGAAAATCCTAGTAAGCAAATTGTTTTCTAAAGATATACGTGAACGTCTTAGGAAAAAGTTTTTTTAAATAGGGATTTAAGCTTTCACTTTTTTAGTTACTGAGAAAAATGTTGCTCTACTTGATCGCACCAAGTATCCATTAAAAACATTTTGGCAAACTTCCATTCGTTTAACAAACCCTAAGGCTTAGGTATCGAACACCTTATTGTCCGTAGAATCCAAAAATCCCGCGTAAATATACAGGGTGATGGGGAACGTGAAGTTACACGACACAAACATAACCTTGCCTCAGCGTTTTCCGGTAACTGATCGTATCCGCTGTGATGTAGGTATAGTGCTGGAAGAACGACATCCGACTTTTTTTTTTCAATTCATTTCTATTTGTTTATTTTAGTTTTTGCGTAAACCGCATCCAACAAATCGTAAAAAATTTGAAAACCGGACGATCCGTGACGGCATATATCCTAAAGACGTCCTGCCCCGCCCCGGAGGTGCGAAATAATTCGAATAAATATAGGTGAAAAAAATATATAAATTAAAAAAAAAACTTCTCGATCTTGAGCGGCGAAATCGTCACCTAACTTCGATATTTTAAACGGAACACTCTGTATATACGGAAAAACATAAATATCAAAGTTACAGGCGCTGCGAGAGTTTTTCGAGACGTCCTGTATATAGGGTAAATTTTTTATTTCGGTTAATTTTGTAAGCAGAACAAAAAAACCCTAGAATATATTGGATGTACGCCTATGGTCTTAAGACTTATCTCGCGTAAGAACGTCACAAGTTATAGAGTACACGATTAATATTCTATTAATATTTATAAACAATAACCACGAGAAGGTTTGCATGAAAATTGAAAGCTGAATTAATTAGTTGGTAAGCCACTGTATTTAAAATGCATGCAGATTTTATACCAAACATCAAATTCTCATCAAATTTTGTATAGAATTCAAAAAATTACCGCGACAAGTGTCACCCAGGACAGGACAAGTTCCGACAAGTCAGAGAATCTGTCATCGACATGCCGTCGCGGGTCGCGCCTGCGTACGCTTTCCGAACCGCGAAAAAAAGTAGAAGGTGGAAAAGAAGAAGAAGAAGAATTCGTGACGCACTAACCCCAGCTTGAGGGCCTGGCCGCCGGCCCTCAGGCCCTCCTCCCCGAGCAGGGTGACTTGCTCCTCCTCTCGCGACGGATCGGCCATCTGGGCAGACGCCTGATGTTCAGCGGCCTGGCGACGCATTGGCGGTGGGGGGGAGGCGGCGGGAGAGAGGCGGGGCGTTTAAAGAACGAAAAACAAAAAAAAACTCGCGAAACCCGAATAAAAACGCAAATAACGCATAAAACGAAAATAAATAAAAAAAAATAATAATAAAAATAAATACTTGGAAAATAAAACACAAAACATGTTAGACAGAATTCGAAATTAAAAGACAACGCGCACTCTTTAGATGAAAGGTAGCACAAACATAAAAAATAAATAAATTAATAAATAAATATCAAAACAACTTTAAAAAATTTTTTTTTGAGACGTTGCAGAAGATATCTGTAAATTTTTGACTTTAGTTTTTTTTTAGAAATTATTTATCTGTTCTTTTTTTTTAGACGTTCCAGAAGGTATCTGCAAATTTTCGACTTTATTTTTTTTTTAACTATTTATCTGACCCAAAAAATAAACATACACATTTTGGTTTCTAAAGAAATTTTTGGAAAAGTTGTTTTAATTTTGTAATTGGCCAGTTTCATAAGAAAACCGACTACGCCACTGGAACCTACGTAAAAAACGCAACGTATATAAATATTATTGAGCATTTAAATTAATTTATAAAATATAAACACACTTTAGCGACTTTTTTCGGGAAATGTTTCGCTTTATCCCTTACATAGGCATGCGCAGATTATAAGAAATACCGTTTTTTTCCTAACTAACCCAAGCCCAATTTAGGTTTTCGGTTATTAAGGTTTAGGCAGGCATAACACTTTTTTCCCAGAACGAAGCGAGTGCGGAAACAAAAAATGTCAGTTCCAAATAACGTCACAACCCGTTAAGACACAAAAAATTGCCGTATTATACAGGGGGAGCAATTATTTCAGCGATGAATGACAAGTACGAAATCATGTAAAAATGTTGTTCCTTTCACGTATGCGATAATTGCCTCTAATTCTTTTTTCGCCTGACAAGCGTGAGCAAAAATACTTTTATGTCATCTTATCGAGAATAAAACTTTTGTATTCAGCATTTTCTGCTACAATTAAGGAGAATTAAAAAATAATTTTTTTTGGTCCTGTCTAACCAACTAAACTACAAAAACTAAAAATCGCTTTGTATTATCACAATGTGTTATAATTGTTTTGACGAATCGTGGAACATCGACTAACAATAGCAATTAATATTTTTTTGTGTGTTTCATTTATATTTATGGAAATTGGTAAAAAAACAAAGGATTTCTGAAGCGCCCGGCTTCATTATAAAAAAAATTGTTTTGACATACAGTGAAGTCGCGATACCAGTTAAGGCGTTATTGTTGTTGGATAATTTACCTAAAGCCGACTTAAAAAGTCCTGATGGTCTTATTACTGTAATGTTTATGTCACCAATGGACCAGACTGTTATCAGAATGACCAAGTTATTTTATCGTAAAAACCTACTAACTGGCAACTTGCATGATGAAGAGGATAATGTCCGCTGAGTGCGTAAATATGGTTGACAAAGAATTTTTTTCTTGGACACCACTCTCAACTTTTTTAAATCTGTTCTTTCATCAAGTACCATTTATGTTTTAAGTTTTCGCGATGAAGACAACTAAAATAGGTCGAGATACAGAGGAAGATGAAGAAGTTGAACTGGGACCACCACCAACCATTCGACAAGCCCTATATTCAGTTAAGTGCGAGATGCGTATTGGCATACTAAAAAAATGCAAAAGAAAATGACCGATTATTGGAAACATTAACTAATATACAGGGTGCGGCAGCATAACTTCCTTTTTTTAAATGCGCGCCATTCAGTTAGTTGATGTCATAGTGGGGCGCTAGCGGTCTCGTTCAAGAGGGGGTACTGTAAAGTTTTGTCCCGACACGGTTCAGTCGCCATCATGCGTTGGAATAGTGAGGAGCGTGCCTTTGCCGTTGAGGCCTACTTTTCAAGCGGCTGTTCGGTTGTTGCAACACAGCGTGCATTTCGGAATCGGTTTAATTTAGCCCCGTTGGCTCCCGTCCCAGACCGCAAATCAATTGTTACATGGGTCACTACATTCAGACAAACTGCAAGTGCGACAAAACGAAGAACTGGAGTCCCTCGGCCCGTTAGATCACGTGAGAACATTGAAGCAGTGAGAGGTTCAATGTTGCGATCACCACGGCGTTCTGCGCGCAAACACGCATCTGCCCTTGGACTATCCGATCGTTCTGTGAGAAGAATTCTTCGTGATGATCTTCATTTTCATGCCTATAAGATGGCGATAGTGCAGGAACTTACAGAACGTGACTTCAATTCTCGGATGAACGCGTGTGAGCTTCTTCTTGATGTCGTTCCCGAGGGTGCTATTGTTTTTTTTTAGCGATGAAGCCCATTTTCATTTATGTGGGTCGGTTAACAAACAAAACATGCGCTACTGGGCTGACACCAACCCTCGACAATTGCATCAAAGGCCTTTGCATTCACCCAAAGTCCAAAGTGTGGTGTGCAATTTCCTCAGCTGGAATTATTGGTCCCTGGTTTTTTGAGGAAAATGAGGTTACAGTGACAGTGAATTCGGACCGGTATGTAAACATGCTACAGAATTTTTTTTTCCCACGGCTAGAAGAGTTGGATTTGGGGGACACTTGGTTCCAACAAGACGGTGCAACAGCACACACTTCAAGAGCATCGATGGCTGTTTTGAGGGAACACTTTCCAGAGCGCCTTATCTCAATTAGAGGCGATTTGGAATGGCCGGCACGCTCTCCCGATCTGTCCCCTTGTGATTTTTTTCTATGGGGTTTTTTGAAATCCCTGGTTTATGTGAATCGTCCAAGAACCCTACAAGATTTGAAGACCAACATCGAAGAAGAAATTGCCAACATAACACCAGCTATGCTAACAAGAGTCATGACAAACGCCAGATATCGGTTTACGCAATGTATGGAGAATGAGGGACGTCACCTAACAGATTTGATCTTCAAAACAATGTAAATAAAAACTTTAGACATGTACCTACATTATAAAAAATAAATAAAGATTTTCCGATGCACACAATAGTTTTTATTGAGTTTTGAAAAAAGGAAGTTATGCTGCCGCACCCTGTATATAGTTTTAAAATTGCTTTGCCAAAATAAGTTCAGTAGATCGCGACTTCGCTGTATTTTGTTGTTCAAAAACGTTTTTTATTTAACATTCTCAGCTGCAATTAACATTTCATTTATTTTTTTTATCTTGCGGTGCGTTTTCTCGAACCCACAATGGCGATTAAATAACGGGTTTTGGGACGAGCTGGCAAAACCGCAATTTTTTGCCCGTTTTAAACGTTAAAAGCGTTAAAAAACCTCACGACGATCGCGCGAAAATAACCGCCTCGCGTTTATTGTAAAAATATAATCCCAGTTACTTGGGTAAGCAGAAAAGGATTAACCAAAACAAATATTATAACGTAATTAGTTCTGACGTTTTAATGTATCTCCGTTTCGCTCCGGTTTACCTTGCGTGATGGCGGGTTCACGTGATTTTGAGAGGCTGACATGCACCGAAAAAGCACGAACGCCTCGTATATATATATATATATATATATATATATATATATATATATATATATATATATATATATATATATATATATATATATATATATAGGAATGCTTGTTCGGGATATGATGCTAATTAAAATTTAAAAAAAAAAACATTAAATTAAATATACAAAAAGAATCGAATTTTTTTGATGTCGTCTGTAACCATTCCGTTTAAGAAATATTTTTGTCAATTTTACAAACAAAAAAACTTATAAACTAAAAACTAAATTAAATCAAAAACGGTTTTTTTTTATTTGCACTTAAGAAATATTTTAGTTAATTTTTCAAAAAAAAAAACAACCACTTTACATATTTTTTTAATGAATATATAAAAAAATAAAAAGCACTTACTTTCGCTTAAATTTACAAATTTTATTAACTAAAAATCAAATTAAATCAAAAACCTTTTTTTTTGTATTTGCACTTAAGAAATATTTTAGTTAATTTTTCAAAAAAAAAAAAAACAACCACTTTACATATTTTTTTAATGAATATATAAAAAAATAAAAAGCACTTACTTTCGCTTAAATTTACAAATTTTATTAACTAAAAATCAAATTAAATCAAAAACCTTTTTTTTTGTATTTGCACTTAAGAAATATTTTAGTTAATTTTTCAAAAAAAAAAACAACCACTTTACATATTTTTTTAATGAATATATAAAAAAATAAAAAGCACTTACTTTCGCTTAAATTTACAAATTTTATTAACTAAAAATCAAATTAAATCAAAAACCTTTTTTTTTGTATTTGCATTTAAGAAATATTTTAGTAAATCAAAAAATTTCATAAGCACATATTGAGTTTTAAAAATGAAGGGCTTAAATTCAAAAGGGGAAAATATTTTTTTAACAAAACGATACATTCAGCGCAAAAGTATTTTTTTAACTCAAAAAAAGTACATATTTTAGCTTTCGGAAACTTTCAAACTCACATATTACTATAGGCAAATTTGAGTTTTGGAAACAAAGGAGAAAATTCAAAACAAAAAAACTTTTTGCCTTCGGAAACCTTCAAACCCAAAATACCATAAGCAATATTGAGTTTTAAAAGCAAAGGAGGTAAATATTTATTTTAAAAAAAATACGCGGATTATGGGCAAACTTATACGGCAATTTTTAAAAATTTTATTTTGAATTTTAAAAATGATTTGTAACCTTAAACTGTAAAATACGTTTAAAAAAAATCGTACACGCAAAATTAATAACTTTTTATTATTTCGTGTTTATTTATTATAAAATTCAAAAGCGTTCCTCGCCGTTACAACTTATGTTTATCTAAAAAATATATAGGTATATATATATATATATGAGCAAATAACAAAATGTAGGCTACCCCATTTTTTTCGGCCGCGTTTATCCACAAACGCTCGGATTCTCGCGTTGTGATTGATAACGAACAAACATTCGGTATATCATACGACCGCGTCGTCGCACCGAGAAAAAAAAAAAAACCCTCCCGGCAAAAAAATCCCACCGCCGCCGATGCGAGGCCAGGCTGCGAACACACACATCGATCGATTAAAAAAAACAAAAACGTGTCCAAGTTACAAAGCGGGTTATCCAAACGTACGCCTCTGAAATATATATTCCGACATCACAGAAAAAGGGTTATATATATTACATAATATTAGTAAAACAGACCTCGGCGGGAGCCAACTCGCGTGCTAGAGATGTAAATTCCCATATACGGGCTGTCCCGTGGGCGACAGAAAAAAGATAATAAATTAGAACGCGGCGCGGAAGCGAATATACAGGATGTCCCGTGAACGTGCAGGAAAGCAAAGTTTCGATTTTGTCCGTTTTTTTTTTTTAATCTCCCATGTTTTCTGGCCCAAATATTGCTAAATATCCGATTTAACCCCTAACCAGACAGCTGCATTTTTGTTTTTATATACTCTTCTAATTAATTTTACTGATTTGTACACAAAAAAAACCTCAGCAAACAAAAAATTATTTTACCTAGGTCCCAGACAATCTGTATTTGCAAAATGCGATGTGGTAAATTTATTCCTAAACTTTTTCCAAAACAATATTATTCCAACATGCAGGAATATAACGACAAAGAAAACAATAACAAAAAAAGGAAAATATGAAACTAGCATGACAGGCCGGAATATCTGAAGTTCAAGACTATAGAAAGAGCATCACGGTTAATGAACACGGCTAGCATTTTGTAGAGAAAATAATGAAAAAAAAAAGAAAAATATGAAACTACCATGATATATCTGAGGCACAGACTATATAGAGAGTAATATTTAATGATGAAAAATCCCAAAGTTTGTGACCACAACTAGCTTACACTTTTTGCCAAATATTTTTTAAGTCCAAGAGCTTTCTCAACTAATTAACAGACAATTGTAAAGAAACCAATAGAAAAAAAAAGAAAGAAAAAAATGAAACTAGCATGATATCAATGACATATCTGAGGCACAGACTATATAGACTAGCCTACACAGACTACATATATGAAAGATCTCAAAGTTGATGAAACTTATACTTTTTGGCAAATATTTTTAAGGCTAAGAGCTTGCTCATACTAACAATAGTATAAAAAAGTATAATTCAATAGAGAAAAGCCTCAAAATTGGTGAACACAACTAGCTTATACATTTTGGGAAATATTTTTAAATCTGAGACCTTTCTTGTGCTTATTGGCCGACAATCCTAGGGAAGAGACTTGTAAAAAAAGAAAAATATCTGAATATCTAAAATATCTGAAGCGGACAAACACACCTTTCACACCTTTTCACGCTAACGAGTTAAATATCGACATTTGACTAATCTAGGGGCAACAAAAATGTTCGCCATATGTTAATCAAAAACTTGTACAGCCATTAGGCGATTTTCTTCATTTCTCCCCATTATTCGCGACACTCTGTATATATTCCCGCCAAACCTCGCAACTCTTATAGTTTTTGCAAAACGATGAATATTTTTTCGAAAATACGCTGAAAATTAACAGTATAATTCGCTATTAGCGATATTACTTTCTCCTACGTTTGCGAGACATCCTGTATATATAAAAATAATTTAATATACGCGCGATGTTCTGATTTACCCGTTACTTCCATCGTCAAACGGTTTCCCAGGCGACAAGCTATCGGGACAGCCGGTATAGTGTGGAGGGGCGAAAAAAAAAAGGGAGTCAGGGACAGGGTTCTTTTGTGCGGAATCGAAAACCAAAAGTCATGCACAACGGTAAGTAAGATGCTGTATTTCAAAAAAAAAAAAAACACAATGTTAAGAGGATCAACCAACCACAATAAAACGTTATTAAAGTGGTTATTAATAATCGGTCTGTGGGCGGTGCTGTTGGCGGAAAACTCGAAAAAAAAAGGGGGGGGGGGGGGACTTACAAAAATATGAAATGCTGCATGGCCGCCTGTTCCTGATTCGAGTTCGCGAATTGGTCCTGAGAGGGAGAAACGTTTAGAACAGAAAATATGAAAAAAAAAGCTTTAAACTACATCTCCCCCACCCGCCTGAGCCACTTATTCACGGTGTCTGAAAACATATTTATATATTTTTTTTTGCTATTCAATGAGACTTCTGACGAAGAATACGTTAATCTACTTGGAAATTAAGATTCGTTTTACGTTTCTAAGCATTTTTTGTTGTCTACATTAGGAGCCACCACGAGAAGTAAACAGTGTGAAGAGACTCGCGAATTATAATTATACGTAATCTCGTTTTTTATGTAAAAATAACTAGTTTTCATAAAAATACTTTCCGCTTTACGTCTTATTTTGCTAACCTAAAATATATATGGATGAATGCTAATATTCGTTCTCTTAGCAAAGCATAATTTAAAAAAAAATACTGTCAAGCTAAAATGTCGATAATAATCATTTCTTTTTCTTTATTTTACTTTACGCCACCTAGCGGCGATACCAGCAATCTAAGTTTGACACTCACCCTTAAAGGGTACAGCGGAAACTATTCTACAAAAAAGGATCGAAACTTTCCCATATTATTTTTTCTCTCAAAAAACGCTATTTAAAAATTCCGAGGCAAAAAAAATCAAAACTGAAACATAAAATTGGAAGTTTTTTTTTTACTTTTTTTTTGGAAACAGATCCGTTAGTACGTCAGGGGTCACCGATATTGAGAAATCACTTTTGGGTTAAGTGAGAAATTTGATTAAATAAAAATTTAAGAGCCCCAAGTTATTTTTATTTATTAATTTTTTTTATTTCACCGATGGTTTATCCCTGATAATTAAATTAAAATGTTTTAAAAAAGTAAATTCCTTACTGGGTATTACTATATAGAAAGTGATGTATATTTTAGAATAAGCGAAAAACCGATTCCTCTTATAACATTACTTTTATTTATTAAAAAACAATGAAGAATATTTCCAATTAAAAAAAAAACATTTTCTTAACATCGGTACCTAAACGTCTGACATTTTTTTAATGTTTAATGGACGATTGAGTGGGACCCTGTCGTAAATGAACGTGGATTAGGCTCGAGTAAAATCGATAAGGATCGTTATGTAAAGTTATCCGAGAAAAAATGGCAAACGTAAATTTACAGTGAAACCGAATTACCGTATCTTCGATACGTGGACGTTTATTGAGTGCATAAATAAATCATCGAAACTTATCTCGTCCCAATACAAACCGAAAACTTTATTCCGGCAATTAATCACCCGCGTCGGCTTAAACAAATAAGCACCGCGCCGAAAATAATCGATAAAACGAAAATCGACGCCCCTTATACCGGCTGACCCAAAATAACTTCAACTTTATGAGTTGTCCTAATTATCCAGAATTCGTTAAATAAAACTCTAATTTGTCACATAGTAATGCAACGATAGATTTTTTTTACGTCAACAGATAAAAACCGCATCTCAATATGATTCTAACCTAAAATATGAATTTAAAGGACTCAACGGAAACAAAAAAAGTCGTATTTTACTTTACGGGTTATTACCAATGCCTGCTTATCCGGAATCTACCAGATAAAACCCTAATTTCGAGAGACGCCATGACAAACGTCAAACAACGTTTTCATGGCATTCTTGACAATTACAAATCATTTGTAAAATCTTACAAAACCAAAGAGTCGTGTTGTGCCTCTAGCTGGCCGATCGCTCTTCTTTTTTTTGCAGTGGCCGAATTACTGGCAAACGCTGGGGCAAAAATTAACCACTTCATATAATTTAGTTACATTAGGTTCGTTCTCAGATTAGATTGATGAAAAAATTAATTCGAAAATAAGCTAAGGAATGAAGGTCTCGCAAAGAAAGTAAAATAGCGTTTAATTTTTATTTTAAATATCATTTTAAATTAATTTTATTAGTAAACTGGGCATTAATAATAACACGTAGAGTGGATTTTTTCCAAAAATCAGAGCGTTAAGCTATGTTGTTCATAATTTAGGTCACGATAAAAGTCAAATCGTTGCATTTTTTTAAAATTCTTTAATGTACCAGCCCCCCATAATCTTGTTTTTTTCCTTTACGGGGACAACCGGTATAGGGGTAACTTCTTATCGTTAATAACCGTTAAACGTTTGCAGAGACATTTTCGATAATGGAAAACGTGCCCCCGCCAAAATACAGCATCTTACTAGCGAGATTAAAAAACAATTATCGGCCTAAAAAAAAAATTCGAAACGGCTGACATCCGGGGTGGTAAAGGGGGGGAAAAATCGAGCGCTCCGTGTAAACCGGTCGCCAGATTCGAGGCCGTGACCGTTTTTTTTTTTCGCTTCCGACAGCGGTTCGCGGGATTCCAGGGAAACTGGGATTTTCCGGTAGATGTGGCAACATCGCGCAAAAAGTTACACACTCATTTCGGGCAAACACACTTAAGCCCGCGGGAAGCGTGACGGGTCGGAATTGCGCGAAACAAAAAACGGTCGCGCTCGCGAAAACAACCAAAAAAAAGGTAGAATTAAAAAATTCATGCCAGGCGAGAGAGCGATAAAAATTGGACCCTCCCGCGCCCACGCTCACCTCGTCGAAGAACACCTGAGTCTTACGCAGGATCTGCTTCAGCTCGGTCAACTCCAGGAAGTTCCTCTTCAGCGCCTCGGCGTTCTGGTTGACCTCGCGAAGCTCGTTTTCCAACTTTTCAAAAGTCGCCTGTAACGAACCGCATCGTTAAACGCCGCCCCCGCCGCACTACGCCGAAGCCTAACCTCCAAATCGATCATCTCCCGCGGCTGGGGCGCCTCCGGGTTCTCCCCAGTGTCCAACATCGGGATACCGTCCTTTTTGATCTCCTTCTCGAGGTAACGGAGCTTCCTTTCCATTTCGTCGCATCTGCGGACCTCATTGACGAACTTTCGCTGGAAGACGTTCACGTCGGGGTTCAGCTGCGGGAAGAACACGACGCAAGGTCACCGACGGGGCGCTCCGGGTTTATTTTTAACTCACGTCTCGGAATTGGACCAGACCAAGCTCGCCGAGTTCGGATACGCACGCGTACGCGGCCTCGCTCTGCAGGAAAAGCTGACACAGGGTCATTTCCGCACTCCGGAACAGGGACCCCATCTTGGCACCACGTCACCTCTTCGCTTGTAACAAAATTTCTTCGCACCGCGCGTCGACACTCAACACACATTCATCACCACGGATCGCGAATGACAGAAGCTGGAGCGGTCGATACACCGCTGTTGCGGGGTTGGGCGCTACGCGCGTGCGTCGGCGAGATAAGAGCGTCGCTCAAAGTTTAATCGACGCGGCGAGTGTCGCATGCACTCGCGCGGGCGTTTCGAATCATAGACAACTATATTATTGTTTCGAATCAAAGCGACGGCGCCCCGGGAGCAGGCGTTCCGAAAAAAAATCCAACCGCGGACCACCGAACAAAACATAATTTGACCAGGACGCTTGCCCAAACCATCGCGTTATGGCGAATAATACTCAAAGTATACATGTACAAACAATAAATATTTACAAGGTGAAGTCTAGGCTAATGCTATTCAAAATGAACCTCGGTAAACCAGACTAAAACCTAGTTTATGTAGATTGCCCGTAAACTTATAAATACACCAACGCAATAACTTTACTAACAAATTTATCCCTAGTAACAGAAAAGAATAAATCAATGCCCGTGCAATAAGCCATACGTTTCTGCCATTTAAATAAATAAATTTCGAATTGAAGTTTTCAACATTATGATTTATTAAATCGTATGGCAAAGAATAACAAAGTCGGACGCTGTTAAACGCGTGTAACTTTTATGCAGCTGTTCTGTGCATTTCTGGTTTCAGAGTTTAGATTGAATTTATTTTTTCGACTTTCTAAAATAAGATAAGAACTTTGCGCCAATCCATGTAGAAACCACCCAAATGATAAGTCCTTCGATAAAACATGTTCGACTACTGAAGTTCATTAATTTTTTGTGTTATATGATCCGATTTTTTTAGGTTAAATTTCAAACGACGGTACATCGTTTGAATGCGACATTGCTCCGACCGCTAATTTGAGAGAGTAACTTTAATTTTAGTACTTGGAAAATGACCTCCGGAGTAAAGTTGCTTTAGCCCATCGAATAAGAATTTTTCTATCTTCGGGAAAAAGTAAATTGGATTCAAGCAGGACATGAAGGTTACATGCCGTTTCACTAAATGCTACGTTGTGGCCTTCGATGCTGATACTCAAATTTGATATTAAGAAATGTCCATTTGTCTTCTTACCCAATAAAAGTAATGGTCTCGCCTAAGTATTAAAATCAGTACAAGGAAAGTGTAAATAAAGCTGTTATCAGCAAAAGCTTGCACCTTCTCTGAAGTAGTACATTTAAAAAGCTGTGAAGTGTAGATTATAAAAAATAGGGGACCAAGTATAGAGCCTTGGGGCACCCCAGAAAGTACATTACTGATCTTTGAAGAAACACCATTCGTACACATCCTTCTCGTTGACTAGCATGGAACTGAATTTGTTCTCGGGTGTAAATGACAGAAAACGAAAACACGGCAGCAATGCATTTTCATCTGTTTGGTCTAAAAGGTCATTTCATTTCAAAAGGCAACCCATGTAAACACGCCATCAAAGTAGTGCCACGGCAATTCCTTCCTCTGCCTAACGCGTTTGTTTTGGATCAAAGTATCCCGTCTTGTGTTTATTTAAACTTGTGTCCGGAACGAAAAGTTATAGTGGTTACAAATGAATGAGTGTGTGAAGTCCTATTCCATCAGAAACAACCGAAAAATCTGCAACATAATCACTGCATAACCTCACACCTGCAACGTTTCCGTTAAAAGTTTGTTGACTTGATAAAATTGTTATGGCCAGTGAATTAGGAATTCAGGCCAATGCGAAAAAAATGTCGGAAGGAGTTTTAGGTAATAAAGTAGGTCTGCGACAATAGCTTACTGGAACAATTCTATTCCATAATATATATTTTTATTTTATTGAATGTTATAGTTACTAGTAGTACCTCGCTCATTTTAAACTAAGTTTCTGTTTGGATTCTAATCTTAGGTACTGCTAATAGGTAATATTATAAATATTGCAAAACACCTTCTTTGTTTCCTATTGCACTGAACTCTTAAAAACACCGGCTAGCTATTGGAGTATATGAGCAGAAATCGCAATTATTCCAATAGCGTATTATCTATCATTAAGGGTCGGTCTTTCTTCTTCTTTATTCTTTACTTCTAATGGCCACAACTGCATAAGTTCATTAGGCCAGCTTACACAATTTTTAGCATCATTCAGATATCCTAAAGAATGCTTTCTTAAGAGAAGGGTCTGGACCAATCCATCATCCTCCAGGTTATTTAACGTATACAAAAACGGAAACAACTTCTAAATAAATTGTCATAAAATGACGACCGATTCTTCAAACGGCTCCCGCAATTATCTTATACGGGATATCCGGCCTGGTTACCAGCGTGAATACAAGAAATCCGAAAACTGTGTTAAAATACACCTCAAGGAATTACACATCACGAATCCGTGTACATCCGCGTAAGACGAGCACTATTTCCCAAACTTATAGGCACTACGTCTCTAGTACTTCGGATAACAAATATACGTAACAATATTTTCTTTAAACGACACTAATTTCGACCGATTTCTACAAATGGAACCGGGCAGGAGCAACGTCCACCATGTGCAATGGTTTCCTCGAAAGTCCATCATTAAGGGTCGTAGACTGTTTCTTCTTTTTAAATCGGACGTTTCGTAGCCAGGTCGTCACGGACCATAAAAACCCCTTAACAATGAAAAAGCAAAGTCGGCTATAATAACCTTTATTACACATCGGAGTTCTAGCGGAATATGGCGGGGGGACTCGTAACGAACGAATACAAAATCTGCGCATCTGTTTCGCGATACGAGATCGCGGCGTCCGCGCTAGCGGGCTTAGCGACCGAACCTTTGTCCAAAGAGCCCAGACAGTGCGAACAGTAGCACGAACCGTCGTCGGAGAACGCGTCGCACTGCTCGCACTCACACGTTTGCGTCAACCTCGATTGACACTTCACGATTCGCAAATTGGGTGGCGAGCACATCGTCTCGGCGTTCTTCAACCGTTTCGAGCAGCCGCACAGGTGGGCTTCCTGTGCGGCGCTCCGTCTGTCCACCACAGACGACAGAGATTTTTTCAGTCGTGACCCCAACGATTGCTTCATCGTTTTAGGTCGGGCGGAATCATCAACGTGTCTGTTGTCGTCGGGGCAAGAGCACAAGCCGATTGTCTCGGTAACAGGGCAATTCGACGTGTAGCAACGGCATTTGCTGCAAACGGTCGCTTCGTCTAAAATGTTTCGAGTCACTTAACAACCGTGCTGACAACATGACGTCACGAGGATCTAAAAATTTTAATTTGACGCGTACTTATTAATTAATGACATTTGCATATATCATAGTGGGATTTTTTAAGTAGGTATTTAAAATGTATTAAGTATCGCTCTATTAATGATTACTAAAAAATCTAGGTGCTCTTAAGAACTTTGTTTTTTTCTTTTTGAGATTTGTTTTTTAAAATAATTTTAGTGTAAATTACTCTATTTTTCTGTAATATTCCATAGATTAATCATAAATGTACAATTTGAATAGAGAGTTTATGGCCTAATGGACCAAAAACCAAACGACTTTTACGGCATTTGGAGTACCAACAACGTATTTCTCACATTTCATTGTCCAAACCTTACTAGAGGAGGATCGTGACTTCGTGACTCCGCCTACATGCGCAATGTCTTATTTTTCTCTGTTGTATCGTGTATGCTCTCTAACTTCAATTAAAATATATTTGACTTGTCATAAAATGTCTACCCGATATACTGGTGATTAGTTATTTATAGTCTGACCTGTTAAATCAACAATAACAGGATCTTTTTTTATTTCAGAGATCATTAGAATTATAATTTAGTTATCTTCCTGCCCATGTTTCATTCGAATACCATTTTGTTTTTATGTTATTGTCATAAAGATCCTTTTCCATTTCAATAGTGAATTTGAATGTAGAATGAACATTACTACAAGCCTTATAAATAAAATTAATATGATTTTTTGGTTATGGCTGTTATGTGGTTGTCAACAAAAAGATTTTAAATTTTTAATCAAAAGTTGTGTCAACGGCGACCAACTCAGGCATTATATGCTTTTCAAGATTAAAAAAAACATTTGTAGAATGAAGATGTTTCGACAAAAAAATGGGCGAATGATCCTAACACTATCGCCCGACATTTTTACGAAACGCATTGAATAGATCTATGCGTCAGTTATACTTACCGTTCGCGCATGAAAACGACTCCTTCGTTTTGTCGACGAGTTTCCGAAACATCGACGACCTCGCGTCGTTATTGTAGACCAGGTATTTCGCGGTGCCCATTTTGTAACTTTTATCTTCGGCGATCTGCCCGAGCCCGATCAGCGGCGAACAGATGCCGGTCAAGCAGGACCGGCTCGGCAGAAGCTGCGCGTTCGACAAGCTCGATACGACGGACGTTTCGCTTTCGAATATCACGGCCACGTTCTTCGGTTCGCCGAGCCCCGTCTGGCCCCTTTCGCCGCGCAGAGATGCCCCTGCAATTCGACAGTAACGCAAAGTGATTCGCCGTTAACAAGAATGTTAGTTGTTCGGCCCGCGGTGTGGTGGCGCTCTTTTATAAATTTTCTTTTTATCAAAAATGATCTATTAACGCTTTTTTTTTCAGTTTGGATTTTAAGGCTACCTCGGGCTAACGGGTTTTCTCAAAAATATTCCAAATTAACCCTTACCGTTACCACGCCAACCGCTAAGCCTACTTAGTTATTTAAAAAATAACGAATGAGAACTAAAAGTTCAGATTTTCACGAAATTATATATTTTTACATGACAATTGTTTCGACAACACCGTGTCTTTACCAAATGTAATATTTACAAACTATCTGCTACAATATATACCGAAAAATGATCATAAAACCTTAATTAATGTTGTGAGAATTTAAGTTCAATAAAGGAGAGGTATTTAAATCTGATTGATCGTTACGCAATCATTTGAACTTGCCATTTTGTTAATCTCCATGACTTCCAATAAATTTAATTATCAACTATATTTTCCTATTGTGTTGTTAGTTCTGAAAGCTATTTTTAAACCACATTTTGACAAATGTTTTGAAACTTTTTCACTAGATTCTCCTACCTGACCACTCTTGGATAATCCCATTCAAAACCAATTGGTCACTTTCTTTTATCTATGAACAGACCATTCCACGGCGGTTAACTTCCAGCTGACTGCGACGTTGCCGGTAGTTGCCGAAAAAGCGAATTGAGTACACGATTTATGGGAAGAAAATTCATAAAAGTTATTAGTTAAAATTAACATAAATAAAATGGCATTTTTGTGTTAAATTCTACCGCTTTTACCGCTTTTTATGCGCCGCGCGAGTGCGTTAACCTCAACTGTGGCAACGCCACTCGTATGTCAGCTGATTTAAATTACGCCGGTTTCTTTTTACCCGATATCGACCATTCTTTCGCAATCAGGTCGTAGAGGATCCTCGCGAATCGTTCCATCGGTATTCTGACTCTGAATTCGTCGATGCGAGTGACAGTTTCCACCTCGGTAATTAGTGAAATTTTACTGGGAGTTCTGGGGCGGTTAAAGCTTTTGCGAGTGGCCGACGAGGGCGCTCGCGTCTGCTCTGACGTAAACCTGGCTGGAACCAAAGCCTAGACCGTTTAATCTTGTATAGTAATCCGAATTTAGTAGATTAGAAGTCGAACTGAGATTAAAGGGACTGCTTTTTTTTTTGGGTATAAAGAGTTATAGGCCCTTCAAAAATAACAATACGCATATGTGTTCTGTGATATTTAATTGTTTTATATACATATTTTAACATCTACTTAGGAACATTTTATATATATTTAAGAACTACATTTATTGTTGTCATTTTTTTTTTAATTTCTTTGGTATGCCAATAGGCATACTTTGGCTTGCATTTCCAACATTTCTTCGAGAAAGGTATCTTTCCTATGATACATAAAAAATTTCTCAAGCAGCTTAACTGTGGTGGTGGTCCCAGATCAACTTCTTCCTCTTGGTGCTCTTCCTCACCCTTTCTTGTTTGTTTTAATATGACTTCCTCTGTCAAGTCTGCTGTTATAGGCAAATCCTGATCTATCACCATAAAATCTTGCAACTTCTCACTTGTAAACGTAATCGTTCTTCGAAACTGCTTTATTCACTCGCTTAGTGGCTGATCATCTCTTCCAAGTCATTTTCGCATTCTGTTTCGGTAATAAGTCCTGCATGACGATAGGAGTGTTGAATTGTTTCTGCTGTCACCTCTTTCCAAGCTTTACTAATAAAGTTGACTGCGTCTAGCATATTAATGGAAAATTTGTCTTCGGACTCGATCATTTCGCTTTCTTTTTTTTCCGTCTTCAATTTTCAAAAAATTGCTCGTATTATTATTATCGATCCCGATAGGATTTGAAATGAACAGGCGGAGAATTGCGCAATTCGAAAGACTTAAGTTAGTTTTAAATTAAAATTGAAGTTTGCTTCTGAATAGTTCCTCTTTTATGAGGTTTCTAGCGCCTACTTAAGACTGTAATAATAACAATTTATTTCGCAAAGAACAGGAGGTTAAAACAATTACAACATGTAGAAGGAAAAAACAATAAATGAAAGTTTTCTATAGTTGGAAATAAAAATAGTTTATAACGTAAAACAAAAAAATAATAAGAAACATAATAAAAAAAAGAAAACAAAAACAAATATTTCTTTTTTTCTAGAAGTTTAAATAAACTGATTTTATTATAAAAGTCTAGGACACACTTGTTGAGTAACTTATTGTAATTTAAAACCTGATAAGCATATACACACAGAATCCTGAAAATATGTGGATGAGTGCCAAAACGAATGAATCGGAAACCCGGATAGATGTGGTCTGTGTCGATTTATGTCATATACTATGGTTAGACCTGACCGATGACTGATGTTATGGATAAGTAACAAGAATCGTAAACCTAATAGGATTGTCTAGCTGTGACGTAGAAGTCCTGAATTGGCGCGTTTACTATGTAAATGCATGGAAATAATCTGAAACTGAACCGACCTTTGATGGACTTTGAGTATTTTGAGTAGCTAGTATAGGATTTTGTTTAAGTACTTATTTAATAATTATTGGGAAGTAGCGTAGGGTGGGGTCTCAGGTAGGGTAAAAATAATATTATTGCAATCAAGTTTGGCTTATATGTATTACATTATTATGTGTTACAAATAAATACATAAAACTAGCGAACAAAAAGATTTACTTGTAAAACTTTGTGTTTTACGGCATTCTACCATTTTAAATATACAAAAATCAACAAATACTTATAAAAAATATAAATATTTATAGCTGGTAGGTAAATAATAATATGTATTTATATGTACTCTCGTATGTACATAATATAAAAATACATATTACTGCATATACTTAAATCTTTATTTCACAATTTTACCATACTTTCTAATTTTTTTTCTGCGGGTATCATCTTGCAAAGATTTTCTGGCATGGGTTCTGGAGATGGATTTTTCTCTAGAATTTCACATGTGGCATTCGATGTTGTTGCTGAAATATCCGACAATACCTGCTGAGCTTCTATGTTGGCATTTTTATAATGAAGACTTTTTGATCCAGATAATCCTGCTTGTGTTGGCGGCTTCTGGTTAAATAATAATAGGGTGGGAACAGCATTTTTTTTTAGAATATTTTTTAAAGGTAAACCTAAAATTTACATTATGTGGTGAATTTAATGTGTTACTCAAGACAAAAAAAAACCTAATAACTCATTTTGTAAGTCTCTTTCGTAATCATTTTCAGTAAAATGAACTGAGCAGACATAGCTTTTATCTGGATTAAGTTTGTCTTCTCTTCTACATCGAACTATCCACTCGTTCCGAATAGATCTTTCCCTTTGGATACCTACTGTTTTGACCAAGTTTTTTTTACAGAAATACAATTAACACAAAAACACTATTCTAATTGTTCAAAGAACACAAAATGCAACGGTTTAATACGCCTTCAAATGCATTGACAGAATACACAAAAACCGTTAGAGGACTTTGCTTACGTCACAAGCGACCACCTGCGATCGATAATTTTGGCGAACGTACGTCTTATGGGATTGGGCAATCCTATTAGGTTTACGATTCTAGGATAAGTAGAGAGAAACGCGATGTTAAGGAATTATTGTTTTTAGTTTTCGGGACGAATTTTCGAATTTTGTTGTTAATTTAATTTGCAATTTTATCCTGTTGCTAATTGTAATAAGAAGTAGAATTGCTGTTAATAGTTTGCCTTTCTTTTTAACTAAAGCACTGACACTAAAAAACAACGTTTTTAAACCTTAAATTTTTTATAAGACAAAACTATCCCATGACGACACTTTGAAAAGTTAAAAAGTGAAATAGTTTTTCCGTAATTTCCTATAAATATAGCAGATTGGCAACACTGAGCACCTAGACGTTCTTTAGCGCCGCAGTAAAAATTGCCAAACTGTAAATGAGTTGTATAGACATCTCTCTGTTCCTACTATAAGCTTCTAGTTTGCAACACGCCGTTTGTTTCTTCTTTTTGACTCGGGCGTTTCGTAACCATTTCGTCACGGACCATAAAAACCTCGGGGCAATGGAAAAGAAAAGGCGGCTATACAACAGAACCCTAAAATATGTGGATGTGGAATAATAATAATATATTTCTAAGACGTAATATAAAATGATTTTTTGAATTCCTTCGGTTGTTTTTAGTTTTGTTTCTAATTTAATTGCAATTTTATCCTGTTGTTAATTGTAATAAGTGAAGACAATTGATGTATGTGAAATAAATACATTATTTTGCTGGTAAGTTGTTACGACACAAAAAAACTGCGTTTTCTAACTATTTTTGATAGTACGAAACTACCCGACGACGACACCTCTGAAAAGTTCAAAAGTGAAATACTTTTTCCATTATTTCCTATAAACATAGCAGCTTGGCAACACTGGGTACCTAGAGGTTTTCTAGCGACCACAGTTAAAATTGACAAACTGTAAATGAGTTCGATAAACATATCGATTTTTCAACTATGCGGATTAATTTGTGCCCGTTTGCGCTTTGAAATGAATCAAAATACGAACCGAGCGAGTTTCCTTCAATTTTCCTCCCAGTCCCGCGCCCCCTGCCCCTGTACACCGGGATCTTGCTGAGAGGCGGCGCCCGCGGCATTCTCCTCGGAGGCGGTCGCGGGCCGCCCCCGTCGCCGGCATATGCGTCTCGCGAGTGGTGCACCGCGAAATACATCACGTCGTAACGGCGTGGCGGCGCGTGGACGTCGTCCTCGTCGCGCACCAGGTTCACGTAATAGCTGCACGTGCGTCTGACGTTTGCCGCGTCAACGGACCGGACGAAACAGTACATGATCGTCTGCACGGCCAATTTGGGTGCCAAACGGTAGACCTGGCGCCCGTCGCGTCTCAGATCCGTCGAATTTTTCACCTTTTGCACGCTCATCCTCAGCGACTGGTCGATGACGCTGACGTCCTCGTCATCCAAAGGCAGCGAGGTTAAGCTGGCCGGATACGGTAACGATTTTGTCGTCTTCTCGCCTAGGACAGCCTTGCGGCAACACTTGGCGGGCCGGCACGCTCTCAGGAGGTTGTCTACGCCCAGCTCGTGGAGACGCACTACGATGGAGGCGTTCCGGTGGCGGATCGGACGGCGGCGGATTTTCGTATCTGCGGCGGTCACGTCGAAATCGAGCGAAGAGCAGATCTTCGTCCGCATCACCGGCACGATCTTTTTTTCGACGTCGTCGCCGAAGAGGTCCTCTAGGATGCGGTCCGGGTCGGTGGGCGGCTTGTTCGTAGGCGTGACGGTTAGGGAAATGAGCAGCTCGTCTCCCTTGTCCGTCTCAACGCAGAGACGGGCAGTGTCGTACAACCGGAGCCGGGAACAGCTCGCCGCATATACCTGGGGATCGGCTTCGGCGGCGGGTTCCGATTCTTTCGGCTCGTCGGATACCAGGTCGATGAAATTGCGCAGCGACGTACGAGATTCTTCCGCCTCCGTCACGGAAGGGATAGTTTGGACCGAGTCGGCGTCTGCCGTCGATTTGGCGTCGGACTGTCGCAGCGTCGCGACGCCATTGTCATGGCTTCGAAAATCGCGAGTCTGCGGCGTCGGTTCAGCGTCCTCGACGTCGTCGTCGTGTCGAATATCCACGGGTATGGGTGTCAGTTGGACACCATCCCCGTCGAGGTGTCGGTTATTGCGAGGTCTGGGTGTCGGTTGGGCATCGTCGCCGTCGCGGTGCCGGATGTCGAGGGATCTGGGCGTCCGTTGGGCATCGTCGCTGTCGCGGAAACTCTCAACTTGTTTCTGCCTGCAGTCGGGGCATTGGCGCACCACCACGCGGATGTCGCCCTCGTCCTCGGTGCGGCCCTTAATGCAGATGACGACCTTGTCTTCGTCGCAGCCCTGCTGACCACGATTGTATATATATAAAAAAAAATCCGAAACAAAATGGTACTCTAGGTGCTTCTGTATTTATAGGAAAAACATTTGTGTTTTTTTTAATATAACCAACACTGTGGTTTGATGTTTATTTACAGCTTGTCGAAGAATCCTGGTACTAATCATTTTGTTCTCCTCCACATGTACCTTTCTTCTGCGCTATTATCGACATTTATTCAAATTCCACCGATTGTACCAAAATTACGTACGTCGTCCATGTTATCCTGCGAATCGTCTCCTATGCAGGGGTCCGAACAACAGCAACGCTCCCTCCCCAGGTCGACTCCCCCGCGTTGGATTTTGACGCTACCCCTGGGCACATCCGCTGTCGGGAAATCCTCCAGGTCCGTTTCCGAGCGACCGGATGCCGCGTCGGCTCGACGCTTCGACAGATAAACGTTGAGTATTTCCAAGTCGCGTATGCACTTGGCTATTATCTCCCTGGCGCCTCCTACGTCGGTCACCTGGACAACTTCTTCCGTGGAAGGTGTCGTCTTGGCTTCGTCGTCGTTCTCGACGTACATTTCCGTTCTCGACGGTATCAGCGGCGTTAGTATGTTGACGATGGAAGATTCTTGGACGTCGACTTCGTCGAGGTGCGTCTCGATCTCGTCTAGGAAGTCGCGCAGGTCGACCAGCTGCAGCAGCAGGCCGGTGCCGACGTACACCGAGGCGCTGTCGCGACCGACGCCGGCGTCGGTGTCGAAAGTGACGTTGCGGAGGTAGCGAGCCACCTGGAGCTCGGGTACCTCGTCGACTACGCTTTTCAGCAACTTCGACGCGGTTTTCGCGTCTTGGAATTGCCGCCGCGTCAGGTACTGCGCCTTCAGGTCCACTACCTGCTCCACGACCGGCAGGAGCATCGCCTTGGCTTCCCGCAGACGCCGGAAGACGTCGCGACGCCTCTGGGCTTCGGATAGGGGTGGTGTGACGCTCATACTGATGATTTGGCGGGTGGTGTGGAGGCGCTGACGCGCCTGTCAATGTCAACGTCCTTTTTTCGGGTGTCTTTGTTACGGGACGATAATAAATACAGTGTACCCATTGATTTTTTTTTACATAATTCCCGAAATAGTCCAGACGTTTGCACGAAATTGGGCAGGGCAGAGTTTTTTGACACGGGAAATCAATTTTCATAAATAGTGTTTGGGGCAAATTGTACGTATGGTATTTTTCGTGCGTTTGATACTTCCTTGCGCCTTAGCGAATGCAGATTTTAAACTTATTACACTTTTTTTACGCAAAAAAGGTATAGCTTTTGAATTTTGCTCCGAATGCCATCTATTTTCAAATAACTTAGATAGTGCCTATAACTCAGCTAATATGGTGGTCAGTCATGGGCCCTCACTGTGTCTTAGAAATCAACATTAGTGAATACAAATTCATGGTAAAGTCTGTTCATAGATATAAGAAAGTGACTAACTGATACGAATTAAGGAAAGACCCGGGCAAGCTGTAAGAATGAAGTATTGCCTAACAGGCCCGTACTTTGCTTAGAATTTAATTATTTGGGGTTTTGTTAGGAAAGATACTAAACAATATTTATTTATTTATGTATGTATTTATGTTTAAATCCAAAATAAAATTACAAATTATTTACCTATTTAAATGACTCAAAATTATTCACATAATATAAAATTTTAGGTAATTCTCTTGTTGCATTGTACGTTAATGACTACCCTTGGATAATCCCATTCAAAAGCAATTGGTCATTTTTTTATATCTATGAACAGACCATACCTACTATTAATAATTTTTGAGGAAAATTTTCTGTTAATAAATTAATAACAATTTTCTTGAAAAAAGTAGAACATAGCTGTTTCGCAGCGTGGGATAAGCCAGACTTTTAAGATACCCCCTATAAGAGAAAGTCGCTTATTAAATATACGACGGCTCCTGTGACACTATTATCGATAGCAGCAGATCGAATACAATACCCATTTCTCTGTTTACCGTTTCTTAAAAAAAAGACACGTATATCTGAAGCCAAGGTCTTCGAAGAGCAGCTTATCGCTGTCGGTCTTTCCCGGGTATGCCAGTGCTTGTCCGACGTACGCGGGTGATTCATCGCAGTCTTGAGATAAATACGGTGCAGCAGGACAACCTTGCGGTCAAATAGCATCGCAAGACATGATCGGGCGTTTGTGTTTGATTCTCGCAGGTAAGCGCATTCTTTTACCTTTACACGACACGAAATCGCTGTGAAAACATTTATAATAAAAATGTGGAGCACAGTATTTTTAGATTGTGCGCTAGAATTGACCACAAAACTCTCTTTTCTTATACATTTTGTGTTGTTTTAACTCCTGTTTTTCTGTTTTCACTCCATATTTGAATATCTTCATCCAAAGTGCCTTTAAAAGTCCCTTTATATTGCTTCATATTGCTCGAGGGATTTCTGGTACGATTTTAAAATTGTTCGAGGCAAAAGGTAAACTAATACCAACGTAAACGGACGTGGTTAACAAACACAATTGCAAAAAAAGACTCCCTTTCTAACCTATGCTTATGGCAACAGGGTAACATGGAGCGAAGAATTTTCTTCTTATTTTCAAATATTTTGTTTTCTGATTGAAGGCCGGGTAGTTCAGCATTTAGCAAATCTTCCACGGTTTTGCCCTTCTTCAGAACAATGGTTTCCACTTCCTAATTTAGAAATTTCCTAGAAACTCCAGTTGTGATTCAGTTTCCCTACTTATGTGCTTTTATATGAATAAAATGTTCCGCTAGATGGGGTACTTAACTAACCAAAACGCGTTTCCAACCAACCAAAACGTTTTTCCTACGCCTATTTTTCTCTGAGATTTTGCCTATTTTCCAATACGCACTTGCCTCCTTTGATGAGAAACAACACTAACGGTGGCATCTATTTAGTTTTGTTTGCGGGGAGCTCAATATTAGTCACCGCAGTAAGTGCAAAGCAACTTTCGTTCGGGACAAACCCGTCAAACAGCAGCTAAGCGATACCAGCTAGTGACAAAGTCATATGTCACTAGATTGAAAAGAGCACTGTCGATGGGCGTCATCTTCTTCTTCTTTTAAAAATTCGTGAGGTCCGCGATAGAAATTATTTCCAATAAGTGTGTTCCGATACGAGTAAAACGGTCCTAAGAAAAAACAAAACATAATAACGGATAGCCAATCGTAACGGCAGCTTTCTATTATAACAGCTATTTTGTTTATATTACGGTCAAACTGGAAATTGGTAGATATTTTTTAAAAGAGAAAGCTTTTTTTGCAAAATAGGTTAAGACGGCCAAGCCTTTTTTAGAAGTCTCTCGGAGACACTAGAGAATACGCCGATTGTCAAAAACTCTTGTGCTGGTCTTTCTGTGAAAAAAAAAAAACACCCGCCCAGCCAATGTCCAAATAAACTCACTGAAACCCCGCACTTTTTACTATTCAAAATCTCCGCGCATCTAACGGGGCAATTATTATTTTTTTCTTAATAAAGCGTAATTTGTTACGTTAACGCTAAAAATATAGTTCTCGTTTTCGACACTTCACTTTTTCCCGTATTTACGTATTTCCCCCGTACACTCGGGCGATTAGAATAACCCGACGACATTTAAGTCAATTTTTACTTAATTACGTATCATTTGCGTTGTTTATGTCAACATCTGCGAATAAATTAGCATCCGAACGACGCGATACGAATGTTTACGGCTTCAAATGACGATAATAAAACGCGCATCACAGGAAACGCTCTTAAAAGTATGAAACATTAATCTCGGGTCTCTTGTCGACCAATTTTCATAGGCTACTACGCTCTCATCGCTTCGTGGTTGTGCGAAGGTATTTTATCGCAGACCTACGCTTACTAAGATTATTGATCACTTAGCGGAATCTTATAAATAAAGAAAGTTCGTTTCGTATAAGTTCCCCGGACCATTTTGGCCACTGACCAGGTTTCGTTTTTCAGTAGTCGCATCAGCGTCGGCACAGAACGGTGGCGTCGACGACTTGGGCGGGCTCTTCGATGACATATCGCCGCCACCGCCACCTGCCGGTAAATGAGATCCCCGCGGCCACAGCGCCTAACCTTATTCGCGTGTTTTTTTTCTCCCGTAAATCTAGCGGGCGGCGATTCTTCGACGACGACAACGCCCTCGCCGCGATACTCTGCGTGCATGAATGCCTGCCAGACGGTCAGCAGCTACAATCCCGTCTGCGGCTCTGACGGTAACACCTACAGCAATCAGCAGCGGCTGCAGTGCGCCCGACGTTGCGGATCAAGTAGGCATATCTATGTGTTTTGTTTAGTGACGGGTTGTGGCGCCATTTTTTTGCTTTCTCCCAGCAAAAAAACCTAAGCGCTTAAGTCTAGTATCGAATATAGGCGAAAGAGGATAGAAATACATGTTTTAGTGTTTTTACTATCATATTAATGATGAAAATGCTCTATAAATTCGTACAAAGGTATTTAAAAAAAATATTTCGTTTTCTTATAGACCCGAGGGGATATTGAACATTATAGGCTGTTTTTCGAGATTATCGTAACCCAACACTTTAATAATGGAAAATTTATGGCTCGTCTATCATGTAGAGTTGATTATTTCAGTGCCAACCTGTCAATAAATATCCTAGACCAACAAATTAAACTTCTATGGTCTGAGCAGCGGCGACGAAAGAGCAACCACTATTATCTAAAAGGCATTAAATTGTATGTAGATAGATCGATCAGAGATATGATGGGAGACATTTTTTCATTTTAAATTCTTTCTTGGTTTCGCCGAGACTAATAAAACTTGAAAAAAGTAAATCAACGAACAAATCAATAAACTATTTAAAAAAAATAAAAATTTAAGCGGCTACGAGGAAGATATAACCCTAACCTCCATTTTCGTGATGACCCGGCGTGACGCGCCATCTTTGTTTCAGACGTGCAGCTCGTCCGCGGTGGCACGTGCCAGCCCTTGAGTTAAACGACGCGATCACCCCTCAGTGTTTAGATTTTTACGTATATAATTTATTTTCGCCTATTCTTAAATAAAACTTCATTGGTTGGTTTTTTTTTAATTTTTTCACCTTCTCCACTGGTAAAAAAAAACACTTTTACATACTAACTTTATTATATATTTTAAAAACATACAATAGATGTTCCGTCAATCTGCTTTGCGTAGTTAACAAAATGAATACTGTATCTGGGGCGGGGCGAAAAGAAAGGTGGGGGGTGGATGATATCCACCACTACTCTCGCGTTCTATATACATATTTAAGTCGATCCCGTAAGCAAGGGGCGAATAATATTTAAAACTTACACCTTACGAAGTCTGAAATGCACAGAATCGTTTAGATTTCCGAAAAAAAAATGGCCACGGAATTTTATAAACGTGAGACTAACAGTTCGAAAGAAGAATAGCGTATCGGTTTCGACCACTACCGGCGACATATATAAAAAGAAACCCCGCACCGTCGAAGGGCGCTTTCTTTTCAACAGCGATTGGCGGCATGATGCTCGGGAATAGTCCCACTGTCCAAAGGTGACCCTTGTGGGCGAACGCCCAGTGCAATTTCAACCAATTGTTGCGAAAGAAGAAGAAAATATTCTGTGGTCGTGTCTACAGTGTTTACATGGCCATGTATCGTATCAAATAAGTGCCGTTTTTCGTCGAAAATCGAGGAAAATTTTGCAGGAATTGTTTGCGTCGTAGCGAGCAATTCTTACAAAAGGTTCCCCCAGTGTGTCAAGTGCGTTTTGTGGCGCTACATTACCGTCCAAGTGATGAAGAACGAAGGTTAGGGTGAGCAGTGTTTTTCTTTTGATTTTAACTAAGTGTTTTTTTCCCGGATATTGCATAACATTGCCGCCATTTGCTATTCAGAAAGCGCTCTTTCGAGTGGCGCGTCTTGTTTCCTAAACAACGCTATACATGCCTAGAAAGACTAGTAACTAACGTTTTTTTTACACTCACTTAAAAATCGATTGCTTATCCTTACGTGTTTTATTATTATTGTTATTATTATGTATTTTATTGTATTCCTAACGTTCTAAACGCTTATACGTAGACACGACGATATCATTTAAAGCTGGTGGCATATTAAAATATAAACCGTATATATTTTTATATCATGTATGTATATCCTAACGGCGGCGTCCGCAACGGGACGAAAATCAAGCGACAACAAGTCGGTACGGTCAGTCGTTCGGAATGTGATGGGGAAACGATTCGGAACGGACGTCGTATTCCAGAGACTAAGCAAAGCAACACGTATACCGGGGCGTCCGCGTGTATTTAACACAAAAACTACGAACGTTGGAGAAAAAGCTAATAAGAAACGTTGCCTTTTCGACTTTGCGCGCCCTGGATTAATTTACATCCCGGATATTTGACAATAGGAAAGAATCTATCTAAAATTGAAAGAACTATATCTCTTTTATGGGAAAAATTACTATTCAGCAGTACGTAATTCATATGTAAAATAAATATTTGGGCTATTTCTTCAGAGATGGCGCAACCATCTAAAGCAATAGTCATTATCGACGGATATTTTTCGACAATTTTTTGAGGCAATAAGAATTTTTACCAAAAAAGTAATGACAAAAAAGTCACAAGCCGCGTTTTTTCCAAAAATCTTTCATTTACCTTGGATTTTTCAACGATCTAAAGCGTACAAAACAACCGCATTGGCCTCCCCAATCTCCAGATCTTAACCCTATTGACCACTGAGAAAAGCTAGAACGAAGGTTACGAATATACGTTATCACTAATCACTGAAGGCAGCTTGACAGTCAGCTTGGTTTGGGTTTTGATTAGTTTTTTTAACCTTGAATATGTAAAATTCCAGATTTGTCGACTTAATATACGGGGCGTTGAAAATAAGAAACCCAGATGAACGGAACACGATGAACAATTAAAAAATATAGATGAAACTATACAACTTTTCTAACTTTTTTCCCTATCGCTCGTAGTTTTTGAATTAAGGATGCAGGGACCCTTATTTTAGACACCTTGCACGTGGTAGGCCAAATTGGAAACTTTTAAAAGGAAACTGCCTTTTCTAAAGGAGCAAGACGCAAACTGACGTTAAGAATTCTATTTTTCGCCACAGGACCCGAGCAAAATACCAAACGGCGGGCCATACAGTAAACCCCGTTTATAACGTACATGGGATATAGCGTACTGAAATCGAAAGCAGAAGAATTAGTCAGGGGATTACAGGGTGAGGATTTTAGGTTTGGCTCGAGCGTTTTAACGCTCGTCACAACTAAACGTCGGAAACATTTCCGGTGAAGCTGGGCGGAACCGGTTAGAAGATAAATAGCCCAGTAATGCACAAAATTAAAGCTCTCGAGGGTAGTTTCAATGGAGATTGGGGCTATTTTACAAGATCCTACCCTTAAATTTAGAGGAGAAAAGTGTTTGGGTTAGTTGTTAATGTTAGTGAGTTAAAAAATTGCTTTCGAAACGTCCCGCGACATCGGCATTCTACTTTTGCTTTGCAGGGAGTTTCCGTTTAACAGTGGCGGCGGAAAAAATTTTCCGGGAACTTAACCTCGATTTTTCTGCTCCATCTGGCGGCCGAAACGGCGCCTCTGGAACGGGCGTCCCTTCCCGTCAGATTAACTCTCGCCAAGGCTCTCTAAATAAACGCGCTACGGGAATAAATACATTTTTCCAAAAAGGGTGCGGAGGAGCGGGGGGAGGTTACGCCCTTAATAGTCGGCGGGATGGTCCGCGCTGCCCTCTACGTCCTCCAGGTCGTCCTCGTCGTCGCTCGGATCATTCCCTACGCCACTGTTGTTGTTGGACGCGTCGTCCGTTTTCATTATCGAATCTGAAAGAGTGCGCGCCCATATTAGAAAAAACTTCGGTTCCTTCGACATAACCTCAGCGTTCCACAAGCCGCGTCGGTTTTTCGAAATTTCTTCTAACGAAATTTATATCCGGCTCGAAGGACCACTTTTTGACTGGTTTTAATGAAGTAAACTTGTCCCGCATCGTTGCCAATATTTTCACTTCAACAGTACAGGTTTTGTGTTAAAAAAGTACAGTGAAAACTCCAGTTTTGTCCTCTAATTAGAGGTGCATGAAAAAAAAAACCATATAAATCGTAAATATGGATTACGTTTATTTCTTTAAAAATATACAAAAAACTATACAATAAATGTAATTATTTATTTACAAACTAGATACTAGTCTGACGCATATTTATTATTTTTTTTGCTTTAACAAACTTGGCTGAAAATGATCTAAATTTTTAAGGCGTTTTAAATGCAATGTAGTCCTGTTTGGCAAAAACTTTTAGATCGGTAATTACTCTTAAGTCTTCGTTATAGGTGTTAATTGTGCTATTTTCCCCACTAGCATCTTCTTGATCTCTGTTTTCTTCCGGTTCCTGTTTTCAATTTCATCTTCAATGTTCAAACTAGTCTCCTCAGTTGCTGTAATATTGTTACGCTCATTTCTCTAACACATCGTTATCATCGGTTATCAACTCTCTTGTTTATAGAACCGTAAAACTAATTAAAACACCTTACCTCCGCTTTTCTCTCTAATAATTTCCACATTAGAGATACTAAGCGCTCCATCACAAAGTACACTTCACCACAACCTTCCAATAGCGATGAGGCCGAAAGCAATCCTACGTTTGCCGCTGTCGTCCTTCCTTACATTCAAAACATAACTGACCACACACCAAAAGTTCGAAAGAAATATAACGTCAAAACCAAATCTATCAACATCTTCGATCCGTCAAAGACAAAATTCCATTTGAGATGCCAGGAGTTTACCGCCATTTCATGCATATATCACGATAAAACATAGTCTTAGTAGAATGGGGCAGAAGTTCCTTGAAGATGATTCAAGAACTGGTCGATCAGTGGAGGTCATAACGGAAGATATTGTTGCGATTGTGGAAGAGGTAGTATTGAGTGATCGACGTTTAAAGGTCAAGGAAATCTCAGAAATTACTAAGCTTTCTGGTACAAGTGTTCGTCGAGTCCTGCACGATCATTTAGGTATGCATAAGGTTAGCGCAAGATGGGTTCCTTTCGGCTATTCAAAAACAACGCCGTGTCGAGTATTGGAACTCTGTGGGTCGGAACCGAACCCTGTGATAGAAACGTTAACATAATAGAAATTTATTAATACTCATATAGTTTCAGTCGTACTATGAATTTACTACCCACAATTAACTGAATTCTTGTTTAAAACAAGTAATAAAATGTTAACTTGGTAAGATAAATCGTCCCGATCAAAATCGCAGGTTCTAACCTAAACATTCTATCACTCGATCTCGTATACGTCACGTCTCAGCTGTTGGCGGATCGGCTGTCACAGCCCCGCCCCCAATTCCCCACGTTACTCACCGCAGTTGGGTTTGGCGCGCGTGCGCGTATTGGCGAACTCCACCCCGTGCTTGTCGACGCACCAGCACATCCCGATGGCCGCGTGACACTGCGCGGGCTTGTAGTACCCCAGGGAGTCGCAGTCAGGCACGTAAACTCCAGCCGCCGCTGCCCCATCGGCTACGATTTTGTGCCTGACGGCCGCGCAAGGCCTCTCGGTCCTCTGGAAACATTTGCACCACTCGGAGGGCGTCACCGAGGAGTCCGCGTCTGCGTCGCACCGCTGCAGGAACGGCTTGAGGCACACCTCGCTCTGGTCGTGTTCCAGATCGTAGAGTTCCTCCAGGGAAAGCTTCGAGTCGCCGCTGGAGTCCAAATGCTGGAACATCCATCGCACCTCCACCTTGCACGACGACGGGAAACGTGCTTGAAACATGACACCATGCCGATTAGCTAGATTGTCGAGGGATATAATCAGGCAAGGTCTCTATTTTTGAGACGAAGTTCGATTGAATCTTTGTGCCGGCTCCTAAAGATCAGAATCGAAGGGTTCACACCAGAAGAGATACCAATAAGAAGGACACACTTTGGACAACTTTTCAAAGGATTCTGTCAGCAGATTTATAAATACCATGAGACATGCGAATTGTGGATGCAGCCAAAGAAAAGAGAGAGAGAATATCTTCGACGGAACGTAGCAAATAGGTAAACATAAAAGACTCCCCATGACAAGTGATGAATGAAGGACATTCATCACTTCATCATTCATTCATCACCACCACCATCTTATTTTTTGCTCCTAAAATCCAAAGTAACATTGGTGATGTATGGCTCTGAAGCTTGGATGCTTACGTTGGAGACTACCAGTTCATAGTTCATAATATTGCTCAACTTGGATCCTAAAAAGGGCCCAGGACTGGACGGTATACTACCACAATTTCTCAAAAATTGCCCACTTTTGCCGAAACCTCTTAACATTCCCTTTAATAAGCTGAGGAGGCGTTTCCAAAAAGCTGGAAAGTGGCCCAGATAGTCCCTATTTTAAATTCGGATGGTTCTACAGACGCCGATAATTATCGTCCTATCTCTCTTATGTCTCTTTGCCAAGTTTTTTGAGGTTGCAATTTGGTCACGACTGTTTTTTCTGGTAAAAAATAACAGAGATCCAAATCCACATGGTTTTCACAACAACACATTCAGTCCTTACAAACTTGGACCCGTCCATCCATGATATCAATTTTTCCATAAGTAATGGTTTTGAGACGTGCGCCGTGTACACCGATTTTTCCAAGGCTTTTGATAAGAGTCCATCATCTTTAATGATAAAACTCGGGAATTTCGGTGCAAAGCTATACTACAAAAAGAACTGTTTGTCATTGTCAATGATAAAAAATCTCCTCGGGTGTCCCCCAGGGATCTCATCTGGGCCCCCTACTCTTTAGAAGTTTTGACGGACAGACAAGGATGAAGCAATACTGTAAAATGGGCACCCAGGGTTGTAAGCCATGGAGGTATAGTAGTAATGAAGGCACGGACAGCAATATTTATATATTTATATTTATTTATATACTTGAAACAATAGTCCGATTGTCGAAGGCAATGGATTTGCATTTGCATAGATCGATGGTCATACTATACCCGGTTATACACAAACTAATATACAAGGTGTTCTCTGCATTAGTATACAGCTACAGAGCCACAAAATAACCCCAATAACTCTCTGTACAATCCTCTGTACAATCCTGAGTAATGCGTGAAGAACCTACCTTTGGATTTGGTTCGTATTCTGTGACGCTTGGACGAATCGACCATCACCACCGAGAACCAGTCCAAGAGACGGTTGCCCATCGCTTGCAGGGCTACGGGCGAGCACTGTTTGGCTACGGGGAGGGCGGGGTCGGAGGGCCCCGCCGAGTCGTAAATTTTGTTGTCCGTGACGTCATTGTAGCCGCGCGTGCGCTCCTTGTCTTCGGCGTAAAGGATATTGTAGGCGTCCTGCCAAACGTCGAAATTGCGTAACTTTACTCGTAACGACTTGCGCATATTGATTAAAAATTGCCTATTTCAGTTTTTATGACCCCCACCACCCGAATTAATTGGGCTCACACAAATTTGCATTAAATAAACGAGTTTGGGAATGGGAGCAATGAGACAGTGGCGTTACTACAGGTACTACAGAGAAGAATTGATCATAATGCTCTCTCTTCTGCCGTGAACTGTTATCGCAGTCAAAAGATCTCCAAGATTTCACCTACCAACCTCTTCCACATTTTTTTTTTGTTAGAAGTCCACTCTTTCGTTCACGTGATCATTTTAGGTACTGGTATTTTTTTTGGTTTCGTTTTGTGATTACTTCTGTTTGCGCTGGTTCTGACTACGTTGTTTTGGTTTCTGTTGTATTGGTAACAAAATTTAGTAAATTAATTATCTTACAAAGGATATTTTCACTGGGTTTCACTGGGTTCTCCTATGTACGTAATTGTTTTAAATTGATCGTGTTCTGTGTTAGGCTTCGGATAAATAGAGTTTACTGTTGTCTGGACTTGTTTTTTATTTATAATTTTATCGATAATGGACGGATTGCAGCCGTTGTTCAGTGCAATTTGTTTAATATTAAGTTCTTTGTTGTAATTTCCTGTTGAGAGTGGCGTATTAAGAAGTTTGTGTTTAGAAGAGTGAAACGCAGCCGTTTTGTGTGTATAAGTGTGATTTGAGTTGTTATGTATGACTGTGTCCGTGTGTGAAGGTTTATGGTAAATGCAAAGTGTTTCGTCTTCAAAAAAAAAAACTCTGCATGTTCTTCTTGCTTTGGACCATACCAATTCTATGGGTCGGCAAGAAATTTGGTATAAAGGTGTTTATTCAAATTTAAAATCTTCAATTGTGCCTTTTTCAGCATAGCTTTCTGACATTGCTTGACCCTGACCATAATGTGCTGGAAAGTTTTCCACAATTTATCCTCCTCTTTTTTTAAAGTAAAGCGAAAGAATTATTCTTCTGATTGTCTTTTCATTCTGTACTTCTCTTTGATGACATAATCCGGTCAATATCATTTTTAGAAAGCCATTTTCAAGCATGAACTTGATCAGCAACTATAATTCTAATTTTAAACCCTGAGGCAGGGACGGACAATTACCTATCTGTCTCTCGGGAGTCCTAACTGAGTATAGGGTGAGATTTTTACCCTTTTCGCTTCCCTTAGCAGAAAAAAATCGAAATTTCATGGCGGATTTACTGGTTACGACGTGCAGGACAAAGAAAACCGTGCGAAAAAAAGAACGAATCAAAACGACCCCATTTTAAAAATACGTATTGATTTTCCCGTAGTAAAAATTTAAAAAATGCCAAAAAAAAGGAAAACCCGACCGGGATTCGAACCGCGAACTTTCGGTTGCGAGGATCGCGCGTTACGTACCACGCCACGTCGGATTCGCGCACGCCGACGCCACCTACCTTATTGTATTTGGTGTATTTCATGTATTTGTAGTGTTTGTTGTCGTATTTGATGTCCTGAGGCACGAAGGAGTAGTCGTCGGCCTTCGAAGCGGCGGCTTCCGGTCGGTCCTTGTCCAACGTCGCTTTGTATTTGTTTATGAAATTGCTCAGACGTTCCGACTGACGCTGCTTCTTCCACGCCTTCGGCTCGTTCTCTGCAACGCGGTAGCCGAATTTTTTCCAAAATCCGATCCAAAAAAAAAAGGAAAAAAATTTTTTTATTTCTACGCTTACCCTTGCAAGGGCAGAATCCCTTGCACGTGACCTTGACCGAGGTGTGGTGGATGCAGTTGTGGTAATCCAGGCGGCACAGTGAGCTGTACGTCCTGTTGTCCGAGCCGCAGAGGAAGACCGGTTTCACCACGGGACAAGGGCGACATCTGCAAACGTAAGTCGCTTACCACGACGAAGTTTCGCACAGCAAAACACTCAACTTACATCAAGGAATCGACAGAGTCCTCTTTGGACTCGTCGTCCAGGTCGTCCTCGGCGTCGTAGAAGACGTCGTCGTCGTCGTCTGCGGCGTCTTTTTTGCTCGCCTCCTTCTTAGGAGGCGTCCTCGGTACCACGATGTCCCTATATTACACAGGGAGACTTTTCAGCACGCGGCCAAACTTCGGAAAGTGATTTTTTGGAATAATTAAAAAAAATGGTATTTCTACATTTATTAGGGTATTTTTGAAAAAAAAAAAGCCTAAAATCTCCTCAAATTTATTCAGTTATCTGCTACTTCCGGTTCGACCGGAAGTGAAGTCGCTAAAATTTACTTAAAATAAAATAGAAATCAAAATCGAAAACCGAAAGGTATGTTCGGTTATCCGACAATTATTTCCGGTTATACCGGAAGTGACGTTAAAATTTGATTTTAATACGATTTATAAATAAATACAGCGCGTGTCGCAATTAAAATTTCGAACATGGCGTCGCTTCCGGTCTAACCGGAACCGATTCGCCCCAACGACAGTATCGCTTTCCTATTAAACGTTATTTAAATTATAACATTGAAAAGTATTCTCGCTGATCGGGCATCATTTCCGGTTTTTCCGGAAGTGGCGTGGCAGAAATTCGAATCGAAACCGATAAAATATCGTTCAAACCGGAAAGGTATTTTCGGTTATCTACCACTACGTCCGCCTCGACCGGAAGTGACATCGGTGAAATTTAGTTAAAAAACGATGAAATGTAGAGCATGTTGTAATTATTTTGGTATATCCGACACTACTTCCGGTACGACCGGAAGTCGCCAAAATAAAATATATTCAAAAAACGATGACATGTCGTTTCACAGTTAGAATTCAAAGGTAAAGTTGCATCCGGTTTCGCTTCCGGTCGAACCGGAAACACGCCGCCGCTTTCTTAGCGACCCGTTTAAACTTTTACGCGACTAGAACGACCTTCTCCCCCGACTAAATCCGGATCCGGAAGTTAGGAAGCGAGGACGACGTAGGGAAATTATCGGTTGGGAAATTAGCTGTGGGGTTGCGCGCCTTCGTGAGGAAGTCGTGGCGTTCCGTTATGATTGCCCCGAAAATGAAAAGAAACAAAAAATGGCTCCCTCGGAATTGAAATTAACAATTTCAAACCGGTTGGATCATATTTTCTGTTAAAAAGACGAAGGATTTGTGCCAGTCGAGGATCACCATACAAAAAAGTGGAGAATTAAAAAAAAAGACGCTATGAATTACCTACCCATTCTTTTTGAGCTCCTTCCTCGACACGCACACAGCAGTGAATGGGTCTTCGAGCAAACAGATCTCTTTCTTCTTGCACTTGAGGGGCCGACACAATTCGCCTGTAATTAATAAGCGGTAAATGATTATTCTCGGGGTGATTGATGGTGGTGTTGGCAAAAAAAATTAATTACGTCGCATTATCGAAAAAGAAGGAGGAGGGTTAAAACTGCGTAATGGAGGAATTACCCAAAAAAAGCAATGGAAAACGAGGGAGACCAAAGAAGACACGACAATATCTACATAAAATAAAACATCACCTAAGACTAATGGAACTATCTATGCTGGGAGAGGATAGGATAATAAAAGTTTACAAGCTAAAGAGACAAGATCGCTTCCGAAAAATCGTAGCTGGGCGAGGCAAATTCGTAGCCGGGTGTAGCTCGAAGCAGCTTTTTATTTTTTAAAAGAAAGAGCTTCGCGGTTTCTTGTGGTAAAGGGACGCCATGTTTTTTTATCGTGCTCCTGCGGACCACTATGGAACATTCTCAAAATCGATGTAATTTTATTGTGCATATACCCTGTATAAAGGTGTCTTTCAAGCCTCGCAGAACTTCAAAGTTTACGATACCGTTCACATCAAATTAACGGATTTTAGCAGTCTTCCACTTATCCGCAATAATTTACCAACAACAACTGGAATTTTTGGGATGTTTTGATATTTTTGCCCATAAACGGCACACCCTGTATATGATTCAAACAATGTTCGAAATAGAGGTTATAGCCCTGGATCTCCCACGTTTCCTGGTATATGATTTTTTTCAATGGAGTAAGTGGTTTTCAAGAAAATACTTGTTTTCTGAAACCATGCGGTACGTGGCAATAGTAAATGACGTCATCGCGTCTAGATTGATTGCGAGAAATTGTGATTTTCCCATGGATTTTTTCAAATATTTCGACCAGCGTATGTGATAGATGAAAACCGTAAATACAAAAATTTTAGCTCTCGATGTGGTTTATTATACTGTTTAAACCAATTAGCCTTATTTTTCACGTATTTTGATTTACGGCTAAAAAGAACGATTTTCAGGATCTATTACATTTTTGTCTATAATTGAAAAACCCTGCCGATCGGGTTAATAGTTTTTGAGAAAATAATGTTACCAATTTGTTTTTTCAAAAATTTTTAAAAAATACTTTACGATATTTGTTCTTCTTCAACGGATGAAATGCGGGGGGCTTCCGCCCTTCCGCCAAATTTGAAGTCGATAGCTTCTAATCTCGCACACTTATCGTGTTTCATAATAACGTCCAAAAAACTATCGACAATCGAAAAAAAAAAAGATGGAGGCCGAAGCTTGAACGCCGCCATTTTTACATGTCTTATGCATCCCATGGACGGTTAAAAAGGAGCAAAATTTGAAGTGTGTAGCTCAAACCGTTCGGAAGTTATTGTGGAAAAACCCTGGAACAGAGAACAGAGAACGGACAGATAAAAAAAAATTTTTTTCGACGCTGATCATTTGTGGGGTAGTAGGACCTACCATTACCGAGATCTCGAATTTAGTGAGGAGCGAGTATACTTTCGAAAAGAATTGATTTCATCGATTTTTCGAAAGTAACAAGGTTGCTTTCGAAAAATCGTCGGTGGGCGGGGCAATTTCGGAGAGTGTAACGCGAACCAGATTTTAAGTTAAAAAAAAAAAGCCAATTTTCCTATCCTGCTCCTGCGGACCACCATGGAACTTTCGCAAAATCGATGTAATTTCATTGTGCTTGCACCCTGTATAAAATGTCTTTCAAGTCCCGCCGAACTTTTATGACTGTTCAAACCAATTGACCATATTTTTCACGAATTTTGTCTGAAATAAAGGTCATAGCCTCGGGTCTCCCGCATTTCCCAGTTCTAAAATTTTACCGATCGGTCGAATAGTTTTTGAGAAAATCATGTTTACCTGGAAGCCAAAATTTTTCAAAATTTTTTAAAAAATATTTGTTGATACTTGATTAAGCTCAAATTCTAATGTTTAGGTGTGGGTACGAACTTCTACTTCCTTGCCAAATTTAAAATCGATAGCTACATATTTGGGTCACTTATGACGTTTTTGAATATAGCACGGAATGTCCCGAACACACTGTACAGTATGTGAAAACTTTAAATACAAAAGTTTTAGCCCTCCATACGGGCTATATAGCTATGTAAAAAAAAACTGGCAACAGAATCACAGCCTTCTTGTTGTGGTCAATTATCATTACAAAACGACGCACCCTGAACATTTTTAAATAATCATCAAAAATAAAGGTTTTTGGTCCGGATCTTGCGCGTCGTTTGGTTAAATAATTTTTTCAATCGTACGTCTTGGAGAAATGATTTTTTTTCTCGATACCCTGCAAGTGCGGTTTTTATTTTTTTTTAAATACTTCCCGACCCCCCAGCCCCCCATTTTCAAATAGGTTCTGTCACGAGGCAAAGCTGCATAGATGTGTCAAATATGAAGTCGATTGCTTCAAATTTCGGACACTTATCGTGTTTCATTGCGAAGTCCAAAAAACAGATGAAAATCTAAAAAAAAAAGATGGACGCCTCGGATTGATCAGACCCATTTTTTACTGGTTTACGGCTTAAAAGACGCCAAATTTGAAAGCCGTGTTGTAAACCGCTCAAAAGATATAGCCAATTAATGCCAGGTCTACAGAGAAACGGAGAACAGAAAAAAAAAGTTTTTTTTTTCGACGCTGATCGTTTTTGTACCAATGGCGGTCCCCTACGACCTACCGTTGCCGAGATATAAGTTCCGTGCTAAGCGCGGATACTTTCGAAAAATTCGATTTCATCGAAGTAACAAGGCAGCTTACCAAGTTCAAAAAATACTTGATATTGATGATCTCTTGAAACCAAAGGAGTTCCGAACCTCACACATCTGAGGGCAACATGTTTGTTTTTCCTTACTTTTAATTCGCGATAATTTCGTTCAACAATTCGATGGCGCTGACGGGGAAGCAAACTCTATTGATTTTTATTAAATTTTATTCGGTTTACTTACTGGACGGGTCGTGAATCCATCGCTTCTTGTCGCCCGCCTTCGAAGTTTCCTGCAACGAGAAGGGACCGCATTATAAAAAAGAAGAAGAGACGCGAGTTTAGACGTTATATATTTGTTGAAACGAATCAGCCGAACTCAAGAGAGGTAGCATAAAAATCAAGAAAACACTGTACAGGGTTATTCATTATATTTCGACACCCACCTACAAGGTTAATTTTGAAAGGCAGAAAAAAAATGCAAATACAAAAGTTTGACGTCGGCAAAACAAAGGACGATCGCAAGCTGTCAAAATGACAGCAACATCATTTTTTTTTTAATGGAATGTCCTAATATGTTTCAAAAACATGGGTGATACAATCAGTGTTTCCCTGTTTAGATCATGTAAACCGATATTAAGTATTTCTCTTATCACTTGTTAGGCCTATTATAATAGATTTTATTTTTTAAAAATTGAACTGGGGTGGCTTTTACTTGATGAAAGTCCATTTATCAAAATAAATAAGAATTAAAAGTTCAGATTTTCATTTCATTTCATTTTCATTTTATATTATTACATGACAAATGTTTCGACAACACCGTGTCTTTCTCTTCTTCTTCCAGTGCCTGCTTCATTCTAGTGAAGGTTGGCAGTCATCCTTTGGAATCCCTCGCGATCTACAGTCATGCGTATTAGATTTACAGTATCACGTACATGGAACCAATCTCGTAGGTTTTCAACCATGAAAATCTTTTTCTACCCAGGCCGAGCCTGCCTTCTATCTTTCCTTCCATGATGAACTGTAACACGGCATATTTTTGAGGCTTTCCTTTTCTTGACAGTGGTTAGTAATTCTCGTTCTCTGTTCATTCGTTGGTCACGCGATCCGTCCATGGTATTTTAAGGATCCGTCTAAAGAGCCACATTTCAAAAGCTTCCACCCTTCGCATGCTGGAGACCTTCAAAGCCCAGCTCTCGGCACCGTAAAGTAGGGTAGTCAAATCATAGCATTGTGTTATTCTCCAGCGTGTTTTCAGGTTAAGATCGTTACTTGTGAGAAGCGACTTTAACTTAAAAAACCTGCTCCTGGCCATCTCTATTCTTGTCTTAATTTCTTCATCTGGGTCCCACTCGTCATTTAATTTAAAAAAGAATTCAATTGCCATCCACGTACCTATACCGCCATAGAAAACTTTTCTTTTTAGATCAAAAGACAATAGTGTTGCGTTAGAAGAGATTTTGATATCTTTAATTTTGTTGATTAATTCAAAAGAATTTTTTATTGCAAATTTTGGTTTGGTTAGTTTTTCTTCCTCAGTATAACCCATTTCAAATATCTCAAGTTATTTAATCTTTGGTTTTGATTAGTTGTCAAAATTAGAACATTGTTAAAACAATTGCAAACAGAGATAATATGGTTGTTATCGAGGCGGACTTGACCAATGTTGAACAATATGGCTGTAGTCCAGAAATCGAACGATAATAATTTTTAAACTGAAACTCGTTTGTTTTATCTGACATTTGCAAAACACAATAGAGCAAAAGTCTTCAAACTTTTGTATTTACACTTATCTTTCAACATTAACCTTGTAGGTGGGTGTCAAAATATAATAAATAACGTAGTACTTTGATGTAATTTCAATACACCCTGCTTATGGATACATTTTTATTTCAATTTAAAGTTCAACAAGCACAAAAAAATGTATACTAGTAATACTGTTTACACATCTTCTGGATTCCTCCTTGCTGACCATTCATCCTGTTGGCTAAACTGAAACTGTATTCTGTATTCTGTATGCTCTGTGCATAGATATAAAGAAAGTGACCAATTGCTTTTGATTGGGATTATCCAAGGGTGGTCATTAACATACAATGCAACAAGATGATTACCCGAAGTTTCGGAATTTAAATTCAGGTAAAATTGTGGTCCGTGACAGAAAATAATTTTATACCTACCTGTGTTTAATATTCTTTGGTTTGGTATACTACTTGCCAATTATGCAAAATATGTGCTAGTCTAGTGTATCAACGACATTTATTTTCACGAAGATTATACCAAAAAGCAATTAATTGGGGTTCTACAAAGCTTGAACCCACAAAAGGAATGTGTCTGTGATAATTATGCAAAAAATCTAGGCCATACAGTTTTAAGGCTTCCACCTTACCACTGTATATATAATCCCATTGAACATGTTTGGCACCAACTGAAATCTGCCATTCGTCGTAACAATGTTTTTCCCCGTCTTAACTCCAATATCTTCAAACTTATAGAAAACGAAATTTTTAACATTCCTCCACAAAGTTCGGAAAATTCTGTTAAACATATAGAAAAAGCAGAATAATCGTATATCCATATTGCAAATAATACAGAAAAAATAATAATTAGAACAGGCGATGATATCGATAGTGATACTGATACATTATGTGAATAATTTTAAGTAATTTAAGTAGGTAATAAAAATAATTTGTCATTTTATTTTAGATTTAAACATAAATACCTACAAAAATAAATATTTTTTAGTATCTTTCCTAACAAAACCTCAAATAATTACATTCTAAGCAACGTACGGACCTGTTCGGCCATATTTCATTCTTACAGCTTGCCCGGGTCTTTCCTTAATTCGAATCAGTTAGTCACTTTCTTGTATCTATGAACAGACTTTATAAAATTACTTTCTATTACGGATCACAATTTTATTTTTTAATTTATTTTATTATTAATCTTGTTGCATTGTATGTTAATGACCACCCTTGGATAATCCCATCCAAAAGCAATTGGTTACTTTCTCATATCTATGAACAGACTATACAAGTCAAAAATGTTCTTAATATGGAATATCCCAGGGGTTGGATAGGGAACGGCGGAACCATGGATTGGCCAGCGAAAAAACCCGACTTTAATGGATTTTTTCTTTCGAGGACACAGAAAAAATCTTCGGCAAAGGATTTCAGAGGCAATCAAGCAGTCAAGAGACAATCCGGAAACGTGACTAAATATCATACGATTAGAGTGTATGAGAAATGTGTTCAGGAAAATGGTGGTCACATACAGCACTATTTAGAATAGTTAAAGAATTTTTTACCTTAATGCGTTACTTTATTGTTGCAGTCAATCACCGCACTCTTGGAAATTACATAAAAATTTCCTATTTTTGCCGATTTGTCAAAAACGAGTGGACGTAATCGGAATAAGATGTTCTATTAAACACATATATAATATACAAGGTGTTCCGTTTTAAAAAAATATGATGGAGGCTTATATGTCAGAAAATTGACAGTGTTTTGTTTTATACGTCACTTGGCTACTAACCCTAAAATGTTATCAATATAAATTTTGATATAGCGTCCGATGACGTCTAATGTTCCCCGTATCCTAGACAAAAACACCCCCCCCCCTAATTCCTTAATTACTACCCTAACTTTCGTTCGCTCCGTTTTAAAAAGCCGTTCCCGAGAAAATTAAAAAAACACCCCGCCGCCGCCGCCCCGCTCGATTTCCAATCTCGATAATTAACCGGAACGTACTTTAGGCCGCCGTAACCTAAAAAAAATAAAACCAGCTATCGATTATATCCGGCGAGCGGACACTTCAAGGTAACGGAGTGCCTTTCCCTTTTTTTCGGCCGCCGCCGCCGCCGCCGCGATCGAAAGCAAAGCGCCCACGGCCTACCTCGTCCGCGAACTCAAAGTCGCCCTCGAATTTCCACTTGCTACGTTTCGCCTCGCCCTGGCACAGGACGAGGCCCGCCACCACCACCAAAACCGGGATCACTCTCATGTCGCACGATCTCGCCTAAATATTCGGACCACTCGCGTCCCGACCAGTTTTCGATTGTTCAATTCCGGGGAAACCTCTTCGGCAGTGAGATTGCGCGCATCGCGTAAGTAGCGGTCGATACGACATTCGCTCGCTGAAGACGATTTTCGAACCCACTACGCGACGGAACGAAGAAGTTTGGTTGAGAGGGCTGCGGCGCGGTGGCGCTGCGCTCGAGAGTGCCACGGAACGATGAAACCGGCGATGACGTTTGGGACGACGGCGGGGTTGACGAAATATAGTTGGCCGGGCCGCGGCGCAGTGGCGCTCCACTCGCAATCGCCACCGAACGAGAAAAGGCGCGATTCAATTGGGCAGTCCAAACCACGTGATGACAGTTAGAAATCAGTTGTGTGGCGAGTTTCGAAGTTCAAATCTATTTTTGTAGCATGCTATTTTGTTTGTTTCGAGGTGGAGAATCGTTATTGAAAGAAGTTAATATATAAAAAAGTTAATATTAAAAAACTGTAAAATGGTTTGCCTTATGAAATGTTTTTTTGTAGAAATCGGATAAAACTGCACTTAGTTGATGGTTTAGATCTCCAGTCTCCAATATTATGAGTTATTTAGTGTTTTCCCATAGCTTTTACGCTAATGAACAGATGAAAGCTTTTAACAGTTTGCAATCTTATAACTGATTTGAATCTTGTTTGCTCTTTACAGATCACACATTAGTTAATTAAAATTTTAAAAGTAAAAATTATGAAATAGCGTTATTTAATTTGTTTGTCCTGTGACGTCATATTGAGTTTCATTTGACAGGTCGTAGGAATGCCTAATTATTAACTGTGGTTATTAACTTATTTTTTTTTTGCTGCTCGAATGTATTTTTCACGGGGGTAAAAATCAAACACAAGCGGATATGCTTTTTTGGGCACAAATTTTATTGCTACTTTGAATATTAATTTTCTTGTGGGTTTCTATTGGAATTACAGAACCAGTATATGTGTGTTGTGTGTGGAATTGAAGACAAGGTTCAAGAAACAGGTTGGTCGATCTTGGTTAGAACCCGCTAACCTTAATGTATATATGCATGTGCTTGAAAAAAAATTAAGCATAAAGTTTGTATTCTTTAAAATAATTGAGACTCTTATTGAAATAAACAACATTCTGAGAACATGTTTATTGGTTTCTATTGCCGTTTCGTGTGTCTGTGACAAAAACTGTGGTTTGTTTCGTTTGTCGTTTTAACAGAAATAACGAAAGAAATTAAGGCCATGACCATGGCGACAGAAAAGGTTTTTGCATATAAAAGTCTCGAAATTCCGAAATAATCGTAACAAGGTGATAGCTGATAGCACTGATAGCAGCTGATAGTGACGATATAGTCTTGAGAGAGATAAATGCTGGTTTTTAAAAAGTAATATGTGGACATAAGTATTTAAACGGATATACAATATGTTCAGCTTCCATCTGGCGATGTTTTTCTGTTTCCAAGTTTTTATACCTAGTTTGCGCTTCTTAACGTTTATATTCTGTGATTTTTACTAGTGGATTGGATTTGTACGTAACTAGAGATCAAAGAACCGGTAATCCTGCAGTTTACGTTTCCAAAAGAGGGGGACATTTTAACTTTGGTTCCTAACTTGTCCAGCTGCACAGTGACAAACCAAACATTTCTTTTTATAAGATAGGAGCAGATATATTGACATTTGCAGGTCAAAATTATTTAGTTGTTGTTGACTATTACACAAACTGGTTGGAATTAGAAAAATTAGAAACCAAAACTGCATCTGAAATTATAACAATTTTAAAGTGAATTTTCTCTACTTTTGTTATTCCTATGTTATTTATTTCTGATAGTAATCCCTTTAATAGTAAATGACTGGGATTTCAAAATAATAACTTCTAGTCCAAGATATCCAAAGTCCAATGGACTCTCTGAAAAGGCAGTAGGAATTTGTAAAGGATTGTTGAAAAAGTGTCAAGAATCAAATACTGATATTTATAAAGGCTTACTAGAATATAGAAACACCCCTCTTGCTAATACAAATATATCTCCAACAGAGCTTATGTCCAAAAGGCTTGTTCGTTCTTTTATACCTATATCAGATAAATTTTTAAAAACTAATAACAATACAACGACACAAATTAAAGACAAACAAGTTGTGAACCAACAATATTATGATCGAAACTCTAAATTGCGCGCTGACTTCCAGAAAGGAGATAATGTTATAATTTTAAAAAAGTAGGAAAGGTGTTGGGTTCTGTTGCATCAGGGTTGTTCGGTGGTCTGTGGTGTTCTTATTCTATGGTTTAGAGAGGTTAGAATGTGGGACTCTCGGTCTGGCATCTCGCGCGCTTATGTCCGAACCTCATGACGCAGATTAAATAAAAGACTTTTAGTGGAGTTCTCTTTTATTATAAAAAGCCTCCAATACGACAGGGTCCAGGAGAAGTGGTAGGGAAACGTAGTACTCCACATTCTTATTTAGTTAGAGATAGCTTTGGGAAAATTCTAAGAAGAAATTCATCTTTTCTTAGACGTTCTCCGAATCCACTTCCTCCGATATTCTAAAGACCATTTGATATGGATGTTGAAAATAGTTTAGAACCCAGTTCCTCGACTACCAATCTTGACAAGAAAGACTCTACCTCCACTTATAACAAAACAGATAATTTGGTTATGAACCCTCAACCTTTAATGACACGTTCGGGTAGAGTTGTTATAAAACTTGTGTTGTGTTTAAGAATTTATTTGAATTATTTTTAATTTTTGTAAAAACGGGAGATGTGTCATACAGGGTTAGTTAGTTTAGTAACCAAGTAATAGATGGCGCTTCCCATGAAGTGACATTGCCCCCCAAAGACGTCACATCCGATAAGAGAACATAAGAAGAAGATTTACGCGGACGCCAGAAATGACTATAATGTTTTAGTTGTTGTATAATATAATTAATAAGTATATTTTAATGATATCTGTATTGTACTGCAACAGATATAAGATAGAACATTGCCAAACTGCAATTTCTATTCGATATTATTTTTATTCGAATATCATATATATATATAATATATAATATTAACCGCCCGTTTCACGTGAAACTGTGAACATATATTTAGAGTGCATATATAAAATTTCAAATTGATAAAACGATTCCAATCGTTTGACAAGCAAAACATCTAAGTATTATTTTTGATAATTCTGTTTCGATCGTCACGTCAAAAAGCTGTTGAATGTATTAGTGCAGAACGCAGTTATTGTCACATAGATGGCGTTACGCGTATTGTTTTTGAAATAACTTCTTTTTTGGCCTACGTGACTAGAGAAGAAACACGCGGTGGAATGGCGGACCAAGTGTAGAATGATTTTGTTAGTGTTTTCTTATAAATTCCAATATTTAATACATCCTTCTTAAAATAAAACGCTTCAGTGTGTGTTATTAAACCCACATAATTTAAAGAAAGCTACCAAAATATGAAATGAATGACAAAATAATTACAAAAACTAAACCGCCAAGTGAAGAACGTTAATTGTAACATACGGTATTTAAACAAAAAGTCGGAGAAAACAAGAACCTATTGAAAGGGACAAATTGTGTTGTAATGAATATATACACAATAGGTGGGTTATTAGTAAGCAAAAAATGTTTTTTTTTTTCAGCTTTTTACTTTTATTTTTTTATTTCCTATGAACTGGTATGTTGTATCTGAAATTACCTACTATTTCCCTCATAAAAACACAAATAGAATACCATATTTTTAAAGTTAAAAAACTTTTGCGTTCTTTCACTTTCAAAAAATGGGATACTTTGGATATGATGACAACTGGTAACAAACTTTTTAAAAACTTCCGATTTAATGGCGCATGCGCCGGGCGGGCGATGTTTTGTCTCGCGAAGATTAGATTTTTCAACGCATAATTGCTTCTACCGATGGTACGCAGACGCAGCGTTGCCAGTTGCTTCGGAATTACGGACTTGTCGCGCAATGGCTTGCGCAAATCGCTCGCAATATACACAATTGGGCCGAAACTTGGGAATAATCTGGCTGCGCGCCGCATAATCACTCCGCTTTTATTAAACTGCAGTCAATTTTTCGACGTCGCGCTGCCATTCGGATTCGAGTTGGCACCGCCTCAGCAAATCGAATATCGATCGAAAACTGCGGCAAGTTTTACGTCAAACGAGCGCAGCCGTAGGCAACCCGCCCGATTGCGTAACCGACAACCGTTCTCCGCTTCGACGGAGCGCGGTTGGCGACACTGCATCCCTCGATAACCTCCGACCTTATGATTGGCCTTCGAACCTGGAAGCGGCACGCGATTGGTCGGACAACCCACTATTTCCACGGTCGCGTGCCCGACTGTGGTCTCCCACTAAACAATCGTAATGTCGTTGACGACGTTCGCCTATCAGTCGCCGTTCAAAATTCGAAGTGCGTTGTCGGTCGCAACAACAGGTTGCGTTTTGATCGCGATTTCAAGGCGACGATGGCTTGCACGAGTCCCAAGAGAGTGTGCATCGTGGGGAGCGGAAATTGGTAAACCGCGCGTCAGATAACCTCCCCGACGGTACTCGTAAAGGGCTTAATTGTAGGGGTTCCGCTATAGCGAAGATCGTGGGCTCGAATGCGGCCCGCCTAGCAACTTTCGACGACCGGGTGACGATGTACGTCTATGAGGAGCTCATCAACGGCAAAAAATTGACCGAAATCATCAACGAGACCCAGGAGAACGTGAAATATTTGCCGGGGCACAAGCTGCCGTCCAACGTGGTGAGTGGCGGGTGGAAACCACGCGATCCTACGCAACGGAAAGTTACGTGTCGGCCGGGGTCACCTCCTTATCGAATTTTACATGTTTTGCGCTCGGGTTTATCTCTCGGATAAGTCGTATTTGGTTTAATAATCTCCCGGGCGTCGATAATACATCGTAATTGTATGCATCGTTCGCCTGAAGTTGATTTTTACTACATTATGCTCCTGCGTTTTAGGTGGCCGTGCCGGACGTGTTGGACGCGGCTAGAGACGCGGACATCCTTATATTCGTGGTGCCGCACCAGTTTATCAGGACCCTGTGCTCGACGTTGCTCGGCAAAATTAAACCCACAGCGATAGCCTTATCGTTAATCAAGGTAAGATTAACGGACGCGTTATTTTTACGCCACCGAATTGATGTGACGGGAAAAAAATAAACGTTTCCGACCTTGATACGCGTTAAATATAAGTCGGAGAATTAAAAACGCAGATATACCGGCGCTCGTAAATCATGGAGAGGTTTTGTCCGCCTAAAACGTACCATAACGCGGTTATTCCGCGTGCCAGTTGGGTAACCTTTGGGATGAAAACGTTTGACACTTTGCCAGATCGAACTTCCGTCGCCCGCCAATAAATTTTCGTTTGATTCCGCTTATGTAAGGGTTTTATTTGTGTTTTATCGACGAAAAGCTTCGCTCGCGGGCCCCGATTGACAGACGTTAAATTTTGTGGTTAGTGACGCGTTTCTCGTTTTTCGGCAACGTTGTCGCGTTTACGCAAACTTCGGGAACGTTCGAAGAGACTTTTCGCGGAAACCCATGCGTAGTATTTAAAAAAATAATAAACCGGTCAGTTTATATCCCGTGGAAAAAGATTGGCACACGGAAATAACGGACACGAAGCAAAAAATGACCTTTATGCGGTTACGCGAAAGTCTCGTTATAGTTGGCAACGTCGAGAGGGTTACACGGTCTGTGGTCCGTCGTACAATTGCGCATTATTGGTTCACCCGTTCGTTGGACCGCAATTGAGGTTATGTTTGATTTTTGAAAGCGTCTTTATAAGTTTTTAATTTGCAATTTTGTTTTACAAGTTGATGGTTTGTGATAATGGTATTCTAGTCGGTCTAATTTAGAGAAGAATTTATAATCTGAAGCCGAACTGTGCGTGCAAGTGTAAAATGTTTACGGCAAAGTACTCGTATTTAGGGTAAGCGCACTATTTTGTTGAATTCCTAGTTAGTACTCTTTCTGTACTCAAACACATTGATTTTGTGTACTTGCCACTTTTAGATTCAGAAAAACGAGAAAACTTCGGGGAAAACTATTAAGAATAGTTAGAAGTTATAGTAGTAGAAGTAAAAAGTATTTTTAAGCAGCTATATGTTTCCTCTAATTTTTAATGTGTTCATCATTATTTATAGCAAACTCGTTTTTAATAAGTATGTGCTTATCATTTTATATGATTAAGATGAGTACAGTATTGTCTTTTTTTATCAGTTATGTAATTATTGCTAATTGTAAATTGATAGAAAAATCCCATCAAAACTGAAATACAGGTTTTGGTTAACTTGGGCAATTTTTTGAAGAATAAGTTAGAATTTCTGACACGAGGAAGTCAGAATTTCTCATATTACAAGTCAGGATTTCTGAGAAAGCAGGTCAGAACATCTGGTGTACAGAGTAATTGGGTTGAAATGAAAATTATGTCATTAACCTTGATTATATGGTTTATGGTCATAACAAAACAAACCGTAGGCACGACCAATCAATTCGTGGAACATACGGTGTGATTTGGGCCTTCGTGTTTTTTTTTTTTTTTTGCTAGTTATTTGTACTTTCTCTCTCTATCTCTCATAATAACAATTTTCTGCCCCAATATTTCGTACAACGAACAAGTTGCCGGTAAAATTACCCCCGATGGTGAATTTTTGACTTAAGTCAGAATTTCTGAGAAACAAGTCAGCACTTCTGAGAAACGTGTTGGAATTTCTGACAAACAAATCACCATTTCTGAGAAACATTTCAGAATTTTTTACTTAAGTCAGAATTTCTGAGACACAAGTAAGAATTTTTGACTTACGTCGGAGTTTCTGAGAAGCAAGTCAGTATTTCCGAATTTTTGACTTAAGTCGGAATTTTTGTTAAACAAATCTGCGTTTCTGAGAAAAGTGTCCAATTTTTTGATTTACTTCGGAATTTCTGGCAAACAAGTCTGCGTTTCTGAGAAACATGTTCGAATTTTTGACTTAAGTCGGAGTTTATTTGAAGCAAGTCAGCATTTCTGAGAAACATGTCAGAATTTTTAACCTCCATTATTTCTGCAAAAAAAGTAGGCATTTATGAGAAGAATGTCAGAATTTTTGACTTAAGTCGGAATTTCTGAGAATCAAGTGTGCATTTCTGAAAAACATCTGCGAATTTTCGACTTAAGTCGGAATTTATGAGAAACAAGTCAGCATTTCTGAGAAACGTGTCCCAATTTTTGACTTAAGTCGGAATTTCTGTTAAACAAATCTGCGTTTCTGAGATACGTGTCCCAATTTTTGATTTACGTCGGAATTTCTGGGAATCAAGTGTGCATTTCTGAGAAACATCTCCGAATTTTCGACTTAAGTCGGAATTTATGAGAAACAAGTCAGCATTTCTGAGAACCAGGTCCGAATTTTTGACTTAAGTCGGAATTTCTGTTAAACAAATCTGCATTTCTGAGAAAAGTGTCCAAATTTTTGATTTTCGTCGGAATTTCTGGGAAACAAGTCTGCGTTTCTGAGAATTATGTTCGAATTTTTGACTTAAGTCGGAGTTCTCCAGAATTTATGAAAAACAAGTAGGCATTTTTGAGAAAAATGTCAGAATTTTTGACTTATGTTGGAATTTCTGGGAATCAATTGTGCATTTCTGAGAAACATCTCCGAATTTTTGACTTACGTCGGAATTTCTGAGAAAGATGTCATAATTTTTTACTTAAATACGTATATATGCTCAACAAGAACAGAATAGCAGACTCAAAAACAAAAACAGAAAGCTGTAGGCAAAGGAACCGGCAACGTTGGACCACGGTCAAACAATTACCGCATACTGTTTGAACGTAAACGTAATTTTGGGGAAGGGGAAGGAGTGTGATTTTTTTTGTGAAGCGTTTCTGCCGCGTGGTGAAATATGCAAAACCGATCGGTAGGGTTTCGATCGTGCCGAGGGCGGCGGCATCGACCTCATCTCGCATATCATCACCCGCCTCTTAAAAATACCATGCTCGGTGCTGATGGGCGCGAACCTCGCCGGCGAAGTGGCCGACGAGAAGTTTTGCGAGACGACCATCGGTTGCAAGGACGCCACTGTCGGCCCGGTGCTCCGCGACCTCATCCAGACCACCTACTTCAGGGTGGTCGTCGTCGACGATGAGGACACGGTCGAAGTATGCGGCGCCCTCAAGGTAAGGACCGAAATTTAATATTTTCCCGCGATTTTCCACACGATCGTTACATTTTTCGTGTGTTAACATCAAAATTAAAAATCTCTGCTATTCTCCGGTCTGTGCCTTTCGCCGGCACCAGGCCGGCGTCGAATAAAAGAAGAAGAGAACGGCCTACTTGATACTTGAATATTTTAGTCGAGCTGCTGCATTCGCACAACATTGTCGTTCCTGAACGTATGATGTAATTTAGTTAAAAGTCAATAAAAAAAAAAAGAAAAATTATGCTTAACTGAGAGGTTAATTAGATAAAATTAATTGGTGATGTGAGACTTTCGGGTACATTAATTTTTTCTATTAATTTAAATTGAAAATTCCTTTCCTAATCATATTAGAAAATTCTGTATCATCCTAAATTTTAATTTTTTTCTAAGAGACATTCGTACGGGGCAGTATACCGGGTGACACAAGAAAGTGGGAACACTATAACTATTAAACGGTTTTTTTTTAGTCAATTTTGGAAATTAGTATTTAAAAAAAAAACAACCCCTTCTGAGATTCAACGATTCGAATTTTTTGTTGAGAGTATTTTATTATGGTAAAAAGTTGATATGCTTTTGGAATATTGGAATACAGTCAAAAACTAACGTTTGTATGTACACTTACGTACGTTTTTATATAAATAGCTGAAAATCTAGACTTGCGATCTCAAACTGATGTTGTCTATACCGATTTTTCGAAGGCGTTTGACAGACTTGATCACGGGATATTTATTTCTTAGTTAAATGATTACGGATCATCATTTCCTCTGATAAATTTGTTTGCGTCTTATCTAAAAGATCGGCGGCAGTTTGTTAAATTTCGTGCGCTCAAGTCCGTAGAATATGTCGCAAAAGATCTCGAGTAGCGTTGGACGACAATCGCCGATAGAAAAATTGTAGCTCTCGATGGGTGCTGTGACACTATTTGAACCGATTAGCCATATTTTTTACAATTCTAGATTTCCATTTAATAATACTCGGGAAAACACACAATAACGCGTTTTACCGCAAACCGAAACTCATTGTTACGTACTCGACGAGCTCATTTAAAATTGGCTAGATTAGAAAAATCAAGTGTAGCCGAACACATTCTGGAAGCCAAAATAACCCAAAAAAAAAAAAAACAAAATAAAAAAAAATTACTTGGTGAAATTTGATTGCATCCGGTATTTACTGTTTAAATGTGAGCATGCACTTTTACTTCCCTGTTAAATTTGAAGTTTATATCTGCAAATTATTGACGCTTTTTTATTTACGCTTTTCTTATTTAGCACGGAATATCTTCAACATCCTGTCCAAAAATCTTATGTACAAAAGTTTACATCCGGAACACAGTCTTTTAGTTGTAGAAGATTTTCGCTATTAGGGGGGCCCATTTTTCAGTTTTTTTTTTAATATGCGACGCACCCTGTACATTCTGGAAAAATTAGCAAGAATAAAAGTTTACGGAGCCAACTTTTGTGCGTCTTTTCGTACAAGAATTTTTTCAGTTGGCTAGTTACCTCAAGAGTAGATCAAACCTTTCACTTTTCTACGCGGCGTACCAATATTTTAAAATTTTCGCCTTTCCACAGAATGTGCAAATCGGCAAGTTTCCAGCTTGATATATTTTCTTCTTCAATACGTGACGTTAAAACACGTTTCTTAAGGAATGACCTATAACTATTTTTGTTTTATTTTATTAGCATTTTGCTGTTCTTTTGCTTTTTTTTTTTGAATTTGTCAATTATGTCCCTGTTTTGTAGTTGAGTTTATCCTGTTTAACAGTGTATAAATAAATAAGGTAGCCTTAACCCTGACTGATCAGTAGCTCTGAATGAATGTTTTTTATTCTATCGACGAATACTTTGATTGTAGTAATGCCGATCTCTCAGTGTGATATACTTTGTGTATTTGTACGTACCTGTTTTTAAAGTTTGTATTTTAGTGTTCTAATGTTTTTTTTTTACTTGTTGACATTATCCGATACTTTTGTCAATGGAAATAAACTTTATTATTATTACGGCGGCCAGCGTTACGTCAGAGTTGCCCGGACACTCTGCGTCTCGCAGTCCGTATCGTCTGCGCCATATATTTTCTTCGTTTCCGTCGCAGAATATCGTCGCGTGCGGTGCCGGTTTCGTCGACGGCTTGGACCTGGGGGACAACACGAAAGCGGCGGTGATCCGTCTCGGTCTCATGGAAATGGTGAAATTCGTCGACGTTTTCTATCCGGGCGGTAAACTGTCGACGTTCTTCGAAAGTTGCGGCGTAGCCGACCTGATCACCACGTGTTACGGCGGTCGTAACCGTAAGGTGAGCGAGGCGTTCGTTCGCACCGGAAAGTCGATAAAGGAGCTCGAAGACGAGATGCTCAACGGGCAGAAACTGCAGGGTCCTTACACCGCGGAAGAGGTGAACTACATGCTCAAGAACAAGGGCATGGAGGATAAGTAAGTACCCATCAGAAAAATAACCACCCCCTTTGAGTATACGGTACAGAAAAATAGTTAATTCTACGAAATTGTCCTACGTCGTAGCTTGTCTGGGTACAAGTAAACCATATTTCGTTTGTATTTACATATTCACCATCAGAGCCAACATTGGAACTGCTACTACCAGAAAATGATCCTTCGTCCACCTTAATAACACTTAATTACACACCCTGTATAAAGCGGCTTTTACTTATCGCCTAATTTCAAAGTCACAAAAAAATTTGATAAATATAAAAAAAAATTGTTTAGCATCTTTCGTAACAAAATCCCAAAAAATTAAATTCCAAGCTTATTTAAAGTACGGACCTGTTGGGCCATATTTCATTCTTACAGCTTGCCCCCCGGGTCTTTCCTTAATTCGTATCAGTAAGTCACTTTTTTATACCTATGAACAGACTTTACCAAAATTAATGGTACTGTATCGTATGGATTTTGCAAGTCTATAAAATGCTAGGCGAACCGCCCTTTCTTGTTCTTTAAGCTTCGGGTAATTCGCTGGACGTGGCCTTCAAAGGGGCGTTTTTTTTTTGCAGGTTTCCCCTGTTCACTGCTATACACAGGATTTGTATGGGTCAGCTGACCGCCCAAGACTTCATCGACTGCATAAGAAACCACCCGGAGCACATGTAAGCCCCGTTTTGTTTTGAGGATAGTGCGGGTTGGTTTTTTTTTTTTTTTTGGTCTTATCGTCCCTAATACCCCGTGAAAGTGGCATTTTATTAATAGTACACGAAGTGACGACGTCGAGAAAAGCTAAAGGTTTTTTTCGCCGTTGTTTTGACGTACCTCGTACGGAGTAGGGTTTCGATTGCGCGTTTTCAAAAATTTCAATTTTTAGCATGAAGGGCGGCTATCCCTTCAGGCCCCTAGCAGCTGGGATTATTAAAATGGCCGAAGGGATAGACGTCGGGTTTCATTTACTAACAGTTCATTGGATGGGAACGAATGAATTGGTCCAGTTGTATAAAAAGAGATTAGAGTCGAATTTTACTAGCCTACAGTCCGGAGCGCGGATTTGGCAGATGAAAAAATATATAACGTCTTGGAATCGAGTAGGAACCCAAATAGAGAGTCCGGGTGAAGTTTCATCCCATTTCTGTCAAAAAACCTTAACGATAAAATATTATAGGACTATTTAATTTTGCATTGAAATCTGCAGAAAAGAGAAGTTAAAGAGCAGCCCTTTCTCCGCAAGCCCCACATACAATTAAATATTTACGAGCAAGGTTTTTAATGGTAATACGATAATATTTGCATAGCTGTGCTCCTTGTACTTTGAACCTTTCACACCACTCTACGGTCTCCTCTGTAGGTCTGTTCCAAAAATGAAATATAACTGTTTGATCATCTTCTGCATCTTCTGAAATCATAGACTATATAAATTTAACAAATACAAGAAAAAACGTCACCCTCAGTGTTAGGAAGAAATTTACACTGTGGTGTCCTCTGTAGGTCTATTTCACCGATGAAATATAACGGCTTAATCGTCTTCTGCATCTTCTAAAGTCACAGACTATATAAATTTAATAAATACATGAAAAGCACATGAAATTGTGGCCGTATTAAATACTTCTTAATCGGAAAAAGATGACATCGCCCGCCTTGGAGAGAAATTTACACTGTCGTGTCATCTGTAGGCCTATTCCACTGACGAAATATCACGGTTTAATCGTCTTCCGCATCTTTTAGAATCACAGACTATATACAAATACAAGAAAAAACGTCATCCTCAGTGTTAGGAAGAAATTTACATTGTGGTGTCCTCTGTAGGTCTATTTCACTGATGAATTGTAACTGTTTAATCATCTTCTGAAATCACAGACTATATAAATATAACAAATACAAGAAATGGAAACCGTATTAAACAATGAGATGAGATATCACGGTTTAATCATCTTCTGCATCTTCTGTAATCACAGTCTATATATTTTATTTGCTTTTTACAACTGGACCGTAACGAAAAATGACGGAAGACCTTAACGATCCTCTTGACTGCGCCGTTTATAATCCGAAAAGGTTCGTTCGGTCTACGTAGCGGGCCGATTCGCGCCGAATTTCGGGTCCGTTGTGGCAATCGAGGCAGTACAAATGTCGCGCAGCTAGTCGCATTTAAAACAAATTCCAAAAATTCGTACAAATAACGAAAATTTTCTTATAGTAGTTACCGAATATAACATCGATAGTAGGTTAATAGTAATTATATTCTCTAGTGGACGCTCAATCGTTGTTTTCTCCACTCCCCCACCCTTTCAGATACGTCCCCAAGCATATCGGCTTCCAATGATCCGGCCCCTCCTCCTACCCACCCCTTCTGGTACTCACATACACTTTTTTTTCTTTTTAACTTATATACCATGTGTTCTACTAATATTGTTATATTATGGAGTGATTTCGTTGTTAATAAATATATTTAATTCGTTATCGCCCGAGTGTTATTGGCTCTCATCTCTATACAGGGTGTCCGTCGTAAACGATCGGCTGAAGCCTTTCGAGTATTTGAAAAAGTACTATACCACGGACACGCCGTATATGCGTCGCGGGTTTTCCCACTAACATTGGTGTTTTTTTAATCGTGAATTTTGTTTTAGGGATTCTAAAATCGACTGTGTCGTTGTTCCGCATCAAGCGTGCAAACTTTAAAAAAAATATATGTCACGTCCCCGCCATAACTAATAATCGCATTTTGAGGTTGTGCTTTTCCCCCAACCCAGACGTGGTTCATTTTTTTTTCGTACTTATATAACACGCATCCGAAAGAGGGAGACTTCGTCGCTGAATAAACAGATTCACAACTGGCTGCGTTCATTTCATTTTCGTCTCGTTCGGACCGCAGAGCAAACACCATGCAGATGCGAACGTACTAGATTTTATAACGCTATTTCAATACCACTTTAGATGCAAGATGCATTATTCAGTGTACCACATTTTTGCAAAGATACACCAGTGGCGCGCATACGGAATTTCACCTGTCTATTGTGGCGGACGTTGATGGTACGCCACTGATTTCTCTTGAAATAAAAATTATCCTTATGATCTCCATTCGTTTCGAACAAAAATATTTTTTTTTGTTCTTAGTCGTTAATTAGGCTTATAGACGTTGACGGCTTTCCAATCAACATGGTAGCTAATAGTCAGAAAAGAGATTCGTGGAGTGGTAAAATCAGTCGATGACTACAAGCACCTTGGAGTAACCTTCAGTAATTCGGATTCAAGTGAAGGTCAAATTAAAAAAAAAAAAAACGTATTGTACAAGGAAAAATTACAACGAAACATTTACTGTCGAATAAACAGATAAGGTCCAACACCAAGAGCGAAGGAATAGAAAACTTGATTGAGGTTAAGAAATGACAGAGTAGATGTTAAGAAAATATGGAGTAGAAAATGTGGCCCTTAAAGGGCACGAAAGAACCTACGAGGTGTGTTGAAAGAATAAGGTGACTTTTGAGTTTTATCTAAAAGTATTTATTTATTCATTAAAATTAATGTTGTCCCTTTCAAACTGTGGACATTACGTTAGGCATATGTGTACATAACAAAAAAAAAATCAAAGATCGAATTACAATTACAAAAGTCGCCTTACTTTTTGAACACATATCGAACGGCTCCATATTTGTAGTTGTAAAATGCTTACTGGGTGCTTTAGGCTTTACAAGGGCAACAGTGTTACAATAAGGTTTTTAAGAACGCTGTAAAAACTGATGTAATCAACCCCATAGGTTTTTTGGATTTTTGCATGCTATACTATAAATATTAAACGATTTTGGTATTTATTAGACATCCTACAAAAACTTGCTTATTGAACTGCATAAAAAAATTCTTTCATTCATAACGTGCAGATTGGGCAACAAAGTAGGGAGAAGTCTAATTGTCGCATCTGTGCGGTGTTGATTCTGTGGTCCGAGTCGCCTAAGCTAATGGCGTTTTGTGTTTTGCAGGGTAAAGCAGAATCAAAGCGGGTAATCGCCCCCTCGCGGGGTTAGAGTAATTTTTTTGCAGTTTACTTTTTTTTTGCTTTTTTCCCCGCGTTTCGCAAACCACGAGACCGGTAGGTATTCCAACTCTAAAGACATACTGTATAGAATAAAGTACGTACCTTTTTTTCTGAGTTGGTCGTTTTTTTTATTTCCACCCCGGAAATCGGTTTTTATTAAGATTATTACTTACCATTTACCTCTACGCGGACCGAAGGTCATTGTCAAAAAAAAAGGGGACTTCCTAAGCGGAAAACCTCGTAACATCAAACACCTTCGCTTGAGACTTGAAAATGTCGGAAACGAACGAGATATTCAAAACTCCTCGACAGTTTCAACCGATCGAACCACACAAATTAAAATTTGATAGTTCAAATTCTCGTTTTTAACCGATGACAGCTTTTTCGCAAAATATGTCCAGATTTCATTTAATCTTCAGGCTTTTAGAGCGTTTAAGAGCAAACTATTGAAAGCAGATATTATACAAGTGGGTGGGTTTGTGTGTAAATATTTTAAGTTAACTTTTACATAGCCAATACTTACCTATGTATAGGCGCCGTCTTTTTATCCCAAAACACGAAAAAGGTACGGAGATAATCGCCAAGCAACAAACCAAAATCAACAACAGCAATTACTTGCCTCGGAGTACAAAAATATCTACATAAAAAAGTGTTGGATAACTTTATTTAATCACACACATCTAATATTATTAGAAAAAACAACCTAAAACATGCGCTTCGAGGGAAAACCAGGTTTCCCTGCGCGGGATCAGCCGGAAAACGACTTTCGCCACAGACTACTAAACCAATGTAGTATTCCGTGCTCCCGCTATCAAAAGCTGCTTCTTTTAACTCTGTCGCTAAGGACCATTGCACAGGCTTCTGCAACAAGGCGTCGCGTTACTGCTTGTAAGAATGTCGTTTGTCGAATTACGTTTTGCGCATAACACAACAGAATGTATTTAAGAAATCAAGAAAAATTGCTGAATTATATAACTTATTGTGCAATACCGTGAAATCGAATCTAACAAAAATTTGATAGCGCGAAAAATGCTTCTTCTTTCAAGCGCGTTGGCCGGGTGTACAGATCAAGAGACCAGTTTTGGTTAGTTACCGTACAACAATAACATTGTATTCTTTTGAATAAGCAACATTATGAAAACCGATATAAAAATTGAGGGTTATTAAGATCTTAAGTGAGTAATAGCAATTTCCTTCTGTTCATTTATATATTTCATGGTTAACTATTAATGTCAATCTCTTGACTTTAAACACGGAGCATATACTAAGAAGAATGTCTATACTCTGTGGTGTGCAAATATTTACTTGGTAGTGTTTAAATTATTGTCATTTTACTTTGACTAAAATCTAAAATAAAAAATTTTGGAAAATACATTTTCAAAATTTATCAAACGGCTAGGGCAGCTTTTTAGGAATTTTATTGTGCAACATTTTCTTTGTTCCGCCATTATTTCTATCGGGAAATTGCATTGTTTTTTTTTTAATAACTAAAGTGATTATTATATGTTTATTTGTGTTGTAAAATTTCCGTTATATATATAAAAGAAAAGCTTGATAATGGCATCATTAAGTCAAAATGTCGCGAATGAAATATGGTTATCCAAGCGTTTCCTACATGAAAAGTTTCTCCGTCAAAATTTTAACAACATTCGAATATTTTCAAAAATAAATTACCTCACTAAGTGAAAATTTCAAACTTTTTCAATTTTAGTTTTCAGGATTTTATTTATTAAACTTTGTTGAAAACATCTTAAATAAAGTTTTCGTCTCAAGCTACTTGTCTTTTTTTTGCCAAACGATGCAGTAACCCACCTACCCATATGCAATCCCAATAATATGTCTAGATTGTAATATGTATTAGGTAAGTAATATATACTAGAAACATGCTTGGCTTTATAATAAATACATGTTATATTCTAAAAAAATACGCAATATAAATAAAAATGTATTCTTTTTGTAAAGCAGAAATACAGACTTGTTACTACACAATTAAAATACTAGCGCCATCTGTGGCGTAGTAGCAGATCTAAAAAAGATACATTTTTACGTAAATTTTGGTGTCACTTGTTTGCTGTTTGCAAAAAACGGAAGAAATGACTTTTATAAAAAATAAAAAGTCCCTGTTGACCTGATAACGCAAATTGTCAAGAACATTCTTTTACCTACTTTTGAAAAAAACCATCCCAAAACTGAACAGGCATTAAGTCAATGATATTCACTTTATGATGGGTGATAATTTAATAGGAGATTAAAAATAAGTGAAAAAAGGCAGACAAATTTCTTCATTTTTTATTCTTTCGAAGTAATTTGACCCATTGTGGATTACATCTAGAATGTCTAAGTCATCAATATACATCTCATATTCCTTTACGTCCATTTTAGCAACTCGTAATTATGTTTTTTCTGCCGCCACCACCACAAACCATCATCATTTTCCAAGCTAACATTCGCCTGATTATCTTAATAATTGGCCAAAATTTTCCAGTTAACTACTGGTTTATGAGTAAAATTCCGTTGGCGGATAAGAACATAGTTGCTTATAAAAAGATAATTTACAATATTATGCAGTTTTATCTTATTTATAAAAAAGAAGAAGAAAACGGCACATTAATCGTTACAGTGCATTTATTTCGGAACGATTAACAATTGTACGAGCGACAAACAACAAACATGCTGTACATTATTGCACTAGACAAATAAAGGGGGTTCCGCAACACATAACCTCAAACGCTTACAATCGCCCCCGATCCTTTTACGGGGTGCACATCCCATAAGCACCGGGGCCCACTTCGCGGGGCGCAGCACCCCCTAGAAGGATCGGGTCCCCCGCGGGAAGCGATTGTAAGTTTTTGAGGTTAGGTTGTTGCGGAACTTCGTTTGTTTATCTACTTATTGTGTTTTGGGGCTAGTAAGCAAAAATGCGGTCCTGCTTGTGCCCCAACTTTTCCAAGTTGGGAACGCAGGCGAAATTAATCATGGGCGGGGGGCCGCACATCAGCGTCACGGTGTCGTCAGACGCCGGAAACAGATGTTCCCTCAACATGTCCTCGTTTATGAACCCGGAACTGTACTTCCATCCTGCGAATTTAAACGTTTCCTGCAACGTCCGAATTTAGACGAAAAAAAAAATAATCAGACATATTAAGTGGCACCTAAATATTGGCAAAACTGCGAAAAAAAAACAATATTTAAAAAGATGATAGCTAAGAAAAAAATATATAATTATCGATCGAAATATTAGTTTTATTTTTCCCGATTTTCAAAATCTAGAAATTAAATATGGCGCCTATAAGAAAAATGAAACTTGACTTCGGCCGCACGCAACACAGTAGGCCTTTTTTTTCGCCGTATCCTTTTTTTATAAGAATTATTTCGTGTTTTTTTTTTCAAAAATGGACTTTTTTCTTTGTCACCCCGTATATTCGTGAGGGTAAAATAAAACCACGCCGGATTATTTTTTGGCATCTACATACGCTACGTTTCTTTCATTTAAGCGACGCTGTATCTTTCAGTGGACACCCTGTATGGCCGTAGAAGCTGGTCTGTTAAATTTAATGGCTTTAGATTAAGGTCCATAAGGAACACCAACAGCACAATTTTTCGCGGACGAAGTTTTCGTGGAGGAAAAAACGCGCTCCACGCTAATTAAATAAAAATACCGGCACCCGGGAATTTTCGAAACTAGCGGCAACGTCGCCTTACCTTCCGCGGGCTTGTCGAGAGTGTACCACAGTTTAAACTGGTTGGGAAACCGGTCCCGCACCTCCTCGAGCTCCTCCCGCAGCAGGATGTCCTGCTCGGTCTGGTTCGCGAACAAAATAGCCGCCTCGGTGACGTCGCGGTCGTCTTTCGCGATCTGCCTGATCAGCTGCAGTATGGGCGTGATTCCGACGCCGCCCGCGATCAAATTCACCCTGCCGACTTTGACGATGGTCGGCGGGTCTTTGCGCATCTTTTTGATCGAGAACGTTCCGGGGGCGACGTACTGGATCCGTCCGGACGGGCCCCTTATGTCGATCGTGTCGCCGATTTTCAACGACTCGATGTATTGCGTGAGCACCCCGCCGTCCGGGAATTTAGGGTGGACGTTCTTGAAGTACACCTGGGGAAACGTTGAGACGTTTGGCAACGTCGCGCGACTCGCGGTTCCGCCGTAACGTCAAACGAACGGTTGTCTTATGGGATTGCCCAATCCCATAAGACATACGTTCGCAAAAATTATCGATCGCTTGTGACGTAAGCAAAGTCCTCTAAAGCTGGGCGCCCACTGAATCCGCACAGACCGACCAGCACGGCCGGCAGTTTTTGATATGTACGTAAACGCATTGCACTTGCGCACAGATTTAGCGGATTAGACAATCCTATAAGGCAGGGGTTCCCAAAGTGTGCGCCGCGGCGCCCTGGTGCGCCGTAGAATGTAAAGAGGGGCGCCGTAAGTCCATCATCATTCATTATCCGAAACATGTCCGAAACAAATATACGCGGGTACCTTATTTGAGCCCTCGCATCTATAAAAACATAGTTACCTACTAACCATCGCGTCGCGGCGTTTCTCACTCGCCAAAAAACCTACGCCCGCGCCGCCCTGATACCCTACCCCCCCTCCTAAGTCTTTAGTAGCATCGGGCGAGCTGCGACGGACGGACGTGTCATAGTGTTTTCTTTCGCTTTGTTTTTCGTCAAATATCTCACGCAAAATGGACAGATTTTTATTAAATAAACAAGTTGGCAGTCCAAATGACAGTGATAATGCATCAACTAGTAATGGCAAGGAAGCAAAGAAGCGGAAATATCGTAAATACGATGATAGCTATTTGGACTTTGGTTTTACTTCAATAGAAGTTAATAATGAAGAAAGACCGCAGTGTGTGCTTTGTTTAAAAATATTGTCATCCGAAAGTATGCTTCCAAGTAAGTTAAAGCGACATCTTGAGACAATTCATCCAACTATGGTTGAAAAATCGCGTGATTTTTTTCACCGAAAATTACAAAATTTAAATAAAACAAAAAACGTATTCACTCAGCAAGCCTCAGTACCTAACAACGCACTGTTAGCATCATTCAAGGTAGCATACAGGGTGGCAAAATGCAAAAAACCTCATACTATTGCAGAAGAGCTTATTCTACCGGCTGCTCTCGACATGGTAAACATTATGGTTGGAGAATCGGCAGGAAAATTAATTTCCAAGGTACCCTTATCTAACAACACGATCGGTCGAAGAATCCATGACATAGCTGAGGATCTCAATTACCAATTAATAGAAAAAATCAAAAACAATTATTTTGGTTTGCAACTTGATGAGGCTACTGACAGTAATAATGATGCGCATCTTATTTGCTACGTACGCTTTCTGACTGACAATATTATTGTCGAAGATCTGTTATTCTGCAAAACCATTACCGAAAGTGCGAAGGCCCAAGACTTATTTGAAATTATTGACAATTTTTTTGTAGAAAATGGTTTGAATTGGGAAAAGTGTATTGGTATTTGTACTGATGGCGCTCGATCCATGTCTGGCAGGTATGGAGGAGTACAAGCGCTTATTCGTAAAAAAGCACCGAATGCTTTGTGGACCCATTGCATCATCCATAGAGAAGCTCTTGCATCAAAATCTATGAGCTCCGAACTTAACCAAGTACTGGAATCTGTAATTAACGTAGTAAACTACATAAAAACTAGGCCTCTTAAGGCCAGACTTTTTAAAAAACTATGCTTGGATATGGGGGCTGAGCATACGGCCCTGCTGTATTATTGCAATTCACGGTGGCTATCACGTGGAAATGTTTTATTTCGTGTGTTCGAATTACACGAAGAAATTCGAACTTTTTTACAGCAAGAACGTCATGAAAGCGCCAAATATTTTACTGAACCAGACTTTTTGTTAAAACTAGCATATTTGTGCGATATATTTGAGAAACTAAATAATTTGAATCTGTCTTTGCAAGGTAATAACACGCACATTCTGAAACTATCGGAGAGAATTGCGGCATTTAAAAAGAAACTACAGTTGTGGATAAATAAAATGAATGAAGGCGGCGGTCAAGATTGCTTCCCGCAGCTGTATAAATATGCGGCATCTAATGAATTGGTTGTCTCACCAGACCTGATTGCCCTCTTCACGGAACACCTATTGAAGCTCAGCGAATGGTTTTCGGCGTACTTTAAAGATGATGATGTTGAAAAATTTGCATGGATCAAAGATCCTTTCCACGCACAAGCTCCACCAGGGTTCACATCACAAGATGAAGAGAGTCTCATTGAGCTCTCTTGCGACAGCAGTCTTAAAACTAGATTCATCACTTCCGACTTGTTGGAGTTTTGGTTATCAATTCAAAATGAATATCCAAATTTAGCTTCAAAAGCTTTAAGAATTTTCATTCCGTTTGCAACGTCATATTTATGCGAGTCTGGTTTTTCAGCTGTAGCTGTAATTAAGAACAAATATCGCTCGAGAATCAATGTGGAGAAAGAAATGAGAGTAGCAGTGTCAAGTCTTATTCCCCGCTTTGAAAAACTGTGTGCATATCACCAAGCTCACCCATCACATTGATTTGACTGACAATCGTACATATTTTATTTTTGTTTTTCATAAGACTTAAGAAATACACAAGTTATTTCCAGTTTTAATTATTTTATAATATTAAAAAGTCTGTTTGATTGTAAGTGTTTTAATTTATAATCCTATCTAACCTAACTACTATCATAAACAATTATTATAGGTGCCTATTTCTTCTTTTTTAAAGAGCAGGGCGCCGTGATAAAGTACTAAATTTGTAACTGCGCCGCGGGATAAAAAAGATTGGGAACCCCTGCTATAAGGTATACGATTCTTGAGCGCGATGCATAGAATCTTCTTCTTCCTTTCCTTTTCCATAACGTGGGCACATCAACTAGGGCATTCGCCCAATGCATACAATTTAATGAATGTTTCGCTTTCGGTTAAAACGTTAACCAATTTAGCGTACAGGTAACTAAAAATCCGTTTTTGAGCACTACGAAAACGAAGTGCACCTTCAATTAAAATTCAAGCAGTTTTTATTTCTTGCTGTGATTAGATTAACGTGTTTTGTGGCTTTTAATATCAATTTATAATCGGTAGTTAGTGCTTGAGTGTTGTTTTCAAAGATTCGATGATTAATTCTCACTTCTTGGGAAAGATTCTGAAAAAATCTTAGTCTACAGCCTCGGGTGTAATTTTTATATGCAAAAAATTTGAAAAAAAAAATCGTTATTAAATCTTGATGTGTGGGATATAATTAGATCCCTAAAATTATATGATAAATATGTATGTGTGGTTGATAGTCAAAAATATCACGCAAAATAATATTGCGTGTGATTCACGTCTGTATGCGTCATCAAACACATTTTCCATTGCGTTAAATGCGATTGTTCTTTACATAAGAATAGAACCCCTTTTCTTTGCTTTTCACAAACAGTTGGGCAAGACTACTATAGTCATTCGCCCATTACAGACATCTGTGGAGTAATTTTTTGTTTTGGTCACAGACCAACACATAAAACAACTATAAGGAACACTTGTTCTCACCTTGCAAAAAAAGGACATTGACCGCCACCGAAAAGCTGGCCACTTCGAGATAATCTTGCAGTTTAGGTATTTGGTACATGGGATCAGAGATAAGTGGAATTGGTGAGCGCAACCATGGTTCTTTTTCGCATTTTTTCTTTTTAACATTTATTCTGTTCGCAACTTGTGCATATTTTCGGTCTTTAATTGATTAATATTGTCGATTTTAAATGATCAGAGAATTGGATGCTCCAAGGCCTAGGTTACTTTCAAATTAAATTCAAAATACGATTTTGAATAGTTCCGCTTGAATGACGTCATGAGGATCTCCCATTGACATCCAATCAAAGGAAACACAGCAAAACGTGACAGTTTGTGTAAATGTCAATGGAAATTGATCAATCCCGTCGAATATGCTGATAGTTTGACGAATGAAGTCAGCTATGGACCGGAAATGAAGATCAAGAAAACAACATGGTTAAATTTGTCGCATCTTTAAAAATTTGACTTCATCTATCCACACTCAAGGTCAGTCGAGTTTTCCATGAAATGTAAAACGACCACGCCCAAATTTTGCTATTTTGCGTAATTTCCCGGTAAAATCGAATAAATACAGCAGTTTGGCAACGCCGCGCACACAGTTAAAACTTCCCCATCTTCTACATAGGTAAACTGCGCTGTCACCGCCTTTTAAGGTAACGTTAACGAAACGAAAAGGTGCGAAAGCAAAACGCGAGGTTTGATTTTGAATTTCTCTTAAACTCGTGCCCCTTCTAATAGTTTAATCGCTAACCTTTATGACGAAATCGACGTATCCATGGTCGTCGTCCGACGACACCGGCGTGTAGGACCTTATGACCAAGTCGTCGCCGACTCTGGCGCTCAGCTGGACGTGCTGCCCCACGGGAAGACCTAAAAACGACGTTTACGCCCCACGCGGGTTAAAAAAAACACCAACGAGGCTCACCCAGCACGTGCTCTTTCGAAGGTAAACCGAACCTAAAGTTCCTCGTGTCGTGGCTGATGACGGTCTTCGCAACGAGCGGTATTTTGTACTTCGCTTGCGGGTCTTCCAGCAGAACCTTCTTGGCCTTGCCTGAAACACAGCGATACACGTAAGCCGTCAACCGCATCTATGTCAAAATGTCAAGGATGTTATTTAAGGTGGTTAGAGAACGAAAACGTATTGAACTCGCATACCTTTACCTTTCTTCTCTGATTTGGAAGAGTAGAGCCGGTACAGCACGAACGTCGTCACTACCACTCCAATTCCCAACGCTACGGGTAGCACCTGCAAGTCGAAATATGTTTGCCGGTATGGAAAAGAGTCCCGTGCGCCGTAGAAACGCAAATTTATCCGCAAACTCGCCATCGAAATCATCTATCCGGCTCCGAAAATAACATTTCACACCGCAGCCGTATTTTTAACGGTACCGTTTATTCTCAATAGCCGAAATTATTTTTAATCGCCTCTTCTAATTACCATTAAAGAGGTCAGCTTAAAATAGTAAACATGTGCATTGCGTATTCTGCCTGATTCTTCACTCGTTTTAGTAAAAATTTAGTTCTGATTATTTTCCGACTATTTTGACTTCCCTCGTACATTAAAGTTCAAAGATGAAATCATTTCAAGGACACTACGATCTTGAGAAATTGTTGCGGACGCGTTTTCATCACGCGAAATATTATTTTAATCCATAATCCGGCCAAGTTCGGAAATCTATGAAATGCACAACAAAAGCTCGAAAAAAAAACGCGATATTATTTGTTATTTTATTTACCCGCCAAGGTTCAGTAGCGGGGGGCTGAAAATATTGTTAATTAAACACAAACGTTCGCAGGTGCGTGAATTGTTTATCATATTTTATCATACAATAACGCTGCTTACCTGACTATTCTCTTCCTTTGCCATTTTAAACGGTCATAACCCACTAAAGCTAAGCGAATTACTCAAAAACCCGATGCGATTAAAAATGGCAACCTCTTTCAAGCAAACATCATACGTACCAGATTAATTGTTGATAATTTAGACATTCCCAAGATAAGTAATATTACATCACTGCAATTAAACTGTTTACAATAACCTCAAATCGAACGGTTATTTCTTTTGGCGTATCGCCCAAGTAGCCATAGAATTAAATCGATCCGCATTATGGGCGTGTGAAGCCGTACGCTTTTGTGGTGTATCTTGAAGGCGGAAACTCCGTGAACCTAACCTAAAAATCGAAATTTCTTAACGTAACGATGCCTAACAAATCGGCAAAGCAAGAGGCGGTGAAGGCGTACAGCGAATCGGCCGTAAGGAACAACCTGTCGATTGTGGAATACTGTAGAACATCTACGGCGGCTCTGTCCGGATGTACCGCAGGTGGTCGACGTCTTTAAATAGTTGAATTAGTAGGTAAAAGCCAGAGTGTCGTAGGTATTTTGGGATTGACCAGCTTACACGGCGCTTTGTTCTACGTCCTCTCGATTACGACGCTCTGGATATTGATTCTGTGGAAGGCCGGCTTTTCGAGCTGGCAGAAGTACTTTATCTCGAGGAAATCGTTGTTGGTGAGTGGCCTATTTGGCCAGCTCTTCACGTACATCCTCTGCTGGACGTTTATTTACGGCATGGTTCACGTTTATTAGTTTAATTTGCGTTGGTTTTGTTATTGGACTAGTCCTAAGGTAATCTGGTAAATAAATTATGGTTAGTATGTGTTTGGTATTATTTACTGTAATTTTATGGCGACAACGTTGCCGACCAGAATTGTACACGTTCTGTGGTTTAGGTTTGCGGATTTTTTTTGTGAGAGTTTTCAAAACGTCTTGACATATTTTCACCTTAATGTTCGATCGTCTGAGACGGTCTAAAAGTTGGTGTGTCAAGACATTCAGAATGATTTTAATTCGCATGTAAATCTTGAAGGTGTCGACGTAGACGGCCGTAGTTTTTGGAATTTGTTTTAAGCGAGTAAATAAATCTTAGAGCAGGTGAGTTTTCTGCGTTAATCTCAAGGGTTTGAGGTTAAGGTAGGTTGATGTGCATAAAATTGAATCTCCTATAAGAGTCGTAGAGATATAGAGATTCTGTCGAAAATTGGGAGAAGTCCCATTAATCATGAGCACGCGCGTGATTTGCACTCTCGTTTTTAACCGATGACCTTGCGGCAGTATTTTCTTAGATATGTCCTGATCCCATTAAATTGTCAAGCAAAAGTATTGGGATATCGCTGTGTAGAAAGAAAGTTGTGCGAATCATTTGTAGGGCAAGACGCAAATAAAGTTATATTGGTTTAATGAGATGGCCGAATGACCCTGTTAAATTTGGCTATAGAATGAAGAAGAACACTGATTACGAAGACGGTTGGAACGCTTTTATTCACTTTGTGAATTCATTTGAATACTTCTGAATCGCATTGAAGTAAATCTAATATTCGAGTTTTGGATTCGTTTTAAGGGGGTTAATAAATCTTAAAACGCAAGTGGTGATTTAAGTGCGGCGAAGGTTCGGGAACAAAAACATGTAGTATATAATTTTTTATAATCTTTTTAAGCACATTATTTACACAAATATATGTATACAAATATTTGACGCAAAATAATTGGACACGCAATTTAATGTAAATCTTCCCTCGAATTTCAGCAGATAGGAGTAAGAAAGAATGTCAAAGGCAAATTATTCGTAAGGAAAGAAGTGTTTAATGTTGTTCATCGTGCCAGAGTTCGTGGAGCGACTCACACAAAAAACCGTAGTTAACATTTGGAAAGCAGTTTTCTTTAAAAGTCCAAGAGAAGTTAGTGTTCAAAGTGTTCGCAAATGTTTGGACCCATGACAGGGTTCCAAGGAACAAGCCTCATCTATCGAAAGGGAATAAAAAATATGATCCATGCTACACTACGAAACCAGTAGTTTGGATGTCGTGGTATCATAGTACAGGGTGGTTTGTTTCAGAATTGAAAATTCGGTGTGGAGATGTTTGAAAGTAATCGAAGGCAATGGAAAACCAATCAAATACTAAATATCAGATTGAGATAAAACCTTGTGTTGTTAGAAAATGTTGATTAATTAGAATGCCTTTTGTCACTTTACAGAATAACCGGTACCATGGATCAGTATAAGTTTTAAAAAAAATATCATTTGCAGTGGCCATCTTGTACCTTGGACCTCGATCCAATAGAAAATCTGTTTTCCGTTAAAAAATGTAGTTTTTTTTTAAAAATAAATTTATTGTTTAAACTTATGATTGTGCTTAATGTGAAATCTCTCGTATATATCTCTTCCTATTAGTCCGCAGTCACTGTATTTGCGGTTTTCTGTCGTCAGTATTCAACAACCTCCATATTATGTCGAAAATAGGTGGGGCGGCGACCTGTTTTCAAACGAGCTTGTTAGATCGCGTGGGGAGGTCCCAAAACGGTGGGGGTAAAGTCCAAAAGGGCGTCGAAGCCCCCGTGCAGGACGCACACCCTGGGAACGCCGCACCGGAGCAGAAACTTGGGGAACTGGGAAAAAAAACATACGGATATAGTCCCCTCATCCCTTACGTAGCCGGAGGGAGACTATACCGAGTGTTTTTTCCGACTTACCTGTTCCAGATCGCTTTCATGGTCGCCGATGACGACGACGGTTTTCCCCGCGGTCGCCTTCAGCGTCGCGCTGTGATGGCCGACGTTGTCGATTGAATTCTCGGTAAAGGAGACGCTCGATGAGGGCACGTTAACGCTACCGACGACGGCGCCCCTGGAAAATCTTAAAGGGGCAGTATTTTTTGTTGCCCCCCCATTCCCCTTTTCGTGACTTACACGTTCGGGGTGCGAATATCGACGACTAACAATGTTGCCGGATCGTTTCGGATCGCGTCGACGAAGTCTCGAGCGTCGATTCGCGGACACCTTTCCTTTTTCAATTCCTCCAGCGGCGTCGATTTCAATTCCTTGAAACGGGGACCGTTTTTTAAGCCGCGTCTCGTTTCGCAGAAGAAACGTCGATTTTAAATCGGAAGAAGATTTTTTTTTATGTCCAGTGCATACGTAGAAAAACGAAGATGAAATACGTACATAACCTCGAAATTGTTGACAGAAGAAACGTCAACCTTAAATCGTTAACATCTGCGTAAACCCTTAAATGTTGGTTTTAATTTTTCAGGAAGTTTTTCTTATTATATCAGCGCATTCGCTGAAAAGCGAAGATGAAATACGTACATAAAATCGAAATTGTTGATAGAAAAAACGCAAGTTGTTGTGTTTTCTGTCAATGCATTTGAAGGCGAATTAAACCATCCATCGTATTTGGTGTTCTGTGAACAATTAAAATAATTTAAACTAGTGAGTAGTGCGCTTATGTTTGTGTTAATTGTATTTCTGTAAAAAAAAACTTGGACAAAACAATGTTTTTAAGCTGTAACAAATACTTTAAAATTTTATGAGCTTGAGTGGCAAGAACTGAGAAAAACAGTATTTTTAACCTTAAACAAAGACTTAAAAGTTAGGAGGTAAGCTCAAAATATTACACATAATAATATAGGTAAAGGTAAGAAATACATTTTTTTACCTTTTTCAGCGGGGTAAGTTACATCAAAAAATTGTTAAAAGTGTGGGACTTAAAAATATGCACATAACCTCGAAATTGTTGATAGAAGAAACGTCACAGTGTTTTATATCGTTAAATCCGGCGTAAAGCCTTTGAAATCCTTAAACGTCGATTATAACCTTTCGAAGGAAATTTTTGCTTATTATGTCACGCGCATTCGGAGATGTGTGAGGACGATGAATGGCATTTTATTCGGACTGGACATTTGCCTGCTCTCTGCGTAAATAATGGCACTATTATCTGGAAATATGAAGTTAAAAATGAAGAAAATCCTAAAAATGCTGACATGAAGCGCCCCCTACCGACTCGTAAAAGAACTAATATCGCGATATTAACATGCCAGTCGGAGCTCCTATAAATACTCTTAAAAAATAAGCTAAATCGGATCAGCCAAAAAAAAGTTATTCATAACTTTTTCTAAACCAAATATTTGACCCTTCCCCCACCCTTAATTCGACGAGATAGAAAAAAATAGTTCAAACCAAAAAGTTTCCTTTTCTAGAGCAGATTACGTTAAAGCTAATTTCGATATAGGTTAATTTGGGATATTTTTGAGAAAACTCGTTTTTTTTCTATTTTACGGTAGAGGTTGCGCGCCCTGGCGGCCATTTGATGAACTTGAAAATAATTTCCATCTATTTCTCTTGGCCGATTTAGCTATAAATGAATTATATTGATTTATGATACTGCGCATGTGTACTTACCCTATAACGGTCGTCTTCGCGCGGGTCGTAGTCGTGGCGTCGGACGGTGACGCTCCGCGGCGTCCCGACGAACGTCTCACTGGAAAGGGCGACGCACCTCTCGATATCGACCTCGGGTAGATCGGAGAACAGCAGAATGCACTCGTTGAACCCTGACGCCAGCAGACGCCTCCTCAGCTGCGTCAAAATGGACAGGCCTACGTGGAGGGGGAACGACGAATCGCCCAGCAGCAGCCGGTCCCACAGATGGAGGATCTTGTAGAGCGGGAACACGTCTGCGTCACTCGGCGGTTAGTCGTTAAGCGCAACCGGTACGCCAAGGGCGAGCTTACGCGAGAACAGCGTCAGGAACCACGGGATCGCGAAGAGCTGCGGGTAAAAGTTGATGTCGTGGAGGTGGTTGGCCAGGGGCGGGTCGTGGAACGCGATCAGCTGCGAGAACTTGGCGAGGTACTCCTCGATCACCGCGGAATTGTCTTTGAGGAAGAAACCGTGCAGGTATTTGGGCACGAATGCGGACAAACAGGCGAACGCCTTTGCTGGAAGGGACGACGTTTAAAGCGGGAAGAAGGGTTCTTCGGTGACGTCATACCTTCGTCGTTGAAGTTTAGGTAGAGGAAGGGGGCGGTGAGGGAGTCGAGACCTTGCCAGTACACGTACTGGGTGTTTTGGTTGACCCACGCCTTCAGCACTCGTTTTAATTTGCCGTGGCCCTCGGACGATGAGAGCAGCTCGTTGTACTGGTGACATCTGGGGATGTCGACCTCTATCTTTAGGGGGGAAAAAATCGACGTTTCTGTCGGGGACCACTCAAAGACGCACATACGGCAAAATGGGTCCTTTCGAGCTATAGATGGCTCTCTATTCTCTCCGTGTTTCGCTCAAGTGTCACGGTAGTTTACGTCGAAATATTTCACAGTTACAGTTCGTTTGTGTATCGACGTTAATGTATTTTAAGCAGTTTTTTTAGACGGACCTTAAAGCTACAGGTATTCATGACTAAGTAGTTTGCGTAGTTCATATTTTTTTTTTTTATTGCTAGACTAGTTTTCGTGGTAAATTTCAAACGCCATTTTAAGTTAGAATTTAAAAAAAGGCCCGCGAGAGAAGGACCTTTTTTTCCACAGTGAAGTCCGGATATAGTGAACTCGAAAGTTGATCTGTCATGTTTATCAGCAACATTTTCCTATAGTGACCCTTCAGGGGATGGATTATGCTTTGATCCATGGGCTGCAGTTTTGAACTGGTATTGGGTGGCATAAAAACCAGTTTGATTTGGTTCAATCTGTATCCCATTGGAACAGCTCTTCGGTAAATAAGTCAGCTGTCATCCACGCTTTGCCGTTTGAACTGTACTCGACTTGTAGGGTCTTGTTTTTAAAATATTTTGGATTTACTGGTTTTGCCTTTTCTGTCCCAGACATGTTTGCAATAACCAGAACTGTCATTCGAACCTTGGACAAACTTTCTCCTTGGAATTTCAATGTATTATAGGAGGTTAGTTTGTACAAAAGGTTGCTCTCATCAACTGATACAGACTCACCAACAATTTTTCCTCCAGAGATACAATTCCCCTTCTTGGAACTTTCAATCCAACTTCTGGAACACGCAAAGTCTCTTCCTTCCAGTCTACTTCCCACTTCACTTGCATTTTCCTGTAGAACTGGGCCACTTATTTGAACATTTTCTATTTTTTTTTTGGGTAAACACTTTAAAAGTCCCTTATTGACGCCTCCATGAGCTGATTTTCTGGGCGTTTTACAATTCGCATTCACTTGACCATGGGACGAGAGAATCCTATCTTTTTTTCCAGGTAATGGAGACTTTGTTTCATACCACTTTAAATTTTTTGTATAACATCGTATTTTTCTTTCAAAGTTAACGCTTTTCGGTTTTGCTTCTCCATTTGAAGGTCTGCCATCGATACCCTCCACGAGATCTCAATCGCAACTGAGATCAAAACACAAATGTGCTTAAGGGGGAACCCCCGTAAAAGTTCATTAAAAACGGAAAATGTATCTTAATCTTGACGAAATTTAGTTCACTGTATCAGAAAGTTCACTATAAACAGTAAAGATTTACATTTGTCTCATGAGACCTTTTGAGTGTATTTCAAAAAGTGTTCATTATAACCGAGTGTTCACAATAAACGGGTTTACTATATCCGAATACCACTGTGGTTTGTGTTATTATTCTATTGCTAGCTATCCCAAATCATCCATTTTTAATATATCTGCAGTCTTAAAGGGCTACCCCATCTAGCGGCCCTTTTATGAACCTGGAAATGATTTCCAGCTTTTTCTTTTGCCGATTTACAAATATTTTTCTGACCGGCGTCCTTTATCTTTATTATTAACTAACCCAGTACAGTTGCGTCAGTTTTGTACTGAAATACCGTTAACACGTTAAATATTAACTTGATGAAAATGTTTTCGTCGCTGAAAAGTATCTATGTTGCCGTATGTGCGAAGGCGGGAGACCCGCAACCGATTCGTACGTGTGATCGATTGATGTGATTAGACATAAAAATCAGTTTTCAAGTCTCCTCGCCTCTTGGTGTGGCTCCTTTACCTGCCGATCGGTAGGAAAGTACGTGTGCTTGTCTATCTTGGAGTACTCCTCCTTGTAGTAGGATTTAATGTCGAGCAGGGCCGCCCAGATGTCGCCCCTTAAAAATGGCGGCACGTCTTTGGCCGCTTCGCGGGCAATGAGCGCCTTCGTGAATGGATAACCCTGGATAGCTCAACAAGAATGAAGGAGGGTTGCATAAACAACTATATACAATACTTTTCACAAAACTTTTGGATTCCTCCTGCGTCGGTTTTTGTTGAGTCGAATTAGCTAGTTGTTGAATCGAATAAAATGTTACGTCCGGTTTCGTGATCGTGTTCGATAACTGCCGATGGGCTTAAGGCCCTTTCATGTTCTTTGAGCCTAGTTGATATTTTTCTTCCGGTCTCTACAATGTATTCTTCGCCGCATATGCATGGAATGCTGCAAACTCCTTTCACCTCAAATGGAATTTTGTCTTTGTATTTCCTTTTAAATATTTAGTATCACTCAGGTGCATTAACTACCATTTGTGCGTCCTGGTGCACTACTCAGTAGTTTCGAAGCACTACTAAGTAGGGAAAACTACTATTTGGAACAAAATGCTGTAAACTCCTGGCACCTCAAAATTTTTGAACAAGTGGTAAATCTGGTTCTGACGTTATACTTCTTTAGAACTTTTGATATGTGGTCAGTGATGTTTTGAGTATAAGGAAGAACCACAGTGGCAAGTGTAGGATTGCTCTCGGTCTCATTGCTATGGGAAGGTTGTGGTGAAGTAAATTTTTTGATGGAACGCTTAGTATCTTTAATGTGGAAATTATTAGAGAGAAGAGCAGAGGTAAGGTGTTTTAATTCTGGGATTCTTGACCCGCTTCGAACAATATATACGCAGGTACAGTTTCGGCTCAACAACAACCGACGCAGTGGAAGTTTCTTTGAAAAATACAAAATACTGTGTGTGTGTGTGTGCAAAATACCAGCTTATTCCGTTGAGAATTAAAAGCCCACTGCGTAAAAATCACTACCATTATTTTACCGCGTTGGATCCTTCCTCCAAGTTTCCGAACACCCTGTATAGTGTTATAACCTATCGGTCATTCGTAAAGAAGAAAGTCTTATGATATCCAAAGTTAAATGATCGCTATGAACTAAAAGTTCAGACTGTTTCGACAACACCGTGTCTTTATCAAAACATTTGATTTGTTTTTTGATATTGTATTAGCTTGCTTATAAAGTATTATATCATATATTGTAAAACCCACTACAAAATCTATCTATACAATAATTTTTGTTAAAGCACAAAACAATCGACTGTTATAGGACATACCAGTCCTTTAAGAATTCCATTTCGCTAGTTGGGAGGAAGATAGAAGAGATAGAGTGTGTGTTGCCAAATTTCCTAAAATATTACGGAGTTCGCGTGTTACAATTGCTCTTACGTGGAGAAGCCGCCGAAGCAGTATGACGCGGTGCAGCTGGTACTCGGGATCTTTTTCCTTGATGACCAGCGGGAGACCGGTCGCGTCGTAAGGGGGCGGGTCCGCGTTGGTTATGACGTCAGAATCGCTGTGTATCAGCGGGTAGTACGCCGGATGGGGCACGTGTGAGAATCGCTGGTACAACGTTTCGAGCGGAATCCGCACCACCTTCGGGTCGTACAGGGTGGATGAGTTGCGTTCTTGGCCGAGGACGGCGCCCTCTATCAGCACCAAGCTGAAATTCGAACTGTTTTCCGATCTCCGGCTCGCAGAAAATGTACAACCGTTAAGATAACGTGAGGTTCCGAAACTGCTATTGCTGTTGACGATTTGAATATAGTAACACGTCGAATATGTGAGGTATCGTCACATATCGAGGAAGAAGCTAGTAATCTGGGTCCGCCAGTAAACGAAGAAAAACAAAATATATGGTAGCGACCAGAGTTCCGAGGCTCTCTCAACATCTTCGATCCGTCAAAGACGGGTTAAGATGCCAACTAAGCTCAAAGAACATCAGAGAACTCTTCAGCAGTTGTCATTCTTCTACCAACGAAAAATCCGAAAGTCTATAGAATTCTATAACCAATCTAACAATCTTAACCGCGACTCAGCTTTTTACCTGTCACCAATATGGGAATCGGTCATCCGAGATAGTGTTATTGCCTTTCGTTTAGCTCCGCCCCTCTCGAACAAAATATAATCTGGTACGGAGTAAAATACGAGCCCAGTTTCAGTCAAGCTCTGAAGAAGCCAACAGGTTGATTGGCGAAACGTTTTAACAGACATCGACGCAAGAGGAATCCGGAAGTTTTGTGAAAAGTATAAATAAACTTGTATTTGAAATAAAGATGCTTGGACTCCAAAATGACGAAACAACAGAAACACTGACAAAGACGACCTTTTGGCAGAAGATCAATGGACTTATCTAGAATTAGACTCCAGCAGTAGGAATAAGATGCGCAGTGATCATATGGTAACATTAGAAGACTACAGATTAATAAAGACAACATCTTTCGGTAGAAGATCAATAGACTTATCTAGAATTGGACTCCAGCAGTAAGAAACTAACCACGGAGTTGACGGGTCAAGAAAGAGGAAGAAGGAAGTTAGGTTCATTTACAATTGGCAGCTAATACCTACCTAGGCAGGGACAGTACGGGCGGACTGGATCGGATGAAGCCCTGTTTTTTCAACTCCTGGAATACGTCGCCTCCGGCGAGCTGCCACCAATGGTAGAGCTCGTGGATCGTGAACACTTGGAAAGGTTGGCGAACCTTGCTTTCGTTCGCGGAGCTAGTTTTAGCTAGTTCGGCGAACGCGTCGCTGGCGAGCAACTCCTCGCACGTAGGTCTGTCGCCGGGATATAAGCTCAGACACTTCTCGATCAACCCTTTCAAGTCGTCGGGCAGATCCTAAAAGCAACGTTGCCGGTTTGCGCTCGGTTTGGCAGATCGTCTGCCGCCGTACCGTGTAGGCTTCGTAACGGTTGTGTTCCCTGGCGATTTTCTCGAATATCGAGCCGTTCGACTGCAACAGGCTCGATATTTTCCTAATTCGCTGGCCGAGGTTCAAGGAGGCCCACAGGATTTTGTTCAAGACAAGCTCCGCCAGGCAGATGCCCAACGACCATAGATCGGCCTTCGGGTCGGCCAAACGACCTTCGGTACCGCCCAAGTACACCTCGGGCGCGGTATAGTGCGCTTGCCTTAAAAAAGTGTATATACGTTCGGGGAATTTCGGGAGAGCCGGCAACGCCGCCCGGTTTCTTATGACCCGACCCAAAGAGGCTACGTAAATCAAGATGAGTGGGGTGAACTGGAATCACGAGCGTGCGAGATAAAAATTGTCATTAAATATTAAATAAAGTAACGAACGAAGTTGAGTTAAAAAAAGACTGTTTTAGCTCATTTTGCAGATAAACCAAAAGAATATTTTTTTAAAGAGATTGAGTTGTTAATAAAGAAGAGTGTATTGAAGTTAAGGGGAGTTATATTGAAAAATAATTGTTACTCGACTTTGTTTCTTTCATATTCAGGCCGGGAAATTTCGGCGCTGCCCTCGTATGTATAGTACTGAGTTGTTTTTAAACTAATCAAGCAAACGTTTTTGGAGAGCGCGTTGACCTTCGTGGTCTAAAAACTCCAGCATTAAATATTTTTGGAAAACCTTCTCGTTTTAAAAAGATGTCGATGAAACTTTCAAAATTCGAGCTTTTGGTGAGGTGAAGGTTAAACAATTCCCCCAGGATTTCGAGAGCGCCTAAAAGTGCATTTCTTATTAACCATATTGCTATAAGATTAACAAGATGTACCGTACGTTCGATTTATCTTGATAACATTTTAATTGGCTGTAACTTTTCTGTTTTTAATGACATCAAGGAAAACAAAAAAACGTCTTGCTGATATATTTAGGGGTAAATGTCCTATTTATTGTTCTATTTGCTGCCTGTTTGGAGGAGCTCTGGATAAAGTCTAATATACTGACGAAGGGATGCACTTGAGTAAGACCACATCAAGTGGACCCCCCACTTACAACTTGATCCTAAAAATTTAATCTATATATATTTTTTATAAGTACCTATGATGGAAAATTGATGCCCCAAAAAAATTTTTAAGCACTTTTAATTAAAAAATGGATTAAAAATCAACCGTAAGAGATAAATTTATGGAATTTTCAGCATCCACGGTCAAATGTCTACACTTTAAGAATATATTAACGACTTCAAATTATTTGTTTACTTTCGTATTATTAACTAACTTCTAAGTTAACAAATGAATCTTCAATCCATTTAAGTTTAAAGATTCCGGAAGAATATTTCAGTGCTCGTCATTAGTTTAAACAAAATGAATTTATTTATGACAGCGCGCCGGGCGCCGAGCGTCTCGAACTGCATTGAAGGTTTCATCAGTGACAATTTAAAATAATAACACCAAACATTATTATAAAAAAAAATTATTATTATTTATGTTACCAATTTCATTATTACAAACCATTGGAAATTTTTTCACTAGAATGCAGGCTCGTTTCAGAGGATGAAAGAGTATTTTTGAAATTTTTTTTCTGAGACGCAGAGGATCCGGAACTTTTATTTGAACCATTTTTCCGGTTATATACACGGTTTTTCAATTATAGACAAAAATTCAAAAATTATTAGTCTTAAATCAAAATTGAATATATAACAAATATGGCTAATTGGATGAAACCGTACCATAGGCGGCATCAATTTTTGTATTTCCGGTTTTCGTCTATCACATACGCTGGTCGAAATATTTGAAAAAATCCATGGGAAAATCGCTATCTAAATGCGATGACGTCATCGACTATTACACCGCACTGCATAGTTTCAGAAAAAATTTTTTCCCAAAAACCGTGACTCTAAAGCATCGGAGCAGTTTGCATTGTCTCTAAACGTGTGTCAAGTGTGTTTAACTTAACTATTTAAAATATCAATATAGAAACTTTGATGTGGTGACATTATAATCCCCACGCGTCACTGGCCCTCTCGGAAATTATTCTCTCCCGCCTTACGTGGTTACCATAGCAACCATTAATAATTAGGCAACGAGAGCGGTCTCTACAAGTTGTCCGTATACGTTTTTTTTATTATTAACCGCTCAAAAAACGTAGAAAGGGGGCGTAGCCCGGCCAAATAAAATCACCCGGCGATAAAAATAAAAAAAAAAAATTTTTCAAGAAAAAAAAAATTTATGACCCCGACGTGATTTGAACACGCAACCTTCTGATCTGGAGTCAGACGCGCTACCGTTGCGCCACGGAGTCGCATGGAACTTTCGACGATATTCGCGCATTTAAGCCGGAAACATAACCTAATCGGACAATTATTGCAAAAGTACTCACAGTATAGGAAACGAAACCAGCCGCCCGCAATGCGTCATGTAATACAGCCCGTAATTGAACAGTTTCACGTCGCCGTTCTCCTGAAGCAGGATGTTATCGTTGCTCAAGTTTCGGTGCACGATTTTGTTTCGGTGGAGCTCCGCGAGCCCTGTCAGCACTTGGTGTGCAATTTTTACGATCCGCTCGTTGGAGAATTCGTTTTTGCTCACGAACCCGGACAAGGGTTCGCCGCAATATTGCGAGACAACGACGGTGCGCTCTAAAAGGGGCGTCGAAGTACCAGGGCCAAAAAACCTTCCGTTGCTCCTTACCGTGCTTTCCTCGAATGATATCTAAGTACCGGCACAGAAACGGGCTGTCGATCGTCTTTAAAATCTGTGCCCGCCCCACAATGATTATCGAATTAGGCGTGAGGGGCAGACCGTTGCTCCCACAGGTGTCCCCTTTGTGTTGTTTGGCGAAAAAAGTGATCGAACCGAATTGCATCTCGGGATTCCGCAAAATGGAGGCCGTCATACCGACGGTCATCGTTTCGTGAGTGAGAAAATCGTTTAAGGAACGCTTTCAACTAAATCCCGTTCGCACATAACCTTATTGTTCCGTTTACAAACATAACCGCGTAAGCCGGGCCAATATATTGGTTAGTCGCGAGGCCAGTCGCACCATAGTGTTTTGGTGGTTAGGTTATTTCGAACAAGGGTTGGTTGGCTGAATAGAATTTGATTATCATGTTGGTTTCTTTAGAATGTAACCGAAGCTGGTTTCCATTCACGTATCTACTTATATACTTAATTAATTATTTTACCGTTATTTTTACGACAAATAGCAGTTAGTTGCTAGCTACAAGAGTGTTACAAACCTAATTATAAACAGTGAACAGCAAAATAACAATAATCATAATAATATTTAATGCAAATACTAAAGAAGTTCAAAATTTAAAATCTTAGTTGTGTGTCCGAACCATAACATCAAATAACAATTATTTTTTTCAGAATCCGTAATTCTCAAATTATTATTCGTCAAAAAGCCCCTCGTTTTTATTGGGAAAAAGTCTACCATGGACACTCGCCCATCGCCGATAAGTGATAAGAACAACAATAGTATTTTAATTCCATACACATCTGAATCACTAGGTCACACTACGAGTTCGAAGCAAATGCATTAAGAAAGCTACGTGTAGCCTTAGCAGGAGACATGGGAATAGCAAGTTCTAGATAAAGTTTAACATCCTTCTTCTTTTACGTTTTCTCTAATTTGGGCAAGTTCTCTCGGGTCGTTTGCCCTTATCGTTCATTCCCTCATCTTCATCATACGTTTCGCAAACTGTTGGGCAACGTCACTACGATCATTCGCCCAAATCGTACACTCCGAATAAAACGCGTCGAGAGCGTGACTAAATATTTTATTACAAAATTTAACAAATTTTTCCTAGTTTACGAGACTGCCTGTTGGGAACGCGACCCCACGGTTGCCGTTTTCGTTAGTTAAATCTAAAAATCGTCAAAATTACGACTGTGCGCTGACGGGTTCGCGCGATATTTACCGAAAAATGGCGTATGTCGTTCGGATCCTCGAAGTCTTCCTCGTTCACCAACACCTGCCTGCTGCCGTACTTGTACCTGCGAAATAACGTTACGCGTTGCGCGTTACGTTAACGTAATTATGTTAAATAAAGCTCACTCGAGATACCGTCGCCACGACAACAAGCCGAGGTAGGCGACCGCCGAGCCGACCACGAGAAACGCCACCAAGGTGCCCGCCAACCAGCCACCCCTTTCCATCGGATCGACCGCCACGAGGGTCTTGAACTCCTCCACCACGATTTCCTCCTTCAAGCGTCTCCTTTCTTCGGTATTTTCGCCGTTATCGATCGGCTCGGTGTCGTCGTCGATCGGGTCCCCGAACGCGACAGTGGCGTACGTCGCCGACAGGGTGCCGGATTCTTTTTCTTTAAGGTCGTTCCGAAGGAGATCGGATAGCTCGAAGCCTCCCGTAGATTTTCGCGTTTCCTCCAGGTCGCCCTCCCGAATTTTGATACCGTTGTAGAAGTCGCCGCGGGGAAACTCGTTCGGTACCCAAATCGGGGGCGGTTTCGTCGCGGGGGCGGTCACGTCCGCCGGCGGGGGCGGCTCGGTGAGGTCGGAGTCCGCTGTCAAGTGTTTTTAGTGTACAGGGCGTCCGGAATAAGGAAAAGAAAAGTGTACTATCTGAACACGCTTCTTACTTTCCTTATCCAAACAAAAGCCATAGACAACGCCACAATCATTGAAATTAGAGAGGACCAGGGATTCACACAAACTTCGAATTCACTTGTTTACTTAAAATATGTCTATTATTACATAAAAGTTTTTATTTGCTGTCTAAGAGGCACTCCCAGATTAAGAAGTTACCATTCCCATCATTCCCAAACTCATAACACATGATTTACGCGGGATTAAGTTTTAGGTTGTGGTTATGAGACACCCGATTTAAAGATTGAAGGTCATCGTCAGATTCTTTATAGTTTACGGAACAGAACTCATTTTATTATCACAAGCCTGAAGAATGTCATCCAATACATTAGTTAAAGCTACCGACGCATCAAACCATTTACCACACTGGTGATTTACGAACTAGTAAAATAGAGTAAAAAATATACGGGGTGTTCCATTTAAAAAGAGCACGTTTGCCTCCATTTCTTCGTAAATCCTACATTCAACTGTTGTTCTGTTTTCACCATCGTGATCAGTGGGAAAAAATGCTACTAGTCAGCTAACGCAATTCAATGATGAACACTTAATTTAAATCACGGGGTATATGAAAAACTAAAAAATCTAGAAGAAACTGTACAAAATTTCTATGTAACTTTTTTTTCTATTGTTATATGACAAAAATCACTTCAGAGCGCATAACCAAATAACCAAAACTACTAAGACGGATTCTTTTCCCTAATAGAGTGGTTTATACCCAAGCAGTGATGCACTCGATCAGGAAATTAACGCGTACTCATTTCATACATTGTTTTTCCTAAAACAAAGAAGTCACTATGATAACATAAGTACGATAGTGTCGTCGGTTGACCGCTTATCTATTGTTTTCAATAATAATAATAATAATAACCTTCAAAATGAAAATAACTCCGCGCTTGGTGTTTCAATATTACTGGATTGTGACGTAAGGTGATATACATATTCTATAAAAAAAGTCAAATTTTAAACTTTGGTCGAATAAAATGGCGGAACTTTTGGACATAGAATTAATGTTCCTAGAAGGCCGATATAAAAAAGTACACACTGACGCAGAAAACTGGAGAGAACATCTATGCCTAAGAAAGAAACTCAGGGATTATTGCGCATGTGCATGTACTATAAAACAAACTTACCCGCGTATCATACTATGTTAGTTATACACACCGAAACAAGCAAATATCGCTCAAATGGACGCAAACCCACCGAACACAAAACAGAGTTAGCCCACGGCGCGTAAATTCCAGCTGATAGCGGTGTTACCAATAGTTGAGAGGGTAATAAATATAAAGAATTCTACGTCAGCACTGCCAAACAAAGAAATAAACAAAAAAAAAAATCTGCGTTGCAAGCCTGTGTGTGTTGCTTTAATATGTATTTAAAATGGAACTTGTTTCACTGGCAGCAATTGCAAATATTATCGTATTATAGACTTGTTAAAGTCGTTTTTTCTCTCTACTAGTCTTCTGGAGAATTAATTCTATGATTTTGGTATTGACTTTTGACCATGGACCAAAGACCAAATGAAATTTTCATTTGGTTTAACGGCATTTATACATATTTTAAAAATATAGGCACGCTACTGGCTTCCGAGCCGAATCAGAGAAGACGTAAAACAAAGCGTTTGTCTAGGAAAAAAAAAACCATTTAAATGTAAGCGCCTAAAGGCAACGATTACCCGTTTACCGAGGCCGTCGTAAAAATCCGTAAAAATGCAATTTGCGTTTAAATTTCGCCCGTTTCAAGGCGACGTATTTCGCGCGTATCTAATTTGAATAAGATTTGAAACGACAATATTATATCGCCCTAAATATAGCCGCTTATTGAAATGTCGTTGATACCGTCAAAAAGAAGTCGCTCGTATGTAAATATCGTTTGAATCATCAAATGACTCTTAATTAAGTCGCCATGGAAACAATATCAATTGCCACTTACCATTGTCCGCCCTTGCGAAAAGAAAAACGCACAGAACTATGAAAATTCTCATGGCCAACTCTGTGTCGCCCTTGTATTACTAGGCCGCTTTCCGAAATATCTATAAATACGTAAACTCAACTAAGGTAACCGAGAGAACTCGTATTATTATTTGATACGGATTTGATAACGGCTGATTACATTGTGTATCACGTTTGATTGTTTATATTGGCTCGTCGCGACCGTATCTCTTTTTAGTTTTTACGTAGTCTCGAATCACGCGACTACACCTTCCACCGCCCAATAAAATTGAAATTCATTTAAAAAAACGATTAATTTCAAAGTTTGTCCGGTGAGGCGTGGACGCGATTATCCGATTTGTAAATTTGCGCTTGACGAACGTTTAATGGTCTGTGCCATCTTAGCAAATGTTCGTTCTTTCTAGTAACCTATGACCTTGGCCGTGGAACCTAATCGACGCACAGAATATCGAGTTAATTCAAAACCAGCTCCTACTGCATATTCTTCTTCTTTTACGTTTCACAACAAGTCCGTCCAGCCATTGCACAAAGTCCTACTGTCGCTGGACACAACCAACCTCTCAACCTCTGCACATAACCTCGCGCTAGGCGACTAAAAGCAAACAATTATCGTCAAATGAGTCACCCGAAGGTGTAATAGTGGGTAGTAGTTATGTCCCGGCGTTTTTGTCTTACGGACGTGGACACTTAGTTCGCGCGATGGCGAAAAACAAGGCGTCCGGCATACTGGAGACCATCGAGCCTCAGGAACGACTGAGACAACTCATCAACTACAGTAACATGGTGCAGGTGGATCCCCACGTGCCTCCGGCGAGGTACTACCGTTCCGGTCTCGAAATGGTGCGGATGGCGAACGTTTATTACGAGGAGGGCAACTTCGAGAACGCCTACTGCCTCTACCTGAAGTTTATGACATTGTTTTTGGAGAAGATTCGCAAGCACCCGGACTTTAACGGGGTCCCGGCTTCGATGAAGGCGGCGAACCAGGCGACACTGAGGGAGGTGCTGCCCCGGGCCGAGCAGCTCAAAGAAAAACTGATGGAGGCCTACAAGCAGGACTATCAGACGTACTGCATTCAACTGGTATGTCGCTACTTTGTAGCAGAACGCCTAGTAAATTCTAATCTAATCTAGAGACAGCAAATATAGTAACTGTGCTCTTCCAAGTGCTATATTTCTCCTCGGGATAGAATTTTGAATTTGTTTTACCTATTTTGAAATTTCACCCTTGCAATTACCATACAGTTGCATATATGACAAAAAAAAATCAAATACTTTTCTAAACATATAATAGAGTAAAAAGGTATTCTTTATTTTACTCACTTTGTTTAGTATGGATTTTGCTGTTTCCTTAGATTTCTTAGAATTTCTAGTTGTTCTCTTCGAATCTGGTTATTCTCTTGTAAATATGCACTTTTTTGCATTTTTTCAAGAGATTTTGCCGGGACAAGCTTTTATTTTTTGTCTCCATTAATCACTTTGCCTTTAAGAGTGTCCATTTGGGTAAATTTATTTCAGTTTGTTGGATTTATTTCTGTTTTCCTTTCTTTTGAAATTTTATCCCAAACATTTTTCTTTTTTATTTTTAGATTTTGAAATTGTTTAATGCAGTTCTTATATTCATCCAAAAGTAGTAAAGTACTCTTGTTTGTCCAAGAAAATGAGACATTTGAACATTTAATTTTATTCCACTTACCAGTGGTTTGTGTGATTTCATCTTCAGCTGAATAGATCTCTTCTTCTATTCTTTTAATACAAAATTCAGCAAATATTTGCGGAGTTGTATCTAAATGTATCTAAAAATGTGGTATGTTCTATTCATCAAGAGAAATATCAAAATTTGTCTACCTGTGATATTCTGCAATAAAAGTTTATCAATTTCGATAATGCGTTCACCTTTTCAATTAGTTAGTACATAAAAATTTTCTGAGGAAATTGCCATTTTTCCTCTCTCATACAGGGTGTCTCGAAATTAGACGTCATGTATTCTGTGATCCAAAATAAGGATAAAGGTTCATATAAACTAGGGTCCAAAACGTCTTATTTTTTAACATACAGGGTGTTAAATATGAAGAGGTGATGGCGATTTTTGTGTAAATATTTTCGAAACACGTAAATATTTTAAAATAAAATTTGGTACATTATATTGGTATAATTATTTTATTATTAATTAAAGCCTTGGAAATTAATGACGCGTTTGTTTGTGTTGCTGGGTAAATAAAAATTAAATGTCAATTATTCGACAGCTTTTAATTTTGTTCATAGTTGGTATAAAATACTTTTTACTTGGATTGTTCTTATAAATCCTTTTATTAGCGAAAGACAAATGAAACTATGAAGTGTAAAGCTAATTATTCTAATAAAAATTATAAACTTTATATTTTACATTTTACATGCCCTCGTTTATATGAAGTTTTGTCCTTATTTTGAGTCACAGAAGAATACGTGCTTAAAGTATTTCAACCTAACCCCCCCCCCCCCCCAAAAAAAAAAACGCCGGTTAGAAACATCATATTTCTTCACTGTGCCGGGATTTCCGCCCATTATTTGTCATTATTGTAGAAAAAACTACAAGAACGTCAAAAAACCAAAGCGGACGACGTCAAAAAACCGGGGGCGACGCTCCCGGTCGCCCCCGCCGAATTCATAACCGCCCAGTTACCGGGTCCCATCGATGATGTCAGCTACCCGGACCCTAACCTGACGTCGCCGTCCGTCGCGACGTTGCCGGCTCTTCCTTCGGCCCCGCCCCTCGACGATATCCCCGCCCCCCAGCCGGTAGTCGATCGTACCAAAAAACCGGCAGATCTGAATCCGTCGGATTACAAGAGCGGCAAGCTGAGGTCGGTGGTGGTGCCGTCTAAAGTGATGACGCTGTTTCAAGAGATGGCGCGTGGCAACACCGCGCGAAACGTCGAGACTTGCGGCGTGCTCGCCGGCAAGTTGGAACGCGACGAATTGATCATCACCCACATGATTTTGCCTAAACAAAAGGGCACTTCGGATTCTTGCGCGACCACTAACGAAGAGGAGATATTCGACTACCAGGACCAGCACAACCTGATCACGATCGGCTGGATACACGTGAGTTCCCCTTTAACTGCGGTAGCGAGACCAAAAATAAACTGCGCCCCGGTTAGTGCGGGGCTAATCGAATAGTTCGGATAATCACGAACTTGGCGGATACTTTTTTGCAACATTCTGACACCAAAATTTTCAAATTTCGTTAAAAAATAGACTCACAGGAAGGAAAAAACCAGATAATTAAATACGTTTTTGTAAAACCAAAATATTACTTAGGTGGCGTTGCTTCTATTCATCATCCAGTCGGCATGATTTAAAATTGTGACAGTTTGTACATTGTACAATGTACATCGTACATTTGACTATCGATTTGCCGTTTTATCGATTCGGATTATCATGGAAAACAATAATGAGTTTACAAATGAAAAAAAAGTGGATATGCAGAGAAAACTCTCGCCAGACCCGTGCATTGTATGCAACCCGCTATCCGGGACGTCGCCTTCCTGCACGTTAGAAAGCTAATATCGATAATCGACATGATAATTTTATTATAAGTGAAGAAATGGAGATCAATGTTGTGGGATACGTCAACGTAAATCCAGCTGCGTCGCTAAGACAAGTGGCATTAGAATTAGACATCTCAAGAGAATCTGTGAGAAGAATTGAAAAAAAAAAACACAGCATTCCTTCTTTTAATTATGTATAACGTGCATCGACATCTTGATGAAGCTGACGTTGTTAGAATACTTCGATATTGTAATTCGCGAAGGCCATAAAAAAAGCGTATACGATTGTCCGTCCCTTGTCGATACCGAACTTTCGGCTATGGTCCGTGGTTTCTCAGACGTCACACGTCGTTTAGGTGACGTGACGTTTTACGCTATCGAAATGGGACCGAAACGTAAACCGCGAAAGGGCGACGAAGATGCGAGGAAAAGGCAGCAGATCGAACGCAGGCGCGAGCTGCAAATGGCGCGGCTCGAACGCGAGACGAAATACGGCGCCATTACGCTCGCCCGTCAGGAGAAAAACTGGGAACGGATGTTGACGGAGGCGGCGTTACCGCGCATGCGCGACGACCTGACGTACGCGTGGCGATGCTTCGAACGCGCCGTCGACTGCAAAGATTTCGCTATCGGTCTCCTCATGGACGAGCTCGACGAAGCCGAGCGCCATCGCTTTCTAAACGCGACGGCGCACTCCGAACACATTGACCGGATAATCGACGGGTTCGGGGCCCGAGTTCGCGAACTTGATCGCGAGTTCGCCGAAGAGGTTTGTGGCAATTTATCAAGTTATCGATCTAAATGTCGATAAAACGACAAAACACGAGTGTACCTTTCCGACAGTTTTTATAACGAAAAACTGCCTCAAAGCACCGGTCATCGATCCAAGTCGTCTCTGGAGTGAACGGTGCCTCCGAAGGGAATGTTTGACGGAAAATGCGTGAAACTTCGCCCTTTTCTAGTCGATTTCGATAAGATTTGCATTCAGAATGAGGTCTTCCAATAATTTTTTTAATCAAAAATACCTTACGTTTGGCGGTCGATATCGATCAAATTCCGTGCAATTTGTGCAATGAGAAATACCGCAAACCGGCGTCTATTCGTGTGAAAATTCTCTGCGTTGAGCGGTGGTTCCGAACTTGACAAAATTTTTCTATTCAATTACGAAGATATTCGAGTAACTATTAAACAAGAAAACAAGATATTTTGTTTATTTACCGTCATATATTCAGTCGATAGTTAATAAATGAATCGAACGGAGCATCGGTTCATTTATTAATAATATATATATATTTAATTTTTTCAGTATCATATATTAAGTCGATAGTTTATCGATATTTTGATTTTTGAACAGAGTCTACAATAGAGTCTGTTATCTTATCAATAATTGATATTGATATTTTGATTGCTGAACAGAGCGGACAATAGGATCGGTTATAATTAATAAATACGTTTTGTTTTTTACTATCCTATGTTAAATTTATGATATAAAATTGTTATGTCGATTGTTTATCGATATTTTAATTTTTCAACGGAGTGGTCAAAAAACATGCTAATGCGGGAGTAGAAAATATATGGGTATAAACATAGTGAAGCGACGAGGTATATCCATTCTCAAATAGTTACTAAAATCTGTCGGGATACTTTATTAGTCCTTTGGACAGTGTAGTCATCTTCTTCTTCTTTCACGTTTCATGCCAAGTCGCTAGCCTAGAATATTGTCGCTCGGCCATATGTACCCTATGAGTGATTTTTCAAAAGGCGGTCAATAAAATCCATTGCATAGATGAAGTCGATAGGTTATCGATATTTTAATTTTTCAACAGGATATAGAATAAGATCGGTATTATTAATAATAGATAGTTTGAGAGGAGACTTTATTAGTCCTTTGGGCAGTGTAGTCTTCTCCTTTTACGTTTCACACGGGCACGACTGCTCGGATCATTCGCCCAACAGTTTTCTCATACAATTGGCTGTGTGTTCCTTCGTGTTTTGGTTAGTCGCTCCGCCGTATGTACCCTAAGGGTGCGTTCGCAGATCAAACGCGTGATGGACGAACGCGTCGCGACCCTATCCGACGCGAGGTCGTCGTCTCGTGAAAACGAGGATCACCTGAAAACCGCGTTGCACATCCTCGAGATGGCGACGAAGGAGGTGCGGCGGACGCGACGCGCCGACTACTTCTCGAAACTCGAGGAGCAGGCGTCGAAGGATGCGCAGCTGGTCGAGCAGTGCGCAGCCGTTCTCGAAGAAATCCGGCTGCGCGCGCGCGACGCCACGGTCGCTTTCGTCGATCGTTACCGCGACCGAACGAGAGAAAGGAAGAACGCGGACGACAAGCTGAAAAAGCGAGACGACCGCCTTCAGGCGACGATCGCCAAACGTCTGGATGCGATTCGGGCGGCGTCGGATCGCGCGCGCGCGCTGCGCGTCGCTCGCGCCGAACAGCGCGCGTACTTCGAGCGAAAGTTGGCGGACCTGCGCGGCGAACGCGACTTTTTCCTCGCCGCGTTCGACGCGCTCAAGCGCAAACTCGCGCGGGACCGCGCGGCCGACTTTGAGCGCGCCGCGCGTCTCGCCGCTTGCCACGACGACGTCGCGACGCGCCTCGGGGACGTTCGCGCTCGTGCGGAACGCGTCCTCCGCCTCGGCGCCACCTGCCGCCGCCTGGAGACTTTGGAGGTAGAGAAGCCGATAAGGTCGTATATAACGTATATAGCGGAAGTGACGATAGAGTCGATAGTTTATCGATAATTTGATTTTCGCACAGCGAATAGGATCGGTTCTTTTATTGATAATATTGATAGTTAATCATATATTAGGTCGGTAGTTTATCGATATAGCGGAAAATAGGATCGGCTTTTATATTATTAATAAAGATATTTCGTTTTTTTATTAACATATAATAAGACAATAAGATCTATTTTTTTAATAATATAAATATTTTGTTTTTTTAATATCACAGAGTGGACAATAGGGTTATTTCTTATATATATATATATATATATATATATATATATATATATATATATATATATATATATATATATATATATATATATATATATATATATATATATATATATAAATAATATAATATAGATATTTTGTTTTTTAACTATCATATTTTAAGTAGATAGTTTCTCGGTGTTTTGATTTTTGAACAGGGTCTACCATAGAACCCGTTATCTTATCAATATTTTGATTGCTGAATAGACATATAATAAGTGGTTAGTTTATCGATATTTTGATTTCTGAACAGGGGACAATAAGATCTACTGTTTTACTATTAATATAAATATTTTATTTTTTTAATATCGCAGAATAAGTCGATAATTTATCGATATTTTAATTTTTCAACAAGGTCTACAATAAGATCGGTTTTATTAATAATATAGAAAGTTTGTTTTTTACTATCCTGTGTTAAATTGCTATGATATAAAATTATCATGTCGATCGTTTATCGATATTTTAATTTTTCAACGGAGTGGTCAATAGGAATAATTCTTATATAGATAATTTAAGATATATAATATATTTTGTTTTTCAACTATCATATTTTAAGTAGATAGTTTCTCGATATTTTAATTTTTGAACAGAGTCTACAATAGGGTCTGTTATCTTGTCAATAATATTGATATTTTGATTGCTGAACAGAGCGGACAGGATTGGTTATAATTAATAAATTCGTTTTGTTTTTTTACTAACATACAATAAGTCGATTCTATATCGAGATTTTTCAACAGCGGACAATAAGATCCATTTTTTTATTATTTACATAAATATTTTGTTTTTTTAATACCATGGATTAAGTCGATGGTTAATCGATATTTGAATTTTTCAACAGAGTGGTTAATAGGATTAATTATAATAAATAAATAATTAATTATAATAAAATATAATAAAATATGATAATATATATTGCCAGAAGGAGCATATAGAGATGCCAAAACTTGATAATATATCAATATTTAGATTTTTGAACAGAGCGTCCCATAGGATCGTTTCTTTATCAATGATATTGTTTTTTATCAAATAATTGTTAAATTAAGTTCACTAACTAACCAGATGAATATTTTTTTTTTTAAATGCTATGTAGACATGACGATAAAATCGATCGTTTGTCGATATTTTGATTTTAGAACAGGACAAAACAATCGTTTCTATATTAATTATATAAAAGTTGTATTTTTTATGTATACGAAGTAGTTAGTTTAATAATAATAAAATAGTTTAATAATAAATTTGATGGTTTATTAATAATACAAGGATTTTGTTTTTTTAATACCATGTGGAATTGACGTTAGAGTCGGTAGTTTGTCGACATTTTAATTTTTGAACAGACAAAAGAATCGTTTTTTATCAATAATATAAACTTTCTTATTTAATATCATATGCCAAGACGATATTTTAATTTTTGGATGGAGGTAACAGCAACGATAGAATCAATTACTTATCAATAATATGAAGATTTCTTTTGATCAGCGGTAAAGTTTATAGATTTCCATTATTTTGATTTTTGAACTGAAGCAATAACAGTTGTTTATTAATCATATAAAGGGTTTGATTTTCTTTGATATCACCTGGAGGTGACGACGAAGTCGATAGTTTATCGATGTATTGTTTTTTGAACATAAGCGACAAAAAAATTGTTTTTTTTTCAATAATGTCGAAATTTGTTGTTGCTTTGGTTATCGCGTAGAAAGTCGATAGTTTATCGATATATTTAATTTTTGAACAGAGGTACCAATAGAATCAGTTGCTTGTCGATATTATCGATCGAATTTTTTTAACATTTGGTGGTGACGATATTTTGATCTTCTAACAGACGATAATAATGTAATAATAATTAATAATTTGTCGTAAATGTCCATATTTTGTTCATGGATCTTATTGTTGAACTATTGATTTTTGGTCGGCCATCGATAATGTCGATTACTATTATCGATTCCGTTTTCTCTTCGGCGTGCGACAGGAAAAAGTGTTGCCGTTCCCGGCGAACTTTGGGCGCGAGATGTCCCGACCGGCGTACGTGACGGCCGAATACGCGACCGCCCTTGACGTGTTTTGGCAAAGGGTGGGGAACGCGGAAGCGTCGAGACGGGCGCTCGCGGAACAGCGGCGGAGCATCGCTGCGGAAAATGAGGCGCTGCGCGGTGAGATTTTTCGCCGGTACTGTCGCTGCGTGACGTGTCCCGGTATGGCGGCGACGGAAGGGCATCGCGAGGAGGGTACGAACGTCACTGACGCAGCATTCGAGATTAAGAAGTATCGGAAGCAAAGCGGCGGTTCAATAAATAAATGTTGACGCCTTTGTTGTTGTTTAATCGTGTTATCGCTTGGGTGGGGGGTGGGAGATGTTTTTTGGTTTTTCAGATGCATTGACTAATATATAATTATTTTATTTATTTATTTATTAAAAAGTATTTAATAAAAAAAATTGTTTTGGTTAATTTTTGAGGTGGGTCTCTTTGCAACACTTTTCCCTACATATTTATGCGCTTAAATTTTTTTTAACCTTCGTCGAACCGTGTGGGGTACAAATGTACCCCAACAACTCAATTTTCCTCGTATCTTTTCAAAAACTCTTTACACAAGGGTTCCGCAATTTTATTTACTGTCATTTAGTATTTACAGATTCATTTCCTGTATATTTTAATTATGACGTCCATCAAAACAGTCAACAAAAAAAAATATTTTTAATGCGGGGTACACTTGGTATGCCAAGATACTCACTTTGATTAGTCACGGTCAAGCACAATACAGTAAAAATCAGCGGGTGTAAGACAAACAAAAGGTACTTCTGATCCTGTTTCTTTCAAAGGATCGATGAAATTGAATTTTTCGAAAGCGTACGCGTTTGGCAAAGAAACTCGTAACTAGGCGTCGAAAATTTTTTTTTTAATTTTCTGTTCTCTGGTTCCCTATCGATGGGGCGTTAAATCGGCCTATCGAAGCTACGGCCCCTTTTATATAGCCCAAGAGACCGATAAACCCGTACAAAATGGCTTTGTTCGGACTTCCCACTGGTGGGGTTGAGGTGTCCGGAAGAATTTAAAAAAAATTAAAAATCGCGTCTTTAAGGGTCCAATAAAAAAATCAATTGTCGAAAACCGTTTATGTGTTCGAAAAACGAAAAACTCGAATTCGTATCATATCAAATTCTATAAACCGAAAATGTACAGGGTGTACAATTGATCATAATTCGAAGGCTGTGCTTCAATTGTCAGTTTCTTTTATAAAACAATGTAGTAGATGTCCCTAATTTGCAGCTATCGACTTCAAATTCAGAAGAGATATGAAAGTCCGCACCCACAAACTAGGTGCAATGAAATATCGCCAAGTATTTTTTCAACATTTTTTGAAATTTTCTTTTGGGTTGTTTTGGCGTTCAGAAAAAAAATTATCTTCTGAAAAACTATTAACTTGATCGGCGAAATTCTTGATCCAAGAACTGTGGAAGATCCGGGACTGACTGACTGACTATAACTTTTATTTTATGCATTTTCTCGATTATATACAGGGTATATATTATGGACAAGAATGTAAAAGATCCTGAAAAATGTTGTTTTCCATAACTATTAATCAAAATTCGCAAAAAATACGGATAATTGGTCTAAACTGTACTATGGGCCCCCATCAAGAACTACATTTTTTTGTCTTTACGGTTTTCGTCTATCACATACGCTCCTCGAGATAGTCGCGATGGCGTCATTGACTATACATCTATGCTACTATCGGAGACTGCGTAGCGCATAATACGGAGCAGTAGTTTTTTGTCCATATGGGTTTCATCTTTTTCTTGCTGTTTCAATATGTAGTTAGACACCTACCTGAGTCGCCCCTGTCTTGTCCCTTAACTAACTATAATCCTTTGACTTCGCTTTACAGGTAGCATCGGTACAAATTAGCGGTTTCCGCGAGGTCCAAATCAGAGGAAGCTCGAAACTTTCTCACCAAAATTAAAATAAAAATACAGTCCAGGGAATTTTGTCTATCCCGTTAGTTCCAACGTAACCCAAATGCGGCTGTTTGATTCCAGACCCACCCGACGCAGACGGCGTTCCTGTCCAGCGTCGACCTTCACACCCACTGCCCCTACCAGCTGCTGATGCCTGAGGCGGTCGCCATCGTCTGCGCCCCCAAGTACAGCGAGTGCGTATAAACGTCGCGCCGTCCCCGGCCGTTTTAATGACGTTTCGTTTCAGGACCGGTTTTTTCATACTGACGCCCAACTACGGGCTTCAGTATGTCGCCAACTGCAGACAGTCCGGGTTCCACCCGCACCCGTCCGACCCGCCCCTGTTCAAGGTAAGGCGTTCCGACGTACGCCACTGTCGCGTCAGTATTGGTTTTTTCCCTCACTAGGTGGCCGAACACGTGAGAGTCAGCGGCGCAGCGACGCTGCAAGTCCTCGACCTTCGCAAATAGGAGCACCCAAACCGCAGTGAGTATGCCGTTATACTTCGACCAAAAATATAGTGGTTTGACAACTTTGTAGGTAAAAACAATAGTACAAAGTAAGAGTTTATTACGTTTCTACATAGTATCATTATTAATTTACAAAATATCAAATATAATAATAGTAAAGTATCAGTAAATATTTTATTCTTTAAGGTAAGGTAAGGTACTTAACCTTACCGTTTGAACTATCCAGTAAAAACAGCGTCGCAGGGTCAAAGCTCGAGAATCAGGTACATAAACTGGAAGGATCACAGTCAAAATCTCCGTAATATATACGAACATATTGCAATTTACATTAAACCCTTGATGCTAAAATAAACACTCCTACTTATTCGAAAATACCCCGCGGCATCAATACTTAATGAAATTTAAAAATAAAATCTCAGGCAAGACCTACTTAATGCAGAATAAACATCTGTTAAGCTACTGTATACTATATGCACTATATTTTTGGTCGTATTATATCTGTCACGATTCGAATCGGAACATCAGTCGTAGATTTAAAATAACTTTTTTTCTGCTATTCTGCCGAGTGTTTGAACGTTCATTTCAGTCCATTCTCGAATATTTTTCATCAATCAATCGTCCTCAAAAATGCGAATTTATTCAGGCTCTACGATTCCAGAGAGACTGAGACTGTAGGAAACGCGATTTTAAAGTTCTTCATTGTTATGTAAATAAAAAAATTTCACAGTACAATTAGACACAGACACAGTTCGATTTTGGTCGGTCGCAATAACTTCTTTGTTGTGGTCTGTGACGGAACGATTCGAATCGGAACTTCTTCTTCTCAATGTCTTTCTGTCGCGTTTTTTTTTTAGGGAGGCGGATGAAAGGGACATAGTCTACAGTTGCACCATGGGATAGAGCTTCAATAGAGGCGGGACGTCCTCGAATTTTTGTTTTTACGGCACGTGTGTGTAGCTTTTGTAACGCAATGATTAAAAAAAAAAATGCCGATCTGTAAACACGTGTATAAAGTTTTATTGAGTTTTTCGAAAAATAAAGTAATGGTAAAGTAACAAGCGACGTCACACTAGCGAGAAACCCTCCGTCTGCTGGATGGCCTGCAGCAGTTTGTACCGCAGCTTCTCTTTGGTCTTGTATCGGGGCAGGTCGAGCAGGTTGAAACACGTGTGGGCGACGGGTAAAAAGTTGTCGTCGCCGGTCGGCTGGACGACGATCTTGATCCCCTTCATGCCCTGGATCGGGATCCGATAGGTACCCGTGAGGAAAATGAGGAACTTTTTCTTGTCCTCCAGCGACATCTCGTGGAGCACCTCCCAAAAGTTCCTGAAGGCGACGCGGCAGAGCAAAATACAATTATTTGGCGTTTAATTTAATTTTTAATTGCAGCAAAAATTTTTTCAAAATTTTAGAAATACTATTCACAAATCTTCTGAAACTGAGACTGACTCGCAGTCTATTCTGCGCCCGCTTATATACGGTTTGAGGGGGGAGGAGCTAAAGCAGGGACATTAACAATAATAACAAATTACACTCCCTTGTGGAAGTTTTTTTGAAAAATAATTTTACAAAAAACTTCAATAAAGCGTTTTACCTCCTGGAGCTTTTACAACTACTTCTGTAGTTCTGACGCTATTAAGTCCTGGATGATTTCTTAAGGTATGTTTTCCCATTTCAAGCGAACGACACGCTCTAACTTTGGCGGGTTAATCGGAACAGGCATATGACGCTAAATTAATCATATTATATTTAAGTCGGTCGTGTCGCCTATAGATTATAGGATCCAGCTCTGTGCGAGAACATTTTTTGAACCACCTCTGGAGAGATACATCATAAAATCTTTCCGGGTGTGCGTCATACTCTATTACGACCATCTGGAGATTTTTGGGTCGTTCCAGTTTTATCTGTGACACTTCTTCTCTCCATTTGACTTGTAGCCCTTCTTTTCCTGCCATCACCACGGTTGCCATGTTATGTTTTAGGCTTACTCTGTGAATTAAATCCTTTTCCTGTTGCCCGCAATCCAGTGCGCCATGTTCTCTAGCGAATTTTAATCTTCTGTGATCTGTGATCTGCAGTAAGCAACGGTGCAGCAGCACACCTTCTGCTAGCCAATCCGATTATTTCCTTTAACCTTCTCCCGATGGTTGAGGCAGACATCCTGACATTTCCAGTAGTTTAGAATTGGTTAGTTAGCTCTTTCAAGCATATTTTCTGTGTGTCTGCTAGCCAATCCAACTGCCTTTCATCTTCTCCCGACAATAGTATATTTTCCTGCCCTTTTAACCATTATACAGACCAAGTTCGTCATCACTTAAATAACACACTCGATTCATACTTTCGCAACCAGATTTTGAAATTTCGATCCCGCACAAAAGAATAACCGACACCGGGACCGCGATTGCAAATAATACGCTTATCAAACTGAAAAAAAAATTATAAAAGCGGTACAAAAATAACAGAAACGCCTACTTGACGTAAACCACATAAGATTTCTAACACTAGCCGCTTATCAGTCAGAAAAAGTAAGTGGTACGTTAATTTTAAACGGTTTACATATTTATACAGGGTGTTATCGAATTGACACCTGGTAATCTAGCGAGTGGACCTCGGGGGCGGCGTAGTATCATAGAAAAATAATCCCGACGATAAAAATATAAAATTCGCGATAATAACAATGGGGGCGTTACCGTATCGTCGGGTCGGACGACTTGTATCCGTTCTTGTACTCGGCCGCCTCCTCAAGCGCGTGCCAGTCATAGTTCTCGTTGCCGATCACGACGTCCATCAGCTCGTACGAGTAGAACAGTTTGATGACGCGGCCGTCGCACACCTTCATGAAACCGGTGTGGAACGCGCGGTACTGCTGCTCTACCGACTTATTCAGCACGTAATCGATGTACAGCTGGACGTATTCGTGTCTGCAAAGAGACGGTCGCAGCCTGAAGGGAATATATATGAAACGTTCGGATCTGATACATTTAAAAAGGAACACCTTGGATCGCAGAAAATTAAGAAAAAAACACCCGAAAATCGGGCCCGTTACAGAGGAACTTGGAAACTTTACTGACAAAGTGATCCGCTGCGAGAAAAAAGCATATACAGAACATTCTTGAAACAATTAGTTAATATTATCCCTCTTCCGTAGATTGACGACCCGCAATAGTTGAGCAACTTAAGCGCCCATTTCCATTCTGCCAATATTATCCAAGGTTATAGAACGTGCCCAATATTCTCCTCACTGTTCTTAAATACTTAGGTTTTGGGTAAATTTAGTTAAAAACTACTTAACAGGGAGAAGGCAGCTTGAGTGCCAAAATATCAGCAGCGACCTTGAACGAATTGACAGAATTTCCAGAGTTCACAGTTCGATTTTAAACCAAAAAAAAAAAAATGTTCTGTAATGTTTTTTGGCCGGCCGGTGGATGTTAAGAGTCTTGCTTCTGAAGTAATCGTAAAAATAAACAATATTACTCTTCCACTTCAAAACGAGGCAAAAAAATTGGGGTTACTTTTAGATATTTTTTACACAAAGGGCTATTGGCCGTTTAAAATGGATGTATAAATCGAAATCTTAAAAAAAACCTTATGCTATGCTCTTGTTACTTTCGAAAAATCGATGAAAACTTTTTTTTCTGTTCTCCGTTATCCGTTCTCCGTTTCTCTGTAGACCTGGCATTAATTGGCTATATCTTTTGAACGGTTTGCAGCACGACCTTCAAATTTGGCTCCTTTGAGGCCGTGCACAAGGTACACAAATCAGTAAATGGGCCTGATCAAACCAAGGCGTCCATCTTTTTTTTTTTCGATTTTCATCTGTTTTTTGGACTTCGCTATGAAACACGATAAATGTCCGAAAATTGAAGCCATCCACTTGAAATTTGACACATATATCGAGTTTAGCTCCGTAACGAAGCCTATTGAAACTGGGGGGGGCTGGGGGGTCGAGAAGTATTTAAAAAAAAATAAAAACCGCACTTGCAGGATATCGAGAAAACAAATCATTTCTCCGCATTATTTGTAGTCCCGAGTACTACGTAGTTTTGGGGTAATACTAAGTGGTGAAAACTACTTGCAACAAAACCATTACAAAAAAATAAAATGTTACCCTTTTTCAGATCATCCTATTAGTAGTGATGATGATTGTGACTTTTGGCCTTTTATTGCCAAGTGGACTTGAGTCATAGAACACGAACAGAAAACCGGGACCTGATACAATGCGACATTTGTTCTCAAGTGATTGGAGCGTTTAGAATCCCCTGTATGATTTTTTTCTACATATTTTGTATCACCAAGGTACCTTAAGTATTATTTATCTGTGGTACTGAGGTACTGCTAAGTAGTTTTGGGGTAATACTAAGCGGAGAAAACTAGTCCTTTGGAACAAAACCGTTATAGAAAAAAAATGTTACCCTTGTTCAGAACATAATTCTATTTGTAATGAATCAAGGGCCTAAAGACATGAAAATTGTGACCTTTGACCTCTTACTATTTATTTTTACTGACGTGCTGCTAACCAGTTTTGTGGTAATACCAAAAATTTGGTATCACTCAGGTACATTACACACTAATTGTTTATAGTACTAATGTACTACTAAGTAGTTTTGATGTGAAAACTACTAAAGGTACCCTATTTCTTGAAAATGTGGAACATTTCTACAGTGATCTGGACAAAGGCAGAAGATATTCCTTCAGAAAATAATAACCACCGGATGGATCAAAAGACCTGAGCTTCAAAATGCGAACAAAAACATCGATCTGATACACTGTGACCTTAGATCCTTCATTCCCAAGTGCAGAATCGTCTGTATGTCCGTATATAGGTAATACTTAGCGGTCAAAGCTACTCTTTGGGACAAAATGCCCGTTACTAGAGGCGAACCCCGAACCAAATTTCAAAATTTACAAACATTCAATGTAGACTGCGCACTCACTTGTTCTCCTGGTTGACCGGGATCTGGGAGCCGCCGGGTTTGAGCTCGACCGTCACCACCTCGCCCCACACGTCGCGACTGACGTCGAAAGATAGACAGAACACGTCCTCCATGTCGTCGTCCGCGTAGTCTAGCACGCTCTTTAAGGAACGCGCTATCGTCGGCGACAGATCTTTGACGTCCGACAGGCCGACAGGCTCGCGCAGCAGCTTCTTGTAGAGCGCTAACGGGAACGGGATATCGATGATGGTGAAATTGTAGATGGCCAGTCCGCAGATCATCCCTACACATTTCGTCTCGATTCTAGTTCTGTATACGACGAGTTGTATGCGCGTGCAGCGAAGAAAACCCCATTGAACCCGAGAAATTATAAACACTGCCCGGAGGAGGTCTCACTCTCCTGTGGGTATGACGTACCGCCATCTCTCGAGGAGTAGCGACATTAATTCCTTTCTTTGGGATTTTCGTATGTCAAAACTGGACAGAGGGCGGTGAAGTCACGAAATTCTACTCACATTATCATTCTAAAAGTTAACTTTTTCTTGTGCGGACGTGTAATATACGCACTTTGCTAGAATAAGTTTTACGCTAGTACATAACAATATAAGATTTTTTCTTATTGTTGAATATATGTTGGAAGATTTTGAATTGGAGCATGCCAATCTATCAGAAAGCGGAAGTGACGATGGCGATATAGAATCGGATTCGGGGGAAAGCGAGGATGATAACCAATCAAATGATATCTGATTACAAATAAATACAGACATCTTGGATTCAGCACCACCACTTTTCCAATTTATTGGTGTACGTTCAAAGCAGACCATTTTGCGGTCTTGGATTATCAATTATTTTTTGATAATGATAATAATTACAGAGTACTCTGCGGCAGAACAGAAAAGATTAACTTGTGACAAAAAAAAAAACTAAAAAAAAAGGCATGGTAAGAAAAACAAAGAAGCAAATCCCATAAAGAAACCTAAAATTAGTTGTGAACTACAATAAAACCATCGGAGGCGTCGATAGATTAGATCAACCCTTTCATGGCCATCAACTAACTAAATTTTTCAATTTTCAATTGGAATAGAGAACAAAACTGCATTTTTTTTTCCAACAGAAACTTCTACACTACTAATATTTAATGCAATACTTTTTATAAAACTTCTGGATCATCTTGTTGGCTTCTTCAGAGCTTGGCTGACACTGGCTCGCATCTTACTCTGCACCTGCTTATATATTGTTTGAGGGGGCGGAGCTAAATGACGGACATAATTGAAAAATGCTTGTCTGAAACATATTTTTCTTATAACGGTCAAATTTTTGTCGGGAACAGCTACGGGTTCTCCACCATCACCAGTCATAGCGAATATAATCCCTAGTAGATTTTCTAAGATAATTAACCTCTATAGACTCTAACATATGTTTTACCATTGAATTAGAAACTAATAAGAAGCTCCCACTCTTAGATATTCTTATCAATAGAAAATCAGAAGACCTAACATTGAGTCATTATGTATACAGAAAACCTACGCCCTCAGTGCATTGTCACATCGCCATCAGTTATCAACTCTCTGAAGTCAGAATTGAAACACCTTACCTCTGCTCTAAATAAATATTGTTTAGTATCTTTCCTAACAAAACCCCAAATTTCGGCCATATTTCGTTCTTACAGCTTGCCCGGGTCTTTCCTTAATTCGTATCTTTTTTTTACACTTACCTATCAAAAAGTATACGTTGTCTTCTTCGAACGCGTTCTCCGCGAACCATATCGTCCGCGTCTCCTCGTACTCCCTGAACATGCCGTACTTCGGGTCGAGGATCTGGCGGAGCAGGAGCATGAAGAACTCCTTGGTGACGCCGCCCGCGTCCTCCGCCTCTTCGCCGCAAAACTTCACCTTGAGCGGCTTCTTCAAATCGCGAGGGTTCACGTTGGACAGCTCCCGTAGAGTGTCTTCGATGATGTGCTCGCGGGTGACGTTCAACACCAGGAATTGGTAGACGACGGCGGTGCGGGCGGGGTTAAACATGGCGGCGAGCACGGCCTGCTGCGCCGCGCTGTGCATCGCGTTCTGCATCTGGATCGTCTGATCGGTCTCGAGCAGGCTGAGCTTAGCGTGCGCGTCGAACACGAACGGGTAATTGCACAGGAACAGACGGTTGTCGGTCTGAAAGCGAAATTACATCGTTCGTATGGAAGTTACCTCCCGACGGCAATCAAACTCGCGTCCGGACTATCAAAATTTTTGGTAATAATATATATTTTTTTATTTATCTAGGTGGATACAATCTTATTAAATTACACTAAGAAAAAACAATGACATTAAACGTACGAGATGTGTTCCACCTACAGGGTTAATTTTGAAAGATATAAAAAAAAGTGTGAATACAAAAGTTAATAGTCACTACAATATTAATAAACTAACTAACTACTAATATATTAAAGAAAAACTTCTATATAATCGATAAAGAAACGATAAACTATCGAGTTAATCGTCACCGCTACATGGTATTAGAAAGCTACCCGAAATTTTTATATCATTATTAAACACTCGAAGTTGATAAAGAAGCAATATCGAGAAACTATCGACTTTACCGAGATCTCGATATGATCGCCGCCGTTCAAAACTCAAAATATCGACAATCTATCGACTACATATAAGATATCAAAAAAGATTTAAATATCCATTTTCTTAATAAATTAGTCTACTCTCCGTTCTGTTTTATGAGTAAAATATTAAAAAACTATAGGCTATATGATAAAACCAAAATTTTTATGTTGCTGACAAAGAAACGATCTTTTTTTCCGCATTGTGACTTTATCGAGATCCCCATAATGTATAAAAAAAACTAAATCAATATATATTATTAATAAACAATCGACTGTATTTTTTTAAAGTCGACAATTTACTGCTGTTTAAAAATCAATCGAAATACTAAAACAATAAAATATATATTTTATTATTAATTAATATAACTAACCAAAACTTTTATGTTATTGATACAGAAACGATCCTTTCGGTTCACACTGTTAACAAACAAAAATGCCGATTAACTATTGAGTTTATAGCCGCCTCTAAATGGTATAAAAAAATACAACATTAATAAACATTCGATCTTACCACTATTGCTACCTCCATATATTAAAAAAAACACACACTTCCATTTTTGTCGGCTTTGTTTAAAAATTGACATATCGATAAACTATCGAGTTAATCGTCACTGCTACATTGTATCAAAAAGCTAACCGAAATTTTTATATTACTATTAAATAATCCAAGTTGATAAAGAAGCAATATTATTTTCGCTCTTTTGAAAAATGAAAATATAGAAAAACTATCGATTTTAACCGAGATCTCTATATGGTATAAAAGACCAAAATCGATCGTGTCCCTACTGCTGCCGCTGTTCAAAAATCAAAAGATCGATAATCTCTCGACTGCATATAAGATATAAAAAAGACGGGGACGGAGCATATCGCGGTTTTTGAGGTTATGTGCGTTTTTTTGCTCCTTAACCGGTCTATCATTACTACTGGTCACGATCTAAAAGAACACTAGCGCTCTCGAAAAACACTAAATTACAACTAAAATTAAGGCGGTAAAAGCCGCCGGGGTCGAATCGCTGCCATTTTTCGTAACCTCGTGCGTTCGATAGGGTATTAAAAAGGCGCGAAATTTGAGATCGATAGCTCGAGAGACTTACTCCGTTGTCCGAGAGCCACATGACGTAGTCGACCCTCACGTCGAGGTAATCCTGCAGGTCGTTGATGTGGAACACATCGTGGCACACCTTGTAGCCGTCGCCGCCATAATTGATTTTGTTCAGGAAGGCCATGACGTCGAGCGCGGCGACTAAAGCGGCGTCATAAAAGACGGTCTGAAATAATTGACAATTTTGATATATTACGCACAGCCACAAAAAGTAAAAAATTAAATTTATTGGAAGCCATGGAGATGAACAAAATGAGACATTCAAATGTATTGCTTAACGATCAATTAGATTTAAATACCTCTCCTATACTGAACTTAAATTCTCGCAACAACATTAATTATGGTTTTATGGTCATTTTTCGGTATATATAGTAGCAGGTAGTTTGTGAATATTACATTTGAGAAACAATTGTCATGTCAAAATATATAATTTCGTGAAAATCTGAACTTTCAGTTCTTATTTGTTTTGTTTACTACGGGTTGTCTCATGCTTTTTTGACATTAAGGCTAACTATAAATCAAAACCTTAAATGAACGCTCAAAGCAATAGTTTAACTTTTATAGAGCTATGATTAATGTAAAACAAAAAGTAGTGTTTAATGTCTATGTATTTATTTTTAAAATTCAACAGCGGTGCGTTCCCATTTATGTTTGCGAAAAAGTTACCTATTTCAGAGACATTGGTTTCCTTTTATCTGAAATTTTATGCTTAGAATTAATATTTTGTATTTTTTATGTAGCATAATGCTACATAAAGATTTTATTATTAATAACTGGTGGAAAATGGTGTTGAAAAATAGTCTAATCACTATTAGAGAAGTGGCTGAAAACGTCGGCGTCTCTATTTTCTCGGAAGTTTTGGGTATGAGACCTGTGGCAGCAAAATTCGTTTCGAAACTGTTTAATTTTGTCGTCAATGACGATCCTGATATGCTCAAACTGGTAACGACTCATGGGTATATGGGTATGACGTCGAAACCAAAGCCCAGTCGTCCCAGAATCATGCCTCGGCCATCATATTCACCGGATAGGCCCCCTGTGACTTTTTCCTGTTCCCGAAACTCAGCAAACCGATGAAAGATAAAGAACGTGCATACCACAGGTGCTTCAAGGATCAGAAAGAACGTTGGCACAAGTGTATTTTGATGAATAAATAAACACTTTTTGATAAAACTTCACTTTTTGAACACGCCGCGTATATCGAGCGTTAAACTAAAGAAAAAAAAAAGATTTTATTTGGGCCAGCATTGCTTAATTTTTCCCGGGGGCGACTCACCCGTCCCTGGGGGATCTTCTGGTTGCGCAAAATGAACCCGGCTACGATCTTGAAGACGTTCACGAGTCTCTCGAAGTAGTCGACGGAGGCGGACGCCCACCATCCGCCGACGATCTTGTCGGCGGGCGGTTTGAGAGCGAGGAACGCACTAGCGAAGGGTTTCTGCAACCTGGGGTACTGCCTCGGGTTACTGAACTCGTGGTAGAGCGGCAGCACCAGGTACGCCCTCAACGCTTCGACGTCGGGCGGGTTCGGTACCAGCTGACGTAGCACGTCCTCCGTGATGCAGTTCCAAACCAGGTCCCTTATGCTCTGCTTTTCGATTTTCCCGATCAGACTGAACGTTTTGCCGGCGATCTCGACGTCGACGCCGTGGTGTTTGCTGCTGCACGGGTAACTCTTGTCGTTCTCGGTCAGGAACGAGCCGTTCAGACAGGCGAGACTGCGGAACGCGGTCTCCAGAAACGTCAACACTTCCTGGTCGACCTGCCCGTTCTCCGGTATCCGGGTCAGCGTCTTCACGTAGCTATACGTGAGCGTGAGTATTTGAGTTTCCGGATTGTAGTCGCGACAGTCGTAACACGGCAACTTCCGCCCCCGAGGCACCACCGACACGAAACAATGGTCGCCACCTGACGGTTATTTATATAAACTCATATTTCCCTCTATTTATAGACGTTTCATTAATATTATATATCTCGTTTTTTTATATTTGCTCAATAATTCCGGAACGTTTCCAAATTCCCTCAACATTTCCCAACATTTTTTGTATTTCATTGTTTTTCGCGTTTTGTTAACGTTTCTCAATTTTTACTCGTTTCATTAATATTTTTCATATTTCCCAATATGGCTAAATAAATCTTAATAAATATAATATTATCTTATATTTTTTCCTTAATAACTCCTGACATTTCCCTATATCATTTCCTTAACATTTCAAAATGTTCCTATAGTTTTTCAGTTCTTCTCCTTATATTTCCCACTCCCAATCTTTTGTTTTTTTATTTCTCAAATATTTCCATATTTCCCTAATACTCAAAATTTATATTTTCCTTATATTTCCCAACATTTGCCAAATAATTACCCACATTTCGCAATATTATTTTTTCTCAAAATATTTCGCAAATTTTCTAATTCGCTAAATATTTTCAAAAGTGTGTTTTTTTTATTTTCATATATTTTCTGATTAATGATTCCCCATATTTTCCGGTGTTTCATTAATATTTCTCAATATTGTTTTTTTATATATATATATTTTCCCTAAATATTCCCGACATGGTACACATACATTTTACGTAATATTTAAAAATATTTCAATAATTTTTTATTTCTTCTGACTAGTTGCAGCATCTATAATAATAATATTTAATTATTATTACCTATCTTTGGATTTTATATTCTCCAATATTTGCAATATGATTTTTTTTCTCTTAGTATTTCTCAAATTTTCCAAATTTCCTGAGTCGTTTCCAAAAGTTTACTTTTTCCATATTTTCCAGTATTTTATTCATATTTCCCAATACTATTTTTTTTTGTATATGTTGTAATAATTTCAGAGATTTTGCAATACATTTTTTTTTACTTAATATTTCAAATTACCCCTACATTTGTTTGGTTAGTTTTCATATTTCCTAATATTACCATATTTCCTTAACATTTCTCAAAATTTAGTTTTTCCTTATATAAATGTCCTAAACAATGCCCAACATTTTGCAAAATTTAAATTTCCCTTAATATTTAATATTTTTCCTTAATAATTTCTCATATTTTAATATCTTTTCCATATTTCCTATAATTCCCCACATTTTTCAATATAATTATTATTTTAACATTTGAAAATATTCCTGCAATTTTTCAGTCCTTGTTTCTTAATAATTCCCCATATTTCCCAACAATTATTCTTCCTTAATAGATGCTTAATATTTCCCGATATTTAATTAACATTACCAATCCTTGGTTTTATATACCCTAATATTTGTAAAATAATTACCCACATTTTGAAACATCATCTTTTCTCATAATATATCACGAATTTCCCAAATTCCCTAAATGTTTTCTGAAAGTTAATTTTTCCATACTTTACATTATTTCATTAGAATTTGCGAATATTGTGATTTGATATTTTCCCAGATACATGATTAACATTATCCAACTTTTATTTTTACATTTCCCAATATCACCATATTTCCCTAATATTTCTAAAAAATTAATTTTTCAGCTCCTTTTATACACCTTTCTACTTCATAATTCCCCACATTTCTCAATACTATGTTTTTATATCTTTTCCATATTTCCTATAATTCCCCACATTTTTCAATATAATTATTTTTTTAATATTTGATAATATTCCTGTAATTTTTTAGTTCTTGTTTTTCAAAAATTCCCCATATTTCCCAACAATTATTCTTCCTTAATGGATGCTTAATATTTCCCGATATTTAATTAACATTACCAATCTTTGGTTTTATATTCCCCAACATTTGTAAAATAATTACCCATATTTTGAAACATCATATTTTCTCATAATATATCGCGAGTTTCCCAAATTCCCTAAATGTTTTCTGAAAGTTAATTTTTCCATATTTTAGAGTATTTCATTAGAATTTGCGAATATTGTGATTTGATATTTTTCCAGATACATGATTAACATTATCCAACTTTTATTTTTACATTTCCCAATATCACCATATTTCCCTAATATTTCTAAAAAATTAATTTTTCAGCTCCTTTTATACACCTTTCTACTTCATAATTCCCCACATTTCTCAATACTATGTTTTTATATCTTTTCCATATTTCCTATAATTCCCCACATTTTTCAATATAATTATTTTTTTAACATTTGAAAATATTCCTGCAATTTTTCAGTTCTTGTTTTTTGAAAATTCCCCATATTTCCCAACAATTATTCTTAATTAATGGATGCTTAATATTTCTCGATATTTAAATAACATTACCAATCTTTGGTTTTATATTCCCCAACATTTGTAAAATAATTACCCACATTTTGAAACATCATATTTTCTCATAATATATCGCGAGTTTACCAAATTCCCTAAGTGTTTTCTAAAAGTTAATTTTTCCGTATTTTAGTGTATTTCATTAGAATTTGCGAATATTGTGATTTGATATTTTTCCAGATACATGATTAACATTATCCAACTTTTATTTTTACATTTCCCAATATCACCATATTTCCCTAATATTTCTAAAAAATTAATTTTTCAGCTCCTTTTATACACCTTTCTACTTCATAATTCCCCACAGTTCCCAATACTATGTTTTTATATCTTTTCCATAATTCCTGTAATTCCCCACACTTTTCAATATAATTCTTTTTTAATATTTCAAAATATCCCTGTAATTTTTCAGTTCCCGTTTAATAATTCCTCAATTATTCCTCCTTAATATTTCACAACACTTGCTTAACATTTCCCATATATTTAATTAATGTTACCAACATTTTGTTCTTATATTTCCCTAATTACCGGCGAATATCCTATGTATCACCAAGTTCAGCTCATGGGCGTCGTCTCTTAGGAGCAGGGCCTTCCCGCCGGGCGACACCCACGGTCCCAAAACGACCTGGGGCGTCGACGCGCTGCTAGGCTTCCGGGTACCCAACTGTCCGGACCCGCCTATACCGAAACTATAGACGCGCCCTCTGGAGGGCACCAAGGCGAGGCAATGCTGCCTACCGGCAGCTATCTGCGTCACTGTGGAACCCATCAGTTCGATCACTTGCCGGGGCAGGATCTCGTTGGTGCTGCCCCCGTGACCCAGCTGACCGTAAGTCCCCGCCCCGCAAGTGAACACGCCCCCGTCGGACGTGAGGAAAGCGGAGAATTCTTCGCCGCACGCGATATACTTGACCTTGAGGTTTCGCAACGTCCTCAATTGAGTCGGGAACATCTTGTTTAGGGCGTCGTTGAGACCGAGCTGTCCTTTGGTGTTTTTCCCCCACCCGTAGACCGCGCCCGATTTCGATACGGCGAACGTGTGGTTCGCGCCGCACGCAATGAAAGCGATCGGTACCCCTTTGAGGGAAGTGACGACCGAGGGTACCGGTTCGCCCGTCGTGAACGTACCCAACCCGAGTTGGCCGAAATTGTTGGCGCCCCACGCGAGAATTTCGCCCCCGTTGGACAGGGCGACGGTGTGACGTTGCCCGCAACACACCTGCGCAGACGGACTCTTTCAAAATAGATAGTATAGTACGACCAAAAATATAGTGCATTTATTGCTTTGACATTTTAAGTATTTTACGGTAACAATTTCCTAGGTCTTTTAGATTTTTGCCTATAATTTGAAAACCCTGTATATAATAGAAAAAATGCTTGAAATAAATGTTATTGCGCTGGTTCTTCTGAATCTGCCGGTTAAAGAACATATTTTTCTGGAAGCGAAAATTACCAAAAAAAAAATTTCAAACATTTTAAAAAAATACTTGGTACAATTGGATTGCGCCCAATTTCTACCGTTTAAATGTAGACACGGACTTTTACTTCTCTGCTAAATTTGAAGTTGATATCTGCAAATTTAAGACACCTAACATATTTTTCATTTAGCAAGGAATATCGGGAACACCCTGTACAATAGGTGAAAACCTTAAATACAAAAGTTTTTGTTGTCTATGCGGCCTATATCGCAAAATAAAAGAAAGTGAGGTCTGAATCATAGTCATTCTTCAGTTTTTTTGAATTTGCCCTGTATATTTTTGAAAAATTGTCAAGAATAAAAGTTTCTGCTTCTTCTGGTACAAGATTTTTTTTGGTCTCGTAACAGTTTTTGAAAAATGATGTTTTTTGGATACCCTTACACACGCGTTGTTTCATAGCAAGGTCCAAAAAACAGTCGAAAATCGCGAAAAAAAGATGGATGCCGGCGTCGGATCAGGGCAATTTCTTACAAGCTTATGTGCCTCGTGGAGGGTTAAAAAAATTCGATTTCATCGATTTTCGAAAGTAACAAGTGACATAGAACGCAATAAATTGTTACTTTGTAGTAATTTTTATATGTACATGTTTTAAAAAAGATTGAAAACATACTTATATCCCGCTTGCTGGTATAGGTGGATAAATTCCTAGGACGGTCCTGGAATGGTTACGGGTAAGGGTCTGCTCGGCAGGGACTGCGGTTTTGAAGTAATAAACAGTAGATAAACTCAATCAAGGGGTAAAAGCACTATATTTCTGGTCGAACTATATATTTATATATTTTGACATCACGCGGCCAAAATTCTACAGGCAGTTCAGAAATAAAGTTCCATTATTATTTCGTTTTTATATCTTCCAATATTTCATTATAATTCCTTTATTATTTTTTCCAACATTTCATTATTGTATACTCAATATGTTTCCCTTTCCTTTTTCCTTATCATTTCCCAATAGCTCGTTTTACTTTACATTTGCCAATATTTCCACAGTTTCCATCACATTCCCATATCATATCTAATAATAAATATTTAATACCCCATTTTTTCCAGTAGAATTTTTTCCATAATTTCCCAATAGTTGTCTTAAAATATCCTGATAACTCATTAATATTTCCCAATATTCGTATCATATTGTGCAACAGTTCGTTTTCGTTACATTTTCTAACATGTGTCTATTAATTAAATTTCCTCTTTGGAGCCCCCAATAATTCCACATTTCCTTTCCATTTCCTCATATTTCGTTTTACTTTATATTTGCCTATATCATGTATCCCTTAGTATTTGCCAATTTTTTCATATTTCTCATTGAATATTTAATAATTCCCCATACTTTTCCATTAATCTACCAACAGTTACCTTAATAGTTCCTGATAACTCCTTAATATTTCCCATGATTTCCATAATTTCGATTTTCCTTATAATTCCCAATATATATTTTTTTTCTTAACATTCTCAAATATTTCCATGATATTTTACCATTTTTTATTAATATTGTTGAATATTTCGTTCATATATCCTCAATATCCTTATATTTCCCAGTATTATTTTCTTCTTAATAATTCCCAAAATTTCCATATTTCGTCTTATTTTATATTTGCCTATATTTTATATCTCTTAATATTTGCCAATGTTTCCATATTTAGATTTAATATATAATAATTTTTTTAATATCTCCCAATATTACCCAATATTTCTCAATAGTTTGTTTTCTTGACATTTCTATAAAAATTCCCCATATTTCTCAATATTACTTTTTCTTTAATATTTCCCAATATTTCCCTATAATTTAGTAATAAACTATAGGGATGTTTTCTTTTTTTTTTTCTATCGTTTATATAGGAAGTATTGCGCTTATAAATTCCTTATATTTCCTACGATATATATATATATATATATATATATATATATATATATATATATATATATATATATATATATATATATTTCCAACAGCGTACGTAGACACGCACACAGGATGTCGAAACTACAAAATTTTTGTTTTTTTCGGAAATTTATAAAAAAAAACCTTATCGAAACCGACAAAGGCGGGGTACGCACCTGTACCAAGTGGTAGGGGGCGACACTGCGAATAATTTTCGGTACCGGTTGAATTTTTTCGCCCAATTGCTGGCCGAGCTGACCGTGGTAGTCGGAACCCCACGAGAAAGCCCCGCCCCATCGGCTAAGGGCGACGCTGTGCGTCGTTCCGCAAGCGACGCGAGCGATATCGTACGAATCCAACCCGATGACGGGCTCTGAAACAGACGAAAGAATTCGTTCTGCTTAAGTATTTTTTCGCCTATAGAGGGCGCGATGATCTATGGGAACGTGAAACTGACAAAACAAAATCGAAACCCACCACCATATTATATACGAGGGCCGCCTTTTATATTTCGTGATTTTCTTAAACTAGTCATGCCATCTGGCGACTGACGTTTTTATAGGAAAGTTTGACAGATTGAGGTTAGGCTTACTCGGTTAGGTTCTGGCGAGAGTGTTGTTTGTGTTTCTTGTGATAAATTTAAAATAAAAAAAAATTAAAATAAATAAAATGGAATCATTTTGATGCAATATTTTTTTAGAATTTTAGACGCGGACTAACTCAACAACAATGCATCGATGCACTTAATTCGACTTTTGAAGTTAAAGCACCAACTAGGACTATTGTATCGCTGGTTTTCGCACTTTTCCAAGTTCGTAAAATGGCCGCTAGGTGACGTAACCTCTACTTCAAAACAGAAAAAAAAAACGGATTTTCTCGAAAATATTCCAAATGTCAAGGTTTCGCTTACTGTTTTCTTTAATTATTGTGTATCACGAGGTCCTGCTGTCAATAAAGAACATTACTTTGATACTTTTTGATAAAACCAAAAAGTCACTTTACTTTTTGAACACACCTCGTATGTCCATGTTATATTTCATTGCCATGACCGATTGTATACATTTTATATGTTTGTAACATGCTAATGAAATGAAACAAAAAAGCCAGTTACCAATATCGTAAGAGATCATAAAATTCATTTCTAACAATGCTTAGTCGATATTGTGGAAACCAGTCACAATTTAAGGAAAGAGCGTTTTTTCACTGGTTAAGAGTTTCAAATTTAACGTTTTTTTTAGACAACACTTTTCAAGTGACCCCACAGAAACAAGTCGTTCGAAGTATTTTCCAAATACTTTTCAAAAATGGCCGAATAATATGATGTCCCACCATAATATTAATTATTTGAGGTTATTGGCTTCGAGTATGAATGAATGTATGGATACCTTCACTTTTGAACATTTGATTCATTGTTTAGTGTGAAAGTACATTCATCAGTGAATCAAATAATTTTTTAAAAAAACCCATCATTTCAAAACAAAATGCCTTCTTTGTCTTCACTGTTAACAACGTTGACGTTGTTAATTTAATATTGTATAACAATCACAAATAAAAATATTGTTACTATCAGAAATTTCCATGTTGCCATTATCAAAACAAAATAGAAATTTTGTTTTGATACTATCGCCATTTAAAAATGTAAATAATAAAAAAACCGGTACGCCAATGAGGTGCCAACAAAACAAAAGAAAAAACGGTTCGTTTTTGACAGCAAAACCTAGAATAGAGTTTTTAAGACAAGACAGGTTATCCGCTGAATAACTCCGAACACCGTGTATAAAAAAAATCTGCACCACCTGCATCCCGCGTTACGAAATCTCCGACATTTAACGGAACCGTGACGAAATTAAATATGTGTATGAAAGTGTTAGTACCAGCATCTCGAAGCGTGGACCACAACTCCCCCCAAGGAAAGTTAATTAAAAAACGAAGCAAAATGTTACATACTAAACAATGACATACGTGGCCTTTTCCTCGGTTGGTCGTGCCCCAGTTGGCCGTAGTCGTTGTTCCCGCAGGAATATAACTTTCCTTCTTTAGTTAGGAACAGTGTATGGTTATCACCTAAGGCCGCGTCTATCACAGTATCGGCTAAGCACCAGTCGTGCAAACGGGGAGTCAAAATGTGTTCCTCTTCGATGCCGCCGAGCCCCAGCTCCCCGTGTATCGTGCTGCCCCAAGCGTACATGTTTTTGACGGAACAAACGTTAAATAATTGATCTTTTTGTCGACAAGGCGCGTTTATGGTGGCATCGGTTTCCAATTCGGGGGGTGCTTCTTTTCAACTTGCGATTTAGTCGAACAAATTACAAACGCAACAAACGTCACATCGTTTTATCACTAATTATCGAAATCAAAATACGAATCTCATTTTTGATATCGCGTTCTATAGGTTAGGTTCATGTCATGGAAGTAGTGGTGGGAGGATTCGAATCGGCACAGATTCGATTCGAAACAGAAATGGGTGACCGTTGCAGATGGATTTTCTAGTGCATAAACGAGTTGTACGACACCTTTCCTTGATTTTATGTAAGTTAACGTCAATTTATATGTAAAATGGCAAGCGTGCTTTACAACGACGTCATAGATGGACCAGTTTTTCAATGCAAATAAGCTAACGACTAACAGCTGTTGGTCTGTGACTATTCTACCATCTTCCATATTTACTTCGTTGTTTGTTCGTCCATGTTACAAACGATCAAAATAATTTAACGTCAGCTATGAAATAGATGAAAAATGAAAAATTTTCTCATATCGGTAGAGATTTTTACCGTTTTCGAAACATCCAAGTCCCATTTAAAAATCGTAATAAAAAAAAGGAGTTAATTTATTTAAAGGAACTTTAATAGATGTGCCACGGCTCATAGAAGGGACAAAATACAATGACAAACCGATCAAGAATCACATTTCTTAAATAAACTTTAAAACCACCGACAAATGTGCTTTTATTTATCAACCTCAAGATTGTGGTGCAGGTGTTTTCGAGTACCGAAACTGATAGAGATAAGAGTCCTCCACACACATTATCAATCTTTAAAAACGCTATGCGACGGCGACAACGGACCGCGGCCACCGATCGAACTGCCGAAACACCATGAAAAAAACGGGTAAGCGCGGGTCCCCGCTAATATTTTGTGCCCGACGCGAATACTTCTGTTTCCAGCGCTCGGTTTCCAAATTCTCGCTATCGTTTGCGTCGCGGGGACGTGCGACGCCGAACTGGTCCCCCAATGCAGTTTCCTACACCAGTGCCACACCGACGAGAAAGGTCACGCTTACAACTGCCTCAACGACAGTTTACCGATCCCCTTCGAAGCGACGCATTCCAAAGCGGACGAAGCGCGCGCCAAACTCAAACAGTATTGCCCGTTCTATTTCGACGGCGCCAGCGACGGTGAGTTTCGTCTGAAAACCCCGTCTCGGTTGTGAATAAACGCGACCATAACCTCTTATTTGCTCGTTACTCGAAAAAACAAGAAGAAATCGACCGGCGTCAAGCAGGGTATAGGAACAAACGGTCGTCGGCCGGCGTCAAGCAGGGTATAGGAACAAACGGTCGCGTAGAAATCGCAGGTTCGGTTTGTGACGTAATTGACGTGATTGCAGATCCGATCGACTTGTGTTGCGACGTCGATCAGATTTTAAGCATGGCCGACGGTTTCGTGAGCGCCGCGGCGTTCGCTAGGTGCCCGACGTGCGTCAAGAACCTCCAAAAGTTTTATTGCACGTTCTCGTGCTCACCGTATCAGAAGAACCTGACGGCGGGTTACGAGAAAAAGCAACAGATTTTCCAGAGCGGTATGGTTCGCACGCGTCGATTTCGACGCACGCGATTGTGACGTATTCCGTTTTCCAGCGTACGCTTACTCCGTATCCCTTTACGTGACCGATGACGTCATCGACGGTATATACGACACGTGCAAAGACGTGTCCTTGCCCAGTACGGGTGAGCGCGTCCTGCAAAGCACATGCGGCAGCTACGGGGCCATCTGGTGCAACCCCACGAGGTCAGAATTTTCCCCTTTTTCTTTATGCACAAACTTGCAGATGAATAAGAGAAATCCGGAGTCCCAATAGCGATTTGAAAGAAATTACATTAAATTATGTATCTTCTAAAAACTAATTTCAGCGCAATTCTCTTATATTCAGGCCTGGTTTGGGTTACATTTACGGTGGTGAAATTAATTCGTGGCGTTTTTGACAACAGATGGCGCTAGTGGTATAGAATTTTTTGTCCCTGGTTTGCACGTTTTAAAAGCGGTGATTTTGAAGAATTAGGAAGATTGCTTAATGAAAATTCACGCCAGAGCCTTGAATATATATAATATATATAATTTTTTTTAGTCACTTTTTACGATTTCGTCTGTTTAATTATTTTACTATTTTGTAAGTTTCTTTTTCTTCTTCTTCTTTTACTTCTAGTGGCCAATTGTACTAAAGGTCACTCGGCCAACTTTCGTAAGACATCTAGAAACCGAACAATACACCATAGAAATCCATAGGCATCCGCATAAAACTAGCACTAATTCGCAAAACTATAGGCGTTACGTCACTCGCAATTCAATTAAAAGATGTACTAAACAAATTTTTTTCAAACGAATATCCGCCATCTTCTTCCTTTTTCTGAGCGGGCGTTTGTGACGCGTTTTCGCAGATGGTTCGACTACATGAACGACCCGTCGCAGAATCCCGTGACGCCATTCAAAATCAATTTGGTAACGGTAAACTCGTCGTGGGAGGGGGCGGTTAATTTTCCTATTCTCGGATGTGACCAGGCGTACGTAAGTGACACGCGCGCGTACTAAGTACGACCGAAAAGAAGACCCGTTTCTCAGGACGATTCGTCGGCGTGCAGCTGTTCCGACTGTCCGAAGAGCTGTCCGGCGAACCTTTACGACGTCATCGACGGGGATCTCGAGCAAATGCTCGGCGACGTCACGACGACCGGGTTTTACGTCGCCGTAGGCACCGTCGGCGTCGGATTCGTCGTGCTGTCGCTTCTTTTGTGGTTGTACAGCGCGCGCGCCGTCCGAGGTACGCGCGTATTATAATTTTTTTTTTGTCTTAAACCGAAAATGAATGACATTGCAGTCGAATCGGAACCGGCAAAATCTCGCGACGCCGCGTGCGTCGAGCGTCGCTTCCGGAGGGCCCTGCGAGAGTTTTTCAAGGTGTGGGCGTCAGGTAATCGGCGTCCCTTCTGACCCCGCGCCGCGGTGAACTGACCGAAACTTTTTCAGCGATGGTCGAGCACAAGAAAAAAGTTCTAGGGGCCTGGCTGGTCGTGACGATCGCGTTGTCGCTCGGCTATCTCCGCCTAGTAGTCACGACGAGCCCGATCGAGCTGTGGGCATCGCCCGATAGCCAGACGCGCGAGGAGAAGGACTTTTTCGACGCCCACTTCACACCTTTCTACCGCACCAATCAGATATTCCTGAAGGCGGTCGGAATAAAATCGGTAACCGCAGGCAATTTGGGAGAGGAAGAAAGAGAAGGGAGAGATATGAGCGAGACATGAGATATGAAAGATGTGAGAGATATGAGAGATCTGGGAGATATGAGGAAGAGGGAGAGAGAACGGGATATATGACGGAGAGACAGAGGGGGTGGGAGGGAGGGAGGGAGAGATGGGTGGGAGAGAGAGATCGGGAGATTGGGGGAGTGAAAGAGGGGTAGGACAGAGGGGGGAGAAAGAGTGTTGGAGAGTGGGAGAGGGAGGGGAGGGGAGTGGGAGGGGTGGGGAGAGAGAGAAAGAAATAGAGAGAACAGAGGCGAATGAATAGAACAGTGTAAGAAAGAGACATGAAGAACGGGAGTCGATAAAGCGGAGAGAGAAAAAAAAGTCAGAGGGAAGATGATTAAGAGAAAGGCAGGTAGCAGATGCGAGAGAATAGAAGAGTGTAGTAGAAAGAACGAGATTTGGACAGGGAGATAGAGAGGAGAGAGAGAGGAGAGAGAGAGAGAGAGAGAGAGAGAGAGAGAGAGAGAGAGAGAGAGAGAGAGAGAGAGAGAGAGACAAAGAGAGAGAAAGTTTAATGGAGATGAATGAATTGGAGGAGGTGAATGAGAGCGATGGGGAGCAGAGGCGAGAGAATAGCAGAATGTAGTAGTAGTAGTAGTAGAGAGAACAAGTTTGGGAGGAGATGGATAGGAGGAGAAAGAGGGAGGGAGGGGAGGGGAGAGGGAGTAGCAGGGAGGGAGGAGGTAGGGAGGGGAGAGGGAGGGAGAGAGAGCACAGGCGCCAGAGTAGGCGTATGTAGGAGGAGAGATACACAAAGAACGAGAGTAGAGAAGAAAAGGTGACGCCATCGCGATATTTCAGATCGAGTTCAATTCGACGTACGGCGGGGACATAGTGCTTGGACCGGCTTTCGACGAGACGTTCCTTCGCAAGGTGTTCGAGTTGCAGAAACTGGTGGAGAACGTAAGTTCGACAATAACCTCGTTTTCGCGCCCCAACAAAAAAAAATCGCGTTTTTAGATAACGGTGACGCATGACGACGCCGACGACGCGCGCGCCGTCGGATTGGACGCGATATGTTACGCGCCGACGCTGAACCCATTTTCCGCGGCGAAAACCATATCGGACTGCACTGTGATTTCCCTGCTCGGACTCTTCGAAAACGATATCGAAAGATTCTCCAATGATAGTCACGCGAGCACAGAGAGGATTATCGGATGTTTGCAGTAAGTAGGAACGCTTGGACGCTGAAAGAAAGAAAGTATAGATAGAAAGAGAAAGAAAGAGAAAGAAAGAGAAAGGAAGGAGAGAGAGAAAGAAAGAGAATGGAAGGAGAGAGAGAAAGAAAGAGAAAGGAAGGAGAGAGAGAAAGAAAGAGAAAGGATGGAGAGAGAGAAAGAAAGAGAAAGGAAGGAGAGAGAGAGAAAGAAAGAGAAAGGAAGGAGAGAGAGAAAGAAAGAGAAAGGAAGGAGAGAGAGAAAGAAAGAGAAAGGAAGGAGAGAGAGAAAGAGAGAGAGGGAGAGAGCGGGGGGGGGGAGAATAGACTGAGAGAGAGTGAGAGTGGAAAAACAAACAGAGTTAGGAGAAAGAGAAAGTTGTATGAGAGATCATAGAGGTGAGAGAGATAAGGAAGTTGCAGAAGAGCTTGGGTAGGACCGAAATAGACACGAAGGAATGACTGAAAAAAAAAACACGTGAGTTAATAAAAATATCGTCAGGTCTCCTTACGGGATCAACTGTCTGGCGCCGTACGGTGGACCCATACTGCCCGGCTTGGTGATGGGCGGGACCACGCAGTCCGACCACTTGGACGCTACGGCGGTCACGCTGACGTTCATCGTTGAAAATCACGAGAACGAGGACGACCTCGCGGACGCGCTGGCTTGGGAAGAAAAGTACGTATAGGGGGCGTGAGTTATCGATGCGATTTGCCGATCCTGTTGCAGATTTATCGAGACCGTGAAACGGTGGGAGGAGGAAGACATGCCGGATTACGTCAGCGTCGCTTACAGTGCGGAACGCTCGATCGAGGACGAGATCGCGAGGTCTTCGAAATCGGAGGTGCTGACGGTCCTGATCAGTTACCTCGTGATGTTCGTTTATATCGCGACGTCTTTAGGCAAAATCGACACGTGTCGGACGATCTTGGTAAGTGCGGCGAAGCTTAGAGAGATAGAAGCTTAGATAGAGATAGAAAGAGGAAGTAGAGAGACAGTTAGCGGTGGGAGAAGAGGGGAAATTAAGATAAGAGAAAGAGAGAAGGGCGAGGAAGGAATTTAAAGGCAAGATAGAGGAGATAGAAGAGTATGGAAAGTAATTCGAAATAAAGATAAGGGAGAATGGTAAATGAGATATAGGGAAGAACGAAAGTGCTAATGAGAGAACTAAGGAAGGAGATTAGAGAAAATAAGGGATGAGAGACAGGAAAGAGATGTAAAGGGAAACAGGAAAAAGAGAGACAGGGAAGATGTAGAGCTGAGAGGGAGAGAAAGTGACAGCAATACGGGAGATACGAAGGAATGGGGACA